ACACTAGGGTATCGAAAGTACTGCACTGCACCACCTTGTTCAAAATGGTAGGACTTTTTGTCAACTTTTTGACAATACAAAACATTTGATTGCATTAATTGGGAGAAATAGGCGCATTTTTTAGCAAATTTCGGCGGGGAAAGTTTACAAATTTTGCTGGCGCCATAGAAAACTTAGTTAGAAAAGTATGAATTTCGCGAAAACATTTTTGTTTGTTAAAATGTAGACCAAGCCGAAAGGAGAAAAATTGTCAAATGAAAAGCAAGTCACTACAAAATATTTACAGGGAATTTGTCTTTAATTTTTGAAAAAATGTTGACCATGTTAGATGCAGCCACACAACAGCTGTGAGAAAGCAACAAAGATTTCTCGAAAGTGTTGCAGTAGTAAAGAAACCGAGAATTGGGCGGTCAAAAAAATCGATATCAAGGGGGAGAGAATTTGTCTGTTTTTCATCTTACTGCGTTTACACCAAGGGACAAAAAGAGACATGAAACTCGATGCTGAGCAAGCTTTTGCAGCTCAAAGTCTGTCCAGGGCAAATATAATGATTGTTTTGCACAAATACAAAAGAAAAAGTTACCAGAATAAACAGAAACCATTTTTTTACAAAGATTTAATTCCATACAAAAGAAATTAAAGCTTTGGCCTAGCCAGAATCAAGTCCAATTTTTTACTTCACTAAAAAAGTTTGACTTCAAATGAAAAATGTTACAAACCATGATCCAAATGATCATCCAAAAACCAGAGAATCATTTATTATGAGAATTTTCCAGGCCTAATACAAAATTCCACAAGAATACATTTTCCAAATATATGGCTCCATTTCAAGGAGGCTTTTTGCTGTTTCAAAAGTTTGCAGCTACCTGTCAAAATATTGAAATTTGAAACTGTTAAAAGACGTTTGCTACTGTTATTTTTAAACAAATGCTCTAAATAGATTGAAGTTTTGTTTGGTGGTTGTTTTGCTTTCGACCAATTGCCATTCACCAATTAAAAACAGAATTAATTTGCATAACAATAGCTGTCAATCATTCATGTGCCATTTCTCCTCCTTCAAGGTGGTGTAATACTGTTAATACCCTAGTGTATTTGTGATTTATTAAGACCAAGGTAAGGATTGGTGCTAGTGCTAATGCTCAAGTTCAAGATGTAATCAAAGCACAGTAGCATTTTCAATTCAATTATATGTGGGTAAATTTATAACGATATTTTAGTTTTTTTAGGCCCTGAGTAGTTAATAATTTCCCTTTGCAGGCAGTAGAGCATACACAAAAAGGAACAATGACACCAACCTTAATATTAGAGAGTGATTCAGTTAGAAACCATGGTAAGTTATTTCTTGGAGGATTTAAAGCTGCAATAAATACTGAGTTTCTTAAGAAAGAGAACATAACACATGTGCTCAATGTTGCTGGCAAAGGACTTGGGATCATGTTTGGGCCTAAATATAGGGTAGGTGAAAATTTTTACTATCAAATAAAGCCTGATAAATCCTTAGTAAGACAATTTCAAATTGTTGTAATTTTTCAGTTTCATTCTACTGTAAGTTGAAATGATGTGGCATCATGTTTTTAGACACAATATCTCTTTTCACATCTAAAAGAAAAATTTATGCATTTCAAGGGAAATATATCACACAACTCTAAGAATTTGTTTGCTGGAGAAGATTTATCAGTTAATTTTTTGGTGCCCTATTCACAAGTTTGCCCCCTGTTATTTTCTGGTGAAGGCATCCTTGTGTTTAAACATTAATTATAATTTAAAAACCAGACCAAAGTTTTAAGCCCGATTGATTATTTGCATTTAGTATTTCATTGTAATCATTGATGTCTTCATGCTGTTCTGCTTAGTTAAAATGTCATGGAGCTAGAAGCCTTTTCATTCTTAAATTGCTGAAACATTTTAGTTTTTGACTAGCTACTGCATGGAAAGAAACTTATGTGGGGAAAACTTTAATATTTTTTTCATTTTGGCCTAAACTTCCTGAAACCACTTAAAATACAAATTTGCAAAAGTTCGTTCTTGAAAAATATCCAGAGAGGCTACCCCCTAACCTCTTGAAATTTGTTATGACAAATGGTTATTTTTACAAATTGTAATATTATTTTTTTATTTTGTTGGTAGAAAGTAGAAGGAGAATTCAGTTAAATAGAAAAGTTATTGTTATATTGTTATTTTCAGAGCAAAATTAAAACGCAAAGCCCAAAAGTTTACGCTGGCAAAATATCATCCTATTTTGCTTTTTGTGCAAAAGTTAATCCCAAAGATCTAAGGCTTTTCTCAATTTGCAAAGCTTTGCCCCAGCTTCCCTTTAAGAAACCATTTATAGATATCTACAAAATAGATTTTCATTTGCTTTTTTATCAAAATCTGCTGGAGAAATACAATGGAAAATCAACATTCATACTACTGTTAACCTAATATCCCTTTCTTGATAAGTGAGGGATGGTCTTTGAAAATACCAAAGCTATTATTTATTGAAATCTACAGGAAATTTCAAGAGAAATGAAAAAGAATCTAAATATAACTGGTCTTGATTTGGATTGGGAAGATTCTATGAAGTATCATATCACAGAAGATGATTTTAAACAAGCTATTTGTTTCATTCACGAGGGGATGAAAAGTGGATCAGTGTTGGTACATTGTGCCCAGGTATGTTGTATGGATATCAAATGATTTATTATATGCAAGCGAATGCTTGGCACAAACCATTGAAAATATACGCAAACTACAACGCAATGATCGAGCCATGATACGGTGGATATGCAATGTGTGGTTGGAAGATCGCTCCAGCTCTGATTCCTTGCCAAAGAAACTAGGCATCGTTGACATCAGTGGCGGAAATTTTGGGGGTTTGGGGGGAGCGATCGCCCCCCCCCCCATCAGCGATTTCGTTGGTAAATTTGGGCTTTCGTCGGATAATTGACAACCGTTTAATGCGTCAAAATTACTCCAAGAAATCGTTCTGAAAAGGAATCTAAGCTAATCTAAGGGGCGTAATCGCCAAATTTTCTGCATTTCCCCTTTTTACCCTAGCAGCCTCTATAACCTCTATGTGTCCTTTTTGCAAAATTTGAACATAGCTGATAAAATATTTGCCAGTAATAACTAATCAATCAAACAATATATGACCAAAATCAAAACTGATTGTGAATTGTATATTTAATTTCAATTCCGTAAAGATTAGCTGAAATTTCCATCGGATTCTTCCGAATAAAAGTTATTTTCAAACGTATTTCCCACTGACGAAAACAAGATGAAATGCATAAAATGAACGTACGACTTGTCAAAAGTGTAATCGGTCTACCTCCTTTATCATCAATTGTCTTAAGTGAGATATAGATTTTGATATCAAACTTCATGAATGGGATTGTTCTTCTTGCTTCTTCATTACGGCGTGGTCAGCAAAGATTTCTAAAGGGTCCTAAAGGGTCCCGTCAAAAAATCATCTATTTTTATCAAAATGTGCAGTTTCTTTTAAATTAGACATAATCCAAGATTTTATCTTGTCGGAAATCGAAGGCCTTGACCCCCTTCCCCCCCAATATGAAAGCCTGAATTTCCGCCACTGGTTGACATAACATCAGCAGTCCGATACAACAGGTTGCGATGGTATGGACATGTTTGTCATATTGCAGGTAGCATCAGGCAAGTTGCAGACATGATAGTGAACGGTAGGCGTGGTCATGGTAGGCCAAAGAAAAACTGGGCTGACACCATACGTAATGACGGAAAGACATGGAAAATAACACAGAGCTCACAGATCGAAAAGTAATCATAAGTGAAAGCCCTCTAACCATGCAACAAACGTTATTTTTCATCCCTGTTTGGTGTACATGAAGAAGTTGTCAAACGTTATCCGGAAAATTGTAATGGTGCCCGTAGGAAACCCCTCTTTTAAGATGGAAGTAACAAGCGGAGTCATAGCATACTTTACGTCCGACACTCTTAAGAGTGTGAATAACGATTAATGATCAAAGGTAAGCAGAAATTTACATCCAGATGCAGATGCTGTTCCTTGTTTTTTAACCCATCTAGTCTCTCGCCCAGTTAACGAGTCAAAGAGTGAAAACGATCTCTTTCTGCCTACACATGAAAATTATAGGACATTGATGCCCTGAGGAGTGTCGGATGAAAGTACTTTAGTATGCTATGTTTCCGCCTGCCCGTGCTCTCACAAAATGTTGCCGTGCCAAAGGAATATTTGGTTGCACCCCTTTCTAATAGTAGTTGTCTACGAAATGGATTTTGTCTTGCGTATGTGCAGATTTGAAAAGCCATGTTAGTTTTTGTGTGCAGTTGTAAATATAAAATTCTATACTTTTTAAGTTAAATTAATAGAAAACCTGTAAAGGCAAACTTCCCTTTTGATTGAGACGAGCCAGCATCAACAAAAGAGGTTTATTTGCATGGCCAGGGCCGTCGAGAGCCACGCCGGGCCCAGGGGCAGTTCTAATGCTTCGGCCTCTTCCAACCCAAAGCAATAAACGTAAAATGCGTTTAATATGGAATTAAGATGCGCAAAACTTTCTTTATCTACTTTAAATTTATACTTGTAAAGCATTGTTAAACTTTCCTATAAAATATATGATTTTCAATAAAAACAGTGTGCAAATAGAAACGATTTAATTACCAGCGGCTCCCTCTTCTCGTACGGCCCCAGAGGCAACTGCCCCCCTTTGCACCCTTTCTTAGTGGGCCTGGTCAAACACACGAGCCACCAAAGGAAATTTTTTTCTTTGAGTAAGCCTTAATTGCTATACACTTCATGATAACATTGTATTTATGCTACCAAATACCTTTTTTCCAGGGCAAATCTCGATCTGGAGCTGCCGTTTCTTCGTACTTGATGGCTACAAGGAAAATGACAACAATTGAGTCGATAGAGTTTATCCAGCAAAAAAGGAAAATGGTGGATCCGAACCCAAATTTTCGGATCCTTCTTATTAAATTTGAAAAAAGTGAAACTCTTCGGGCTTTGCGGGAAGATTTCAGTATGCAGTGATTTAATCTGAATATTTGTCATATTTATGTATCTACTCACGCTTATATTCAAATAAAAAATCTTATATTCTACAAGTTTTAGCTCATATATTTTATATTGATTATGCAACGTAGTTTTAGTTCTTTTTGAGCAAATTAAAGGAAATTTTTGGTATACATTTAAGTAGCCGAGATTTTTTAGAATTAACATAGCCATTTCCAATTCCAGTCTCTTGGATTAATTGTCAAGTTAAAAGTTCATTCGGTAAACCGATTCAAGACTTTAGTTCATCATTTTCTGTAGATATTTTTATTGATGTAAAAGAAATTTTTTACTGTTTCGTGCTCAGAAATGAAAATCTTTATTAGCTTTTTCTGAAAAGAAAGTCACACAATTTGGCCCCTAAGGATTAAGATACCATCTTTACGCTTTACCCTCCTAGTTTTTCTCTAAGTGTTCCATTAGAGAGCAATTACAGTCTGCAAAAACAACGAAGTGACATGATAACCTTAGTATAGTACGTAGCCTGGAAGCTATCGTTGACCATATCTAGCCGCTGTGCCCAAAAGCGGTATCCAGTTTCAATCTGCTGAAAAAGTCGGTGAGAGATATCCTCTATTTGCCGATGAAATACCCCCAGGTAGCAAAAACATTTTAAGGGAGGTGTCATGCTCCCCAAGCTCCCCATAGATAATTACCAACAGCTGCTAACTGAAGGGCAGTGGAACAAGTTTCTCTAGAAACACGATCTTTTAAAGGAAAGAAGTTTTCAAAGCATTTGGCTGACTGAAGAACACCGTCAAACATCAATATGCGTTTTCTCGGGCACTGGAGAGCCTACCCTGGGTATGTAGAGCCCTGATTGGGGTTAACAGAAAACTAATGAAATTAATTGCCGATTAAAGGTTTGATATAATCAAGCCACTTTTGATCGATTTTTTGAAAGTATTGTTTATAACGATAATGCAGATAAAATTAATATGCACTGAAATCAATTGGCAAACAAGACGATTCTGATTGGTTTGTTTTTTGGACATTATATCTTCCTATTGGTTCGTATCTATCTGGTAGAAATGCATGGTCTGGGACATAAATTTATGGATGTTTTTGGGAACGTGAAGGGTATGAAATTCTCGACTGACAATTAGCCAATACAGTAGAAACCCGCATAAAAGAACCTGTTTTTTTAAGAACCTTGAGGCTGAAATTTAATCTTTTTAACCTCATAATTAAGAACCCCCAAGAGGCTGTAATTTGGAAATGTTCTTATATGTATTTTTGAAAAGGTATTTTTACATCCTATTCACACTGTCAAATTAAACCAGGTTATGGTTTCAACAAAAAATTCATTTGATAATCCTTGCGGTGTAAAACATTGTTAATGTGTGCAAGGCCTGTACGTACATAAAAACCTTGTTAAGAACTTTTTAAACTGGAATTTAGAATAGCAGCCTGTTAATTAAGAACCTATTCAGGCTGCAAGAAAAAACCAAGGTTCTTTTATGCAGGTTTCTACTGTAGTAATTTATACTAAAAATGAAATAGCCAATAGTAATTTGTACTAAAATTGTAACACAACAAACAATTGAAACGCACAATTGAAACGCACAATTGAAACGCACATTTGAAACGCACCATTGATGTGCTATTTTCGATCTGAACCTGGATATAAATTTATTTTTGTTTCAAAATTGAACAAATGCATACTGCTATAATAGTGTATTTGTTAGTATCGACGAAAAGTTGAGAAAACAGAAAGTAACAATTTTAATTCCATATCGGTTCAATAATAATATCAAATTGTAAAAGGGCTGTTACAAAGTCAACTAAGAGCTGGCCCAATTTCTTTTTATGGCTCAAAGACTACAAAGTTACTTTCAAATTCTTCTTCTGCGAATAATCTTTTTTCTTCGGGTGGCGAACCTTCTGCGGCTACTCGTGATTCTTGTGTTCCTTTGGCGGAAGCCTCTGCGTCTGCGTCAATCTTAAAATCTGCGTCTATGTATACGTCTACGTCCAGGTGTGGGGTGAGCTAAAAGAGGACCTTGAAATGTCACACAGAAATTGGTATAAATCGACATCGGTTGGTTTTTTTAACACCAGGGTAACACTGGCATGTAGACCAAGGGAAAACTCGAATCGGCGTGACTATTAAAATGGTAATAAGTCAGGCCCGTAGACACTGGAGATGCACCCCCCCCCCACCATAAATTGCGAACATTGTGTTTGAAGATCTTATAAGCGCAGCTTGATCTGACAGTATTTGGCAAGGCAGGTATAGAAAAGCTTTATTTATATCCACGCTCGTCAAATGCTAGCGCGTGAAATAGCCACGAATAAACGCCAGGACAAGAAGAAAACGCTTTGAAAGAATAATTCTAGTAAATACGGTAATTCTTAGTTATAGTTTTGAGAGTTCTGGGAGACAGCTTTTTCCTATTCAAAATTACCCATTTTTCACTTGTAAAGGGAGTGGTAAGTTGTAGATTCTTGTCATTGTCTCCTTTCGAAACAATTTTGAACTACGCAAGACTGAGCACTTAATCATGAGGAAGTCTTTGCAATAATTTCTGGCCTACTTTTTTTATCAACTGTGCCAAACTTTGGTGCTTTGGCTGGTGTCATTGTTAATCAGGAGGTTTCATGGCAGGTTCTGGTGAATGATAATGTCTACTATCAAAACTACAAGGGTGAGAGAGAACAAGATTGTCATGTGAGGGTGGCAAGATTGTCAAACAGCCTTCCGATCATTGAAGCAAATATTCAATTGTTGTGTAATAAAAACATACCGCTAGTATCCTTTAGTTCAATTTCTTCTTCCAGAAAGAAAAGCACAAAAGATATAATTTCTTAGATATTATTTGTGACTTAATGAAATCACAGATAAACCACTTAAAAAAATTCTTGTACGTTGGTAAACGCCTGTGAAAATAGCCCATATCTATGCAAGCCCCAAAATAGATGACAAGGGCCTTCTTTAACGTACTAACTAGGGGGGGGGGGGGGGCATTTCACCTGCAGACTCGGTGAATCTTTATTTTATAAACAATAGGCTACTGTCTTCCTCTTCATATAAACAAAGGCCTGTCCCTGCATCTAAAATGCCCTTTGAGATAACTACGAAGAAAGACTTTGCAGACGCATCAAATATTACATCAAGCAAAAGCTCGGCGGAATTTTTGTACAGTATTGTAAATTTGGCAGATTTTCTTCATTGGTGTGAAAAGAGAGAGCCGGCTGAAAAAGACCACATATCATTATATCATGTTCTGATTTCTTTTCACCTTGTTTCTTTGTGTCTTACTTTAATAGTGCTCGGTTATCGTAAGGGCACCTTATCTGATCACACCAATCAATCGCACGAAACTAAATTGACTTATCAGTGTATAGCAGGGTAAGGTGCATATACAATTACCGTCCATTTCAGCCCCAGGATTTGAGGCGTCACTTTCCTTCAACTCATGTTCTTCCTCAGAATCGGAGAAGCTATTGATGTTTTCTGCATGAGTATCACTCATTGAATCATATTCATCCTGTGCCTCGGTTTCGTCCTCTGTCTCAGTTTCATCCTCTGCCTCGTTTACGGTATTTTCATTTAGATTTCCCTCTTCAAGATCGGCTTCTTGGACCTTTGCTTCCTTTGCTTCCACTTCAGTTACTGCAAGGTAAAGTAAAGAGTGTTTCATGCTCTGTCTATCTGGACCATATACTCCGATTAAAAAGAAAGAATTTCGCGATGTTTGTGATTGATAATATCTCTTACCAGTTTCATCTGCACCGAAGGCGAACGCAAAAGTGCCGAGGGCCACAAAAACAAGCAAAGGTACTGCACGCATTTTGGGAAACAATCTATAAAAAAAGTTTAAAGATAAACAAAAGTATGATAGACTACCATAAAAGAGAAAAGGAGCAGGAGTAGAGAAAAATATTCCCATAAATTATTAATTACGATTTTCTAATCAACTACACTTGAAATGAAATCCGAGTCCAGAAAGGTTCCAGACTGTAATCCGGAGGAAGGTTATTCAAAAATGTAATAGTTCTGTGGAAGGTCAACGAATAACTACAAACCATACATAATTTTACTTCAATTCCATTTCTAATAAACTCTTGTTCAAAAGATATATAAAAAATTGGGGAAGTCAAAAGGGCAAAATTTCATCCCGATGAAGGTTAAGGCCTTTCCTGAACTCTGAATAAAATGTCCTCTCACAGCGTATCTCACAAATGAACACGTAGGTTATAAGGGTCGGGGTATGGAAGAAGCTGCAACTCGAACATGCTACTAGGACAATGCAAAAGATGCTTCTTTACAGTCACACATGGTTTACAGTCACAAGTTTTCAAGCAACATTTGGTATGACTATAACCGGAGTCTACTGTACTTGTCTTTCGGTTAGAGTTGTTTGCAGGGCAGGCCCGTTCACCTGTTGCAATATCATTCTATAAAGACTTGAATCAACACAAAAAGTCAATCTAAAATAAATAAGAAATAAATAACAGTGTAGACTTACCACTACCGTCGCCACACGAGCAGCGATCCAACTGAAATAAAGCGGAAGTTTTCCTGTATTTATACGTTTATAGATAAATAAACCATGCATCTCAATTCAAACCATTCTTAGCAAAAAGCCAGAAGAACCACTCAAGAGAATTTCGAAAAGACAAAACTACATTTTCGGTATGGTTGGTTTAGAATTTGTGACACTTGTGCCATTTCACGAGCGCCAATCTTCTTCAAGAAACACTTGAATTGAAAAGCAATTTATCCTTGAAGTAGTCTTAAGAGGATCGAAAGTGTTGATATGCATGCTGGTCAAGTCTTTTGTGGATAGCCACGTTTTGTTACTCTCCTGATACCGTGCATAAAATGTAAACAAGTTTAGCAAAAATTCTAATATTTTGAAGAGGAGCCAGTTGTTTGGTGGAGCCTTCACTATCATACCTACCCTTTTGGCTTTCCCCTTTTTTTCTTTTGAAAAACCACTCTTCTACATACTGAAACGTGTATTTTGGAAACAAATTGAATGCTCTGGTTAGGGCCAAATGAAGGCGGGTGCTATTTCTGCTGCAGCCTTGGGCCCGTTCCTAATGTACGCCCTGCTAAAAACAGACGAGAATTTTCCAGAAGCTGTAGACCCAACAGAAGCAACCCTTTGAACGAGCACCCCTTTCGAACGAGCACCCCCTTTGAATGTGCACCCTGTTCAAGTTGATTCCAGATCCCCCTAACGAATAAAACTAACGATTTACTTTGTGGAGTCTTGGAATTATTTGACTTACCTTACTTTAGTTTTAAATTTGCTGTTGCTGTACGAATTAAATCAAGTTTTTCGATGAATATTCATGTTATACAGCATCAACAAGTTTTCTTCATTTCTTAGTCATGGTTTTGCAAACCCCCTCACAATACAGTATCGGGAATCAATTTGAAGAAACGAAAAAATGAATTTCTTCCACTGACCTGAGAAAAGCCAAACCTAGCTAGGTATTAAACTGTCTAGAGTTCTAAATTTCTTATGTCGTCGTGGATCTGTAAAAAACGCTTTAATTTGATTACGTATTCTCCATGTTATCTTTCCTGAAGACAGTGCTTTTCCCTTTGGCCAACAAATGACAGTTCTGTTCTACGCAAGGCAAATCTTTTCAAGGGTCGCGGATTCCCAAAATATTCAAACTGCAGTACATCAGAATTAGTTAGACTCTCCTTTTTGCAGCTTCATGTCGTACCCGTAAATAGAAACGAATCGATAGAACATTGTGAGAGAGGATTGGTGCACAGTCGATATGGGTTTGCACCATGAATGAAGATACGTTCGCGTAGAAAGGCACCCTTTTCTACCATTCCCCCCGTTCCCTCCCTCGGCTTCGGGCTTGCTAAATGAAGAGGGTCTTTTTATCAGGCTGCAACCATTGTGGTTTTTTAGGTCTCTGCGATGAAGACATTCTAGACGAAAGCATTGGAGTTGACGAAAAAATAGAAGAGCTTGAGATAGAGGTAGCTGATTCTTCTCTTGTCAATGTTCATCTTGACTGCGGACTGTGATGGCCCGAGGGAACAGGTCCACGTAGACTCTGAGAAAGCCCAGAGTTCTATTGTTTGCCACAAATTGAATGCTTTTCTTGGTACTACAACCCTTTGCAGTGTGATGATTATCAAAAGGCCTACAATTTATCTTTGAATTTTCCGGACGTGACATAACATAACAATACTAAAGAATACTAAAGGGGACACCTTGGGCTCTGGCTCTTTACATTTTTACACTCTAGCTGCCAGAAACAAAACGATTATGCATAAAGTTTATATGATTTTGTATATAGTAATATTTATTGTACCATATCTTATTTGTAGGCCGTATGTGAGACAGAAAACTTTGACTGTTCCGACTGTGAAAAGAAGTACAAAACGAAACGAGGATTAGCGCGCCACATTAGGGGAAAACATCCCATACCCGGACAAGTGGATTTATGCTCAGAGAAACCCGAAATTCATCCATTGGAAATTCGAGTTTACATCAGGTAAGCTGCCAAGAAACTTTCATTGGATCGTTGTTTTCCGAACCATTCGGCGACCTTCTGAATGAGAAACACCTCTGACCAGCTGATGTCCTCAACACAAAAAAATTGTCTATTTCGTTTAAAAAATTCGAAAATACAAATGGGCTGTCTGAAACTCCCCTGCATATCAGTTACGTTAGCTGAATGATATTTCAAAGAGCACATTAAATGTTACACTGCCAAGGTATCCAGAGCAATTGGTCTTTTAAAGTATGCAAAAAGATTTCTTCCTGTAAATTCCTTGAAAACGCTTTACACTGGCATTGTTCAACCCAGGGCTGTACGAGAGGGGGAGGGGAGGGGGGGGGGTATGGGAGCTCAGTCTTCCTTATATTCTTTAATGGGCCAAAGTCATTTTCGTTTAGGAGTGCTTACCTTTGGAATAACCTAGATTGCGAAACTAAGAACGCAACATCTCTAGGAAAATTTACAACTTTCCTCTAAAACTTTTTGCTTTGCTGGCTTTGTTTTAATATCATACTTCGGGTTCTTAACTTTAGTATATATATGTGTATATAATAAATCTGACAAGTTTAACAAAATTATGTCAAAGAGTATCAAGAATTGCGAGGGCAGGGTGGGTTAGAAGTGGTTGGGCTAAGAAGTGAAGTAAACAATTGAAATTAAATGAATGAAACATGAAAACGGTCTCCCAGTAATAGCACGTCCCGTAAAGGTGGATGTGGAACTCACCTCCCCCTCAGGCGAAAGAGTGCTTTTGATTTTTAATTTCAAACACTGGGGGGGGGGGGCAATGATCAGAATTTTACGGAATGTTTAAAGTGGAGTCTGTTGTAGTGTAGTGTTTCTCTTGCAAAGAAATGAAGACAAATTTCTCATTTCAGGTTTCTTTTAATGCAAAATTAAAACATACAAAATCGTTATCATTAAAGTAAAAGTTCAAAATGTGCAGTGTCTTTGCAATGTTCACGAACTTGTTTACTTTCCGTAACGGCGTCTTGTACAACGTCTACGGAAGGACCTTCTGCGGTAGAGAATACCGCGTCTACGGAAGATCCCAATCCTGCGCCTGCGGAAGATCCTGCGTCGTCGGTAGACAATCCTGCGCCTGCGGAAGATCCTGCGTCGTCGGTAGACAATCCTGCGTCTACGGAAGATCCTGCGCCTTCGGTAGACTACCCTTCGTCGACGGTAAATCCTGCGCCTTCGGTAGACTACCCTTCGTCGACGGTAGATCCTGCGTCGTCGGTAAACAATCCTTCGTCGACGGAAGATCCTGCGTCGTCGGTAGACAATCCTGCGCCTGCGGAAGATCCTGCGTCGTCGGTAGACAATCCTGCGTCTACGGAAGATCCTGCGCCTTCGGTAGACTACCCTTCGTCGACGGTAGATCCTGCGCCTTCGGTAGACTACCCTTCGTCGACGGTAGATCCTGCGTCGTCGGTAAACAATCCTTCGTCGACGGAAGATCCTGCGCCTTCGGTAGACAATCCTGCGTCGACGGTAGATCCTGCGTCGTCGGTAAACAATCCTTCGTCGACGGTAGATTCTGCGCCTTCGGTAGATTACCCTTCGTCGACGGTAGATCCTGCGTCGTCGGTAAACAATCCTTCGTCGACGCAAGATCCTGCGCCTTCGGTAGACAATCCTTGCGTCGACGGTAGATCCTGCGTCGTCGGTAAACCCAATCCTTCGTCGACGGTTAGATTCTGCGCCTTCGGTAGACTACCCTTCGTCGACGGTAGATCCTGCGTCGTCGGTAAACAATCCTTCGTCGACGGAAGATCCTGCGCCTTCGGTAGACAATCCTGCGTCGACGGTAGATCCTGCGTCGTCGGTAAACAATCCTTCGTCGACGGTAGATTCTGCGCCTTCGGTAGACTACCCTTCGTCGACGGTAGATCCTGCGTCGTCGGTAAACAATCCTTCGTCGACGCAAGATCCTGCGCCTTCGGTAGACAATCCTGCGTCGACGGTAGATCCTGCGTCGTCGGTAAACAATCCTTCGTCGACGGTAGATCCTGCGCCTTCGGTAGACTACCCTTCGTCGACGGTAGATCCTGCGTCGTCGGTAAACAATCCTGCGTCTACGGTAGATCCTGCGTCGCCGACGGGACCGTCTTCGTCGACTGGCCCTTCTGCGCCTACCTGCAGGTGTGGGGTCAGCTAAAAAAGAATCTTAAAATGTCACACCAAAATTGGTATCAATCAAGATCGGTGGGCTGTGTAAAATTTTCAAAATCAGAGTCTGGTTCTGGTGAGTAAATATGTCTCTTAAGAAAACTGCAAAGGTGAAAAAGAACGGTTGCAAGATTCTCATGCAAGGGTGGCAAGATTGTCGAACAGACAAGATCACTGAAATAAGCATTCAGTTTCCGAGTAATAAAATACTTACCACTGGTGTCCTTTGCTTCCAATTCTCCTTCTTCTAAAAAGCAACACACAATTTATTGGCTTTATATTTTATATGTATAATTTATTGGCTTTGTTCTCGACTTTGTATGATATTATGTTATCAGGGGAGTGGCATGCTCCGACAGGACATGAATGGGGAATTAAAGCGTATCTTCCCTCCACTAGCTTACAGGTCCAGCCTGACCCGACTGGTACCACCTGGCAGGGTTCCCTAGCTCAGGGCTACGAGCGATGGCCAACGGCTAACTCGGCAGGAGACTGGCAAGGAGAGCGGATGAGCTACAACTCCAGGGGTCAACGGCTTCGGGCGGAAGAACTCCTGGAAAGAGGGATGGTGTCTCCTTAAAAACACTGTAGAGGTGGTTCTGGGGGCCCATCTCTACTATTAGCCCCTTAGTTTTATCTATGACCATGACAACAAACCAAAACTCAGATTTTGGGATAGTTGGAGGGTCATGGTAGCCAACCTTCTGATAGAAGTTGGTACCTGATGATGATGATGATATTTATTACGTCATGAAATCACAGACAAACCATTTAAAAAATATCTATTTTAGGTTGTTAAACGCCTGCGAAAATAGCCCTGCAAGTCGGAGAAAGAGAAACAGGGCCTTCTTTAATGACTACTATGAGTGAATGAACTACTCCCATTTCTGATTGCTTTAGGGAGGAAGTTTGTGCAATCGGTAGGTAGGGCCAAGTAAACAAATTGACAGTTGAAATATGATAAAACTGAACTTACCCTCCTGCTTTTCTTCCGGGCTTGAGGGATCACTCTCCATTACCTCGTTTTCGTCCTCAGAGTCGGAGTCATTTGCAGGGTCATCGTTGTCTTCCGTGTCGGTTTCATCTTTTTCCTCAGCCTCGGTCTTTGCCTCACTTTCGGTAGCCTCCTTTGGATCTGCGTCCTTAGGATCAGCTTCAGTCACCTTAGTTTCCACTTTGGTAACTGCAAGGCAAAATAAAATGTCAGTTACTTGCTCCCTCTTTATTGTTTTGTGACGTTAAGAAAGGAAAGACAACGACTTAATTTTAAACAAATTAAAGAACTACTAACCAGTTTCTTCAGCCCCATTTGCAAATGCGGCGCAGCAAAAGGCCACAAGAACCAGCAAAGTTACTGCACGCATTTTGTGGAAAGATCTACAATCGAATTTAAAGAATTAGAATAAATATAAACAAATTCAATGAATAAAGATCAACAACGAGCATAAAGTCCCTAAAAATGCTGATAAATATACCCTTAACGAAGGAGGATCAAAGTCGCTAAAATACAAAATCAGAAAGTCAAAAGACAAAACATTCGCTGAAATTGAAAACAGATAAAAGAAACTTGAGGGAACCGTTGGGAATAAGAATATCTTCATCCGAAAATAATTTTGTTTAAAGCGATCGTTGAAGATTCAAGACGACAATCCTAATGCAGGGTGGGGCGGAGGGGCCATGGCCCCCAACTTTTTTGGTATGCAATAACATTTCCAAAGAGGCCCTGTTTTAAAGCATTTAATTCAAGTTCGACTTACAGAACTTGGCCCCCTCCACCTTGCAATTTGTGGTATGGGCCCTGTAATGGCTAGGATTTATGAGACTTTTCCGTTATTTCCCTCGTTTACCTCATATACCTTAGTATCGTTTCTATGGCAACAAATAACAAACTTTGGTTGACCACCTTCAAATCCCATTGGTTTAACAATACAATGCTTTTATGTTATATTTGCAATCGGCAGCGCGGATCAAAGTGGCCGAATAAGCTTACAAAAGTTGCCTTTATACGTTACGGGTCACCTTTCTGTATACGGGAAGTTAAAAATCAAATTTATTCTCCGTGACGAAAAACAATAGAAAGACAATCCAACCGACAATAGAAAACAGCCATTGCGGTTGGATTTGACGAAGAAAAAACGGCTTTGGCACTTCATGGCATTTCAAGAATGGGTGTTTTGTTAAACATGATACGAGAGATCGATTGCCATCCGAACAAGCCGAAAATGGCTTGTGGCCAAGGGGCGGCAAAAGTGATTGGAATGAAACAGTTGTGCTTATTTAAATAAACTTATCTGGTCAAGTGACGAATAACGGTTTTAAATCAAAGTAACGATCAAAGAAAACAGTGCTTCTTAAAGAAGACAGTTCGATTACCAAAACCGTAAGCAGTGGAGGTTCCTGTCGTCTTTTCGGTCCACAAATCCAAGTCAAAACTGGGTTGCCGTTAAGGAATTTGCGAATTTTTCCATACAACCAGTACACGTTAAGGGGAGGATTCGTTAACTCCTTTATATAAGAACACGAGCCTCAAAATTGGTCAAAAATTAAGAACAAATTAAGAACAAGCCGAGGCTGAGCTACTGTGAATTGCACTTTTGAACAACGTTTCATCTCAAAAACGAGGATTTTTAAATGTGGGTGACTAAACACTTCTCTAGAGCGTAAAAGCTAGCAATCGCACTTCTAACACGCTATTAATTTAAGAAGAAATTAAGAACAATCCGGCCTCATGTTTTCGAAAAAATAAAGAACAGTCAGCCTGAACTTAAATTCACTAGTTCTGAAAAAAGATAGCGTAACAAAGAATCTGGCAGGATGTGCAAGAGACCGATCTTGATTACCGTGGAACCTGATCTGAAAACATTATTACTGAAATCCTAGTAAGAATCCATAGCCAAAAACGCACCCATTGCTGGGACTTTAGAAAGCAAATGTGAAGTAGTCAAGAAGTAGAATAACACACTAACATACCTGTACTTCCACTAAAGTGCAGCAACACATCTGAAGTCTACCGCCCAGTCTATTTTATTTATACCATCAATGAGGAATAAATTCCAACCCACACAGTTTCTAATCATTGTCTAAAATTCTATACCACTTTTTCACAATAAGGGGATTACATACAGCAAGACAGTTAGACGATGCCCTTTGTGAAATTGCTTAGAAGACAGGATCTCAGGATCGGTATACAACAAATCAGGGGGTTAACGCTCCTCCGGAACTCTGCTCCTATCTTTTATTTCCGCGCTCGAGTTTATGCGGCTGTGGCTCGGGTGTTCAGGGAAGCAGGCAAAAGTGCATATTCGGAAGTGGAGGAAAATGATTTGTTTTTAAATAGTTTTGCACAGCATGGCATGCAGCAAAAAAAATTGCTAGGAAAAATTAGGCAGCTTTTCCACTAGCCTGGGTTAAAAAAACCGGGCTAAAAGTTGTCCATTTTTAAAGTGAGACAATAGAAACGGCAATTTTCTTCGACCCGTTTTTAAATTTATTCGGTATTCAGTATTTGCATCAATAATCCTTCAATTTCCATCGTTGTAGGCCAATGGAAGCGACATCGACATCGAGTACTTTGGTTTTTGATTTTTGGCTGTTGTTGCAAGTGGGTCAGAAGTAATCCGGGTTTCGGCGTTTCCATTAACTTGCAGATGGGGAAAAAAATACCCGGCTTAAAATTGAACCACTCTGAGACACGTTTTCAAACTTTTCCGTTTTTCAAGTGGGTGTGCGAAAAAGCGCGTTGTATTAACTTTAAATATTGTTTGTTTTTTGAGTCTTTCAGTTTGGTTGCCTAGTAATTTATGTTATATGCTTTTGCACTTTTGACAATAACAAATAGACAGGGGAAACATCATTTTACGTTAGAGATTAATTAAGCACAATGCACTTACGCGCATTGATTGTAATGATTATTAACAACTTTTAATCATACTACAGGTTTTGAGATGGTATGATGTTTAGACGTATTAGAATTTAAGATAAGTGAAAAGAATTATAAAGATGACCTCTCTTGATTGTTGTGTTTCTGCACAGTAGTAGATTAGAACCAGCGGAAGATTTGCGACAGTGGGTTAGTGGGAACTCGACGCAGAAGCGGAAAACTTTTAACCTGGATATGTTTTAACCCGGGCTAGTGGAAAGGCTGCATTAGGAAACTCGGCTCTATCTAAGCTTCAAAGTAAACAGTCAGCTGTCTATCCAAGGCTAAACAAATGGAAATTTCTATTTGTCATAAAATCACCAAAAACCCTCCTTACAATCTTCAATTTCACTCAGCGAACGCACTCCTACATTATTGTGCCTTATATATCAAATTTAATTAAACGACATGTGACTTACAAGTGGCAGCGAATGGATGACATATGAAAGGACATTGGAATTGTTACATACAGCATTTGAGGGAGGGGGCACACATTCGAAAGGGGATTTTTTAGACTGCTTTTTAGGGGGCACTCGACAATAATGTGGTTCATGGAGGGCTCGGTAGCCCAGCCAGGATTATTTTGATGTGTGAGTACATGTTGTACCGTTGTACGTGAACACTTTTGGATTCCTGCCACAAAGTTTCATATTGTTCTTTAACAGTGCTCTTTGCGTCCCTACAATAAAGCCACTGGTGCTTCTCTACTTTAGGAACCAGAGAAACAAAAAAAGCTTTAGCTGTTCAGTTCTTTACAGTTGATTTGAAGTTGTTTCTGTCTAGCATCCAAAGATAGACATCAATAAATCCTGATCCTTCCTCTCGATATAACCACGCCTATTTATTGCTACGCCTGGAAGTGCAGAGGACTGGATTGTCAAGGAATCGAACGCCAGACCCTTTGGACCTGTTTTTTTAAGATCAAACTTGTGAATTTCATATGTTAGGAATCTTGGAATTTTGAATGTAGATACATTTACATAATTAAAACTGAAAGGGTGGAGCAGACCAATCCAGTAATCGTTTTCTATCGTGAAGCCCTGTATCCACTGGATCTTAAATCGCACCAACACCGTTTATTTTCTTTTTGACGGCATTTTAGTTGAATTACATTATTTTTGACGGGCAAGGTGAATTTTCGGATGAGAAAATTGAAACGTTACAATCAGTACTGAGCCTACAGTTTTGAAAAGATAACATCCTGTACTGATCAGAAAAATTTAAAGTGGGAACTTTTTAAGAAACTACAAGTAGAAAGTTAGTTAAATGAAAAATTAAGAATCTTTCAGTACTAGAAATGTTCAACTTTTCTTCTAAAAAACGAATGTATGCTACGCTGCCCCTGCTGTCTGTAAACGTCTTATCATAAGTTGCTACGATAATGCTGCTGTGAAGGCGGAAAACATTACAGAAGTTGTAGCAGAAGAATTTGATCAAAGAAGAGTGTTTCATCTTACGAATCGGGCATATGCACTCGAATCACCCATTCCATTTGTAAAAATCGAAAGGACATTTGACCCTCTGAAAGCTGTTAAAACTTCCTTAAGTCAAAAACAAAGATGAAAGACTCAATTCCTTGATGCTTTTATATCGTTAAAGAGATATTTTTGAGAAAATTGATCTGCAGCAAATTAGCTTTAAAAATGGCAAAATAGAAAAAGAAGAATCATTGCTAATTGACTTTAAGGAATATCATTTTTTATCATTAAATATATATAATACTGGTTATGCTTGGATGTTGCTTTACTTACTACGACCAGTTTAAATGCTCGTGTTACATTAATCCAAACTCAGATTTTTACTTTATCGTCTTTAGTGTTTTTATACTTCAGGCTAATTAATATGAGTAAAATGATGGTTATAATAAAGACACTAGAAATCTGGAATTAGGAATATTTCCAAATATTGATTCTGTAGGTACAGTAGATACAAATGTCAAGAAAAAAATACTCAAGTAAAGTTGGAATTTTCATCATTCTACGACCCCCCAAATTAGCGACTTGTTTTCGTCCCTGGGCCTTGCTCTACACAGAACAACGCTGTTTTCATCTAATATCAACCTACTCGTTTTTCTCAAATCACAGCAACAACATTGCTGTGTTGGGGAAAGGCCCAGGGAGGAGTACTCCCATTAAGGCCTGACAGGGGGTCCAGTCGATTTGAAGGTCTTACCGAATGGCTACCAAATGGCCCAGTTTTTATAACAACACAACGGCTTAGTTTAGCTTGCGATTTATTAAAAACAATGAACAAGTTTTTATCTTTCCCGAATCAACAACAGTCAATGACGAAGATATTTGTCAAAGACCAGGCGCGTACAAAGAAATGGATGCCACCAATGATGTAATTTCTGTCCTTTGGCTACCTTTTGAGGGTTACTGTCAAAAAACACTTTCATTTGAGGGTAATTTTTTAACATTTTAGCTTTTGCCCTTATTGACCATGACTGGACCCCCTGCTAGGCCATAATGGGAGTAATCCTCCGGGGGAAGGGGCGAAAAACGAATGGAGTCTCACAATTTATGTGAATAACTTTTGGCTTGTTCGATTTCTATATCATAGAACCTTAATTGCTAGCAGCATGAAAGTGGATAATATTCTTTCGTTATTGAAAATTTAGAAAATAAACGCTTGACTAATGACAATTTATTTTGAATTTGTGAGCTCTGTCCGAAAACTGCTTGTTTTTTGTTGCTGGAAAGCCATTATTTTCTAACACATTTTCAACCCGCTTAGCATTTAATTATCCATCTGCTGCACAAGGTCATCGTTAGGTGCCAGACGTTCAAAGTCGAGGGATACTGGGCGGCAACATCAAAGAGATTCTAGGTATTGAATATTACACCTATTGTTTTTTCTTAGTTACATAATGATACGATATCAATGGATTGTTAGTTGCACCGTAAATCTTCAAATGGCTACCCCCGTAATACCCCTTCAAAATTAGCCTCACATTGGAAGTTCAATTTTTTAACACACCCCCTTCGAATAAGCACCAATTCCCGAAGTAAAAATTGCTTATAAGCCCCCTCCCCGAATACTCCCCACCCTGGAAGCAAAAATTTTTATAAGCGACACTCTCAAAAAAGTCCCCAACACAGTAGCATGCCTCCTATACAGGCTACCATGAGGGGCTTATTCGAGATACAACAGAAAGGCACATTATGACTGATGTGACTGCATGGACGAAGTGACCGCCAAAAACATCGAAAAAAAAACAATATTTTGGAACACTTTCTATTTTATAACTAACTATATGTAATCAAGCAAAATTGTAAATCGAATGAACTTGAAAATCATGAAATTAGTTTAAAATCTTTCACTTTTCTTGTCGCGACTGGACAGGATATATACAAACTAGACAGAAGCTTTCACTTCTAGGAAATTGATAGCCTCGTTTTCACTTCCTAACAGCGGAAGTCTGAACCACAGACGGTGTCTAAAGATAGAGGAAACAGATAGAATCAAACTGGGTCGAACTGTGGAAGCAAAGTCTCAGAAGATAGAAGGTATTTTTCTATATATCGAAAGCAGATGGCAGAAGTTTACCATACATGTATAATAGTCCCTTGGACACTGCTTTGTTCAGGTTCAGATGAAGATGTCAACGAAGAACAAGATTTTGCTGCTGCAAAACAGAAGGCGGTGAAGTCCATCGAAGGTGTATTGTGCAGGCTGAAGGCGGATGTTACAAAGACACTCCTACTTGTAAGCATCCCTCATAAGGTGTTTTGAATGTTTAAGGTCCTGTGAGGCGTTTCGTTAGAAAACGGAAAAAGTGAAAGCCAAATTACTTCCTTCTTAGAAACCCTTGGTCAGCAAAAACAAGAATGCAATGAACATACGGTTGTAAAAGAGGGGTCAGTGGTCGAGATAAATGCGTCTATAATCGGCCAGTCATTTTGAAATTTGAGTAAACCAGACAAATGCTACTGTGGAATAAGGAAAATACATGGGGGATTCCACTGACCCTATCATTTTCCTCTTCCGAATCAAAGGAGGCTACACTTCTTTGTTTGTGTAGTCATGAAAAGGGAAAAATGCCAAGGAAGCAAAAATGCTTCTGTTGACAGGATCGTGGACAGGAGCAACACAAAACAACAACAAAATATTACTTTAGAAGTGATCCTAAAAAACAGAGTGATAATAAATCAACTCATATTTTCAGCTGGTGTTAAGTGCTCCTTCTTTAAATCAAATCCTAACTTTGGAAAACTATCTATTTTAGCTACTCTCTGAGATGGTGCAAACTACCAAATTTAGAATCAAAATTTGATATTTGACTTAAGGATGCAAGCACAAACTTTCCATCAAATATAAACACTAAATGTACCTATTATGAATATTTGTCTTTCTTATAGAATAGCACAAATACTATTCAGCTCCAAGTTAAGAGGGCAAGTTGCTACAAAGGTTCAAGGTGTGAAACGATTTTGATTTGAGGGGCAATTGCTTAATTGGGAAATAATGCACCTAATTCTACCAAAAGGAAAAGGATTTATAGAGGGAGTCTCAGATACATAATAAAAGGTTTCCTCTAAAGATGTATCAGGTTCAAAAAAAGACCTGCCCCTTGCTTTGAATACGGCTCATAACATGCATGGAAAGAGGAAAGGAAGGCTCATCAAACTTGATTTTCAAATAATAAAGAGGGGTTGATGAAAGGAAAGTATACAGGAAGTTTTTACTATGCCCCAGAACGCTTTCTGTAATGCTTTTTTTAGGTACTTTGTTTTCTCATAAATAGCCCTCGTGGCTTTGCCAAAATAATGATTTTCCTAAGGGTACACAATTTGAAATAATTTGTGTCGACTTTAGGCACAGAGCAGGGTAGTGAAACTCAAGGCTTGACGCTATCAGTATTCCCCTGAAACACATTCAGCTTTCATTTCCTCTATTTCATTTCATTATTTCTACTTATAACTAGCCCAGTTTGTTTATCTTGTTGAAAGCATTGCAATAATGCAGACTTTAATATTAAATTTTCTGTTTATGTATGGCCAAATTGGGTAGTTATGGCCATACATAAACATATGCTTGAATTGGGTTTTGTTCAATACATATAAATGTTTCTAATTTGGCCATGACTAATACAATGAAGTTTTGCCAATTAATCAAAATGAGAAACTACAACCACCCACACATACATTATTTATTTGTCTTGGCAGCAGTATCACAAGTTTTAATGATGGCTGCCAACATGGTGCAATACCAGTGAATGAGTCATAGCATAAAAGGATTTTTAATTCTTTGAAATGTCTTTGTGTCACTACACAGTTCTTGACATCATAGCTAACATCAAAGGGAAAAACTCAATAATTTAGGTTACTGATCAAGAAAAATACAGATCCTAGACTTGGGAAAGAGTTGGAGTTAAGGAAAACTACTCCAGATGTTTAAGATTTATAGGTAAGATTTTTTGTAACACAGCCTGTTGTTTTTTTGCTGCTAGGTTGAATCACTGCTAGACAAAACATATATCATTATTAATCTGAATAATGAAATAATAAGGAGAGATACCACCATTTGTGACGTTACAAAAGCAAGAGGAAATAAGTGGATATGTCTTTGCCTCTAGAATTCGCTTGAAGTGGTCGCTGAGACATCAGTAATGGGATTTGGTTGGGGCTAAAGGGATTGAAGTTCTTCATACTTTCTTCCTGATCTTTAAAAAAGATTCTGGACATTAAGAGTAATCTCATATTAGTTTGTTTGCTGGTTGCTAGTAATGCCAGGTATATCCCAGCACCCTTACTTTTCACCCTTCCCTGTCCCTGATTTGATTTACCTTGACCCTTTGTGTGCCGCTACCCATAGTATAACAATTGTATTATTATCACCTTAGGATAATCTCTACTAGTGCTGTTTAAGAAAAAAGTTACGCACTATATTTTTGACCAAGTATTTTTACATAGCAACCTTATTCAACATTCAACAGAAACATCACGTGCACAAAATTATGAGCAGGAGGGGAGAGGGGGTTTGGACTGCTGCCCCCAAGAATGGAAAAGGTAGCAAAAATTGACAGCAAAGTTTTTTGAAGCAAAGTTATCAAATATTACTATATTTTGTCATTCGTATCCTTACGTTCTCAACAAACATTTCTATGTTTTTAATAAAATAAATCCGAATTTTAGGTGAGTGGCGAAATTACGACTGACCTCAATGCTGTTGCCAATAAATACAACGCCACAATAAAAGGAATGGAAAATACAGAATCTGTTGAAGATATTCTAATTGGCTCAAAGCAAATGATAGACGATTTGAGCGTTAGCACTGTCTATATGGTTATTCCGGATTCACATATGAACTACTGCAAGACAGTTTCGTCTTTTGTACGTACAGTATAGCATTTTTTGTTAATCTGATTTCCCTTGAATTTCGTGGAGAGGCCATAGAGTATGAGTACTTTGTAATAAGCGGCTTATGAGTCCTTCCATCTGAGAAAAAAACTTCATATCCAGGGGCGTCTACCCTGGAGGGGCTACAGGGGCAGCTTCCAGGAGGGGCAGAGGGGGCAAGCAGTGCACTTGAATATTCACTCCTAAGAAAAGATCATAGAATTTCGTAGATAATTGATGTATAGTTTACCCACACTCTTTATGTTAATTTTTATTAGAAATTCAAAAATATAAACAAAACCCTCTTGTCTTAGTCTTTTAAAAGGAAGATCCTTTTTAAGAAGACGATAATAAACTTAAAAAACCAACGGCGGCGTATAAGATACTGACTATTTTGCCAATTATCAGCATGAGGGTGTTGCGATTGTTTTCTGCCTTAATAAAAAAAACTGAAGTGAACAATTAGATGATTTACTTCTGATTCTTGTGATTATTATTTTACTTTTGATTCTTGAATAGTATTCACACTATCAATGATTCTGGTGTATTGAGACAAAACGGACAACCAAAGTCTTAAAGCCAGCCCATTTATAATTTAAATGAAAGACATTGAAATGCTTGCTCTAGGTGAATAAAATCAGGAAGAAATTTGTCTATTGGGCGACATTCCACAAATTATAGGTTAACCTTTTTGTTTGTTGAAGTTTTCTAGTCATAATCAGAAGAAGAAAAATGTCTTCCTTGTCTGAAGGGACGTCAAAGATTGCCAATTGGGAAACTTTTTGTTCAACTTTTCAAAAATGACAGGGAATCTTGCTAAAACTAATAAAAGAAATTTTAAAGCCAATACAACGTGACTGTACCAGGCATGCCCCCCCTCCACTTTTCAGAAACAGAGGTAAATAACAAATTTGCAACGCGCGGAGGCTCTGCGTTTACCCCTACATCCCCCCACCTTTTAAAATGTTAACACTTCTATTCACACTAAAATTGTGTCACGCCCAAGAGCTAGCGTTTAGTTTTACATGCTGTATTTTCGGACATTTCGTTACTTGTTAGAGAGACGAACAAGGACGGTCTTGGGCCGCGTAAGCAGTGCCTGGGTCGATCGGAAAACGTAATTTCTGCGCAATTTTTGCTTCTATCGCATTACTCGCACCGATTTACAGATAGCCTGCGTTGCAGTGGCTAATTTACAGTACACAAGAAGAGTGTAGCTATTACAGGATATGATTTCAGGAAAACAAAACGATCTCGACATGAAAGCGGCAATAGGAAATTTTGCCTTGCGGAACTTCGCGATTGTGGTACATTATTAGGGCGCCCGCAAAACACGCTCAGAAAACAAAAGGTTAGGATTATGTAATCGTCAACATATCGCCAGAAATTGTAATCCTTTGTTTCTTTTAAATTATTTATTTCATCTTGGTAATCGTTGATTCACAACAGCCATGATTTATGGATTTTTCTTGTCTTTTCCAACATCTACCGAGGCTGTGCCAAAGAGAGGTAGAGGGGGTAGAGGGCATGGGTCTACACTTTTCATTGCCCCTGCCCTTTATTGCTACTGAAATTGTGATGCTAAAACTGATCCGTTTTCTAAATAAATTCAGATCTCTTTTTTGTTGCAGATTTTCAACACGTTTACATACCAAGTTGGCTTTGAAGCCATGAACGTTGGGTTACCGACAGAAAGTAATGATAAAAACGAGGAATCAGTGTTGAAGAGCATCAGAGAAAAGCTAAAACTCCTACCCTCTAGCGATGGCCTGCCCTTGAAGACGCTGAAAACCATGTTAATACCAAACGATAGATTCTACCATGGTTATACAACCAGGACTGGCGGGGTTAGCACACACCCAACAATGCGGTCTCTTCCATTAGCAATGTCCCTACGAAAGAAAGATACAAGAGTATATATTGAGGAGAATCGGAGACGACTTGCAGAATCAGAGGGCTTCGACGTTCAAAAATTCGAGGTTAGTATATTTCTATTCAGTCCTGACGAAGGTCATTTGTGCCACCGGTCCAGAAAAGAGCCAAGCTGTTGAGAAAAGCTCTTTGGTGTTCTTCTCTCGGGTTTCCCTGCTTAAAAGATAAATGGTTTTGCTATTCTAGAGCGCAAGTGCGGTGCATGGAATTGATGTCTGGGTGATTGGAGATGAGCAACCTGAAAGCTATGACGCAATAGTTACCGATAAACCAGGATACACGATAGCAGCTCCTGGGGCTGATTGCCAGACACTCTTGTTCTGTGACCCCGTAAAGATGGTAAGTCGGCTGTTTATCGCATGTAACTATAATAAGGATTCGTCTCTATATGCACAAGATATGTTAAACCAATTTCTTTAGGTAATGAACGATTCATAAAGCAAAGTAGAACCAACCGCTGCAATGCAATCGGCTCAGACCTCAACAATAATCCTTTAAGGATGGTTCTATAGGATGGTTCTATCTTTTTATCAAATCTGCACGGCAAGGTGCCTGTTTTTTTCATCAGTGGCTCAGTTTCCTGAACTAAATTCTTTTCAATAATCTAATCTTTTCTTCTTCCTTTTGCGTATATCCCCTTCATCTAAACGAGGTCCTGTTAAGGAGTGTTTCAACTTGGCCTCCTTCCCATGAGCCTATAAAGGCTGTTTGACAACAGCAGTGCCAGCCGCTGCGAAGTGCGGTTGAAGCCTTGCTCTGGAGGCCTAGCACAAGATAAAGTATTCGATGCCACGCCCATTTCATACTCTAGAACCTCTTAGAAGCAATCTATTTCATAAATATTGAGCCAATTTCTGTTCGTTCAGATATATTACAGTGCCCCGACAAATAATTCTTGCTCAAAGAAGTTGGTAGATCATATTTTGAGAAATGCGAGGAAGATTCCCTATGTTGCAACACCCCTCCGGCCTTCCCAGTTAAAATAATTGTACAAACATCCCTAGGTTGTTGGTGCAGCGCATTCAGGCTGGAAAGGTACGATCGATAGAATCCAGCAAAATGTCGTGAGGGTAATGAAGGAAAGGTTTGGCTGCAAACCATCTGACATTCTAGTAGCCATTGGTCCGTCCATTGGTGTTTGTTGCTACAATGTGGACGAGAATCGCGCAAAGGAATTCATAGATGGAGTTGCTGAAAGTGTTGTGCAAAGAAGAGAAGGCATACCTTACCTTGATCTATGGCAAGCAACAAAGATTTTGCTTGCAGAAGTTGGCGTGAAACCAGAGAATATTGACGGTGGAAACAGGTTTGATCAAATACATTCCAGTTTACAACTACTTCAGGCTTACCATAAGCATGACGTTCTACTAATGTATCAAGTATAACGTAGAACAGTTGCGGAAATGGATCATTTTTAGTGGACCAGTAGTCAAAGAACGAAGCGGTGACTGGATCTTTTTCTAGTCTTCGCTTTTCTTTTTCCGCCTTACCCACCACAGAAGTAGCCTTTAGATCCTAAGACCCTAGAAGATCCTAACTTTAAGTTTACACTTAAAATCTAAAATTTCCTGACAAATTTTAATCAGGAGGCTCTTGCCCCATTGCACCCCCAGAATTTAAGTCCCTTTGTGTTATTATGCAGATTACGTACCCTGGGTACCAGGGCCTCAGGAATCCGGGGATAAAGTATTGTAGAAAGCTGAGGTGGCAAATAATTTTCTGTGGCTAGTTTTAAATTACATTTCTGAGACTGAGTAATGGAGACTCTGGAACCCAGGGTAGCAGTTTATGGAGCTTTAAATTAACGTAGGGATATACACTAGCCAAATTTGGTCAAGTGACGTTTTGATTATCTTTTCGCTGACTAGGTTTGTCGTTGATCGTTAAAAATAGGTGGATCAATTCGAAGTGATTAGCATCATTATGACTATTATTTTTATATGCATAATGCTTCAAAATGACCGTCACAAACTGAGGGACGTTAGGATGGTCTCCAAATGCTTCCCTGCGTGCAGCCACTATGACAGACACCCAGTCGAATAGTAGCTACACGCAGGCTATCAAACATACGTTCCTATCAATGAGCATAAATACATCAGCAACCTGCATAGAACTTAATATATGAAATTTGAAACTGGTTCACAGCACCAGAGCATGCCCACATTCGTCATCGCTTGCACATCACCCTTCATAATGTCGTATATAGTATACAATGCAACATAACGTATGATCTTTGAACCGAGCGGGAAATGGCCTATTTAAAAATCGGCAACGGCGTTGCAACGCCCCGCATCAAGGCCCCGCTAAAGGAAAGAGCGGAGGGTCCACGCCGCACGCATTGCACTCGTTGTCATCAAGGTATATTGATGAAATTTGAAAGTTAAGCTCCTCTCTCTATGGTCCTATCCACTTCTCTTTTCAAAGCATGGCTACTGCTTTTGTTCACCAACTCAAACATCATTGAGTCTACCAATGTAGTTTTATGTCAATATCATTTGAATCCACAACAAATTTTCAAAGAAAACAAGAAATTACAAACTAAGGTTATATAATAAATCATTATTTCAGAAACAATGCTGATGTGGATGGGCTTGGTTCCCAGAAGGTGACCCAGTGCACGTCATGTAACAAAGATAAATTCTTTTCGTACCGAAGAGATGGAGTGCTGTTCGGAAATCAAGTTGGATATATTGGCATCAAGATGAGAAGTTAAATATTGACACCAGGCTGTAATCAGTTTTTCAATGCACACAAGGGAAGAATTCCGCAATTAATCCCAATGATTCAAAATAAATCTCTATAAAAGATTTTAAACGAGTTGATTTGCCCATGAAAGACAATATAACAGGATACCAAAGAGGCTTTGGGGACAAGGGGACTGACCTCCAGGAAATAACTTGATAGATGCAAGCAAAGTTAAAGAAACGACTCAACCCTCCACTGGAAAAACCTCGACTACCCCTGCCCTCCAATAAGCCCCCAGGGGCTGAGGTATTACCTCAATAGCAATAGGTTTATCCCAATTTATCTGTATTTTTTGGTATACTGTCCAGCCTCAAACAGAGGAAGAAAATTTACCCGGTTAATATTTTTGCCTACTTCAAAATAAGCCACTACTTCCAACAAAGCTCTCTCTTCGAATCAGACTGTAATTGCCTCCCTTTAAATTTTTTCCTGTATCTTTGAATGTCTTATGGAAATAATTAATTGAGAAGAAATTTAATGTAAAAAAATCATCAATATTTTTTGTCTTTACCCTGATGCTGTATTATATTTCGTTTATAATTGTGTAATGAATGGAAAGCAATACAAACACAGCCATCCCCCTACCCTGGGTACCAGACTCAGTACCCAGGGTACCATTCCCCAAATTGGAATTTCGTTCGGATGACACTAAGAAGTCTTCCTAGTTTATTCAGTAGTTGAGAGTTAAAGAAGATTATGCAAAAGAACCGTTTCGCTATTTTGGCAGTTATCATTCTTTTTGGTTTTAGGATGAGATTTATTTTGCTTAAAATGATGTCTTTTTTGCGACTGTTCTATTTATTGACAACGCAGCAAATTGACGCAGTGAAGCGACGCAACAAAATGTTGCTAAAAACAGTATTAAAAATTTGGCTTAATTTGACTTCTTTTCGGCATTTACAGCTCCTCCTAGTACAATGCAATAGACCTTTTCAATTAACCGCGTCGAAGGGAACTGGGTCTAGATTTGGGATGAAAAACCGAGCAAAGTTTGCTTCGTTTGCCTTGCCTAGCCTCTATTTGATTTAAGTCTGCAAGCAGGACGTAAGAAGTTGAAAATTTAAAAGTTCTAAAAATGGATTTTTGAGACGCCACCTCTTCGGAACTCTCTTTTCCGTTGTATATGAATTAACGTGCCAGTGTGATTCTGGCTACGTAGAACGCACTACTCAAAGATTGAAGGATAGAATAAAACAACATGTTTCGGCTAATATTAGAAACAAAACTCGTCCCCAAAGAGAACAGCCACCTCGGTCTTGCAGATCTAAAAGTACAACTAAAACCTGCGATTCTGCTATCGGGCAGCATTTACTGGAAAACCCAGATTGTGCAAAAAACTATAATGGCGACATGTTTCGGATTATTGGTAAAGCCCGATCGTCGTTCCACCTAGCAGTTTTGGAATCTATATACATAAGCACGAAAAACCGCTACTGTGTAGACAAAAGGAGTTAGTTTTCACCTTAGGACCCCATTGGTAACATTCTCAATAGGCAAGCGGCACTGATTGGTCAACCTCAACAGTCATGTGCTCGTGTTTCTGATTGGCCTATTTTGATCCACAACTGGGTATATATATTTTCTAGCGCAGAGTTTTCGGTCTATGTTCTGACGTTTTAAACTCTGAAGAGTGTCAGACGAAAAGCTTTAGTTTACTAAATGTTTGCTTTTTTCAAAGCCATTTTCTCTTTTCTTTCTATGATGAAAAACACAGACGAAGTTGTTTACTATTCATCAACTATGGCCCTGAGTCGATAGCTCTTGTCTCTCAATGAATCAGACCATTTTTGATACGGTGCAACCATATCAGTTATTGCAATTTCATTGGACGAACATTGCAATTTCATAGCTTGATGACCTCCGTTTGCCTATCCTATTGGATTAGCTGGTTTTGATTAGGCTTATCGATATCGAAAGATTTTTTTAATTCTATATCGAAAGATCTGACAAGAATGAAAGAACGTCTGAGTGGATCAATGGGGTTGATGTGCGTGCATCCGTAATGATTTCGACCTTTTTGTATGGGCCAAAGTAGTGCAATTTACAGAAAGCATTGTTTAGCCGAAAATCCCTTTCTTTTTTGCCAGTTAAAGCTGTCTGTACCCACAACCAGTACAAAAAGGTTCCAGTGCACTTAAGAATGCATGTTTTTCCAAGCCAATTAACCACGTCGTGAGGGCACAAAACGGTCTGATAATCGCACGTTTTTAGGCTTTCTAAAAGTGATATTTATTTTTCTATTGTTTTAATCATACTTAGTTTGTTCCTTCCTTCTTGAAAGCAACAGAAAACAATTGAAAATACACTTATAGTTAGTATTCCAAAGATATGAGGCTTACTTTATATTCTCAGCATACATTACTCATCATATACTTGTAGTGACCATTGTCATACCGTAAAATGTCGTCTATTGAATAATTGTCATTAACACCTTTGATTGTCTCCGTAACCACAGTAACGTAATCAACAACACTTTTGTAGCGTCCCCTCGTTTTATGTGTATACGCCCTGTAATGTAGTTAGTTCAGTTATAATCAAGACGCGCAAGAGCCATATCGTCTCTTCTCTGGCTCCGTGTTCTCTGCACGTAAAATGAGACTCGCTGGGTTTGGAAATGACACGTTAGTCAAGGATGGATTTATTTAGTGCTTACATTGATCGCCGTTCCGATGTACACTAAATACTCTTTTTTATAAGAACCAGGTAATCATTGCAGGGCTGTATCTACTAGTGTTCAGCGGGGTTTCATCGAGGGGCGATTCACTCTTGCAAATAGCGTACGAGATTTTGCCTAAAACAAAAGGATTTCTGGAGATTTTTATATAAAACAATAGGATTTTCACAAAAGGTGTACGAGATTTTCTTAGAGAGATTTGCCCCTCGGGTGTCCTGCCCCTCTCTTACCAATTAATGATTTCCTATCTTATTTTTTCTTTCTAATGAACATTCCCTTTTGTTCCTATTGATCTCAAACATTGGTGCCCAATAGTTTTTTCCTTCCCACAGCACTTTTTTACATTAAAAAGGTTATAAAGCCTTAATTCAACATTTATTTTTAAACAAATACATGGTATCAATTGTTTTTAAGATCATTAAACATTAGTTTTGCACGAAAACTTTTGTAGAACGGTCGATATTCAGATAAAACTTCTCTGATTTGGTTACCTCAGAGCAATTTTTAAAAACCATTCGTTTTTCATCCGATTTTTCATCTGAAGCTGATCTTCCAATTTTTCTGACAAAGCGAGCTTTGGTGTACTTATAAAGTGTACTCTTATAAAAAAGAATGTTGGTTATCGTATGATATACTCTCTACGTCCAGGGGTGTACTGAAATTGGCAAATATCTACTTTAACATTCTGAGCAAGAGTTTGTTATTTTGATAGCATGACAACACTGTCTACGTCGATGCCTAAAAAGATGCTTAGCCCGATCGTGTAGTTTCTTTGTAGCACTCCTGGACTAAAACAGCTTTTTCAGTGTCTAAGCAACAGAAAGAAAATGTTATTAAAGAATCTTGCTGTAAACATCCGTGACAAAATCTTAAAGGATTGCTATTATCACCAGAGTCAGGAAAACATTACGGTCGCACGGCCACTGACCAGAGGAAGGTCCACGAAAAACAATAGAAGCTCTTATGACACACCCAAGCCACGCCCATTTTCTATTGTCTGTGAAGAAGGTTTGCCTTCTGGGATGTTTTTGTCTGGAGGAAGGTTAACAACTTTTCTGGACTCTGATTATCACCATGGCTTTTTGTCGCATACCAAAGTTCTTTTTGATGAAATTCAGAGCTGATGTCAATCATATTTTTATCGTCATGAAAGTTGGTAAAAAACTTACGCCTTGTTTGAATTTTATGAAAACTTTTAAATGTTTTCGCAACCAACATAAATCAAGGAAAGCGACAGACAATCTTCAACAAAAAATGAATGCAGCTCTCACATTGCAGGGATTTCACGATTTGTCATGATTTCAGTCATTTTGTGGATTCCTATCAAGTTTCGTTATCCCGCAAAACCCCCTTGCAATTTTCGATATCGCCGCGTGGCAACTTGACTCTCGATTGGCGATTCCCCTTATAAATTTGCTTACAGTGCGAATATGCCATTTCAATAGAAATCGAAAAGAAAGGGGAAATAATCCTCCGCATAATTATCTTCATTTCTTTTGAAAGCTATTATGCTAAAAAGATATCAAGGCTGAAGAATCTTTGGAATTCTTGACCGAATAACAACAAGTGTGTTGTGTATTACTTGTGGGACATAATGAATGATGCTAAAGACATAATTAATTAATGACATAATTAGGATGTGAGACATGATTAATGATGCTAAAGAGTTTCTTGTCTCTCTTACTCACAGCCCTTTGAATGCCTAAGTCGATAATGATCTAAGTAAATGGCAGCGCCCAAACAATACTTCACCCACGGGTTGTTGACCCGAAGAACTGAAGGCAAATTATTTGCTTTTGTACTCTCACAAGGAAAGCTGATTGACACATTGCTTCCTTGTACCATTTGTTTTGACGATCGCATATTTTCCGCATTCGAATGAAAAATATGATACTCTAGCCTACTACAATCTTTTTTGTAAGAACCAGTAAATTTAAGTTCAGGCTGACTGTTCTTAATTTCTTCGAAAAAATCTGAGGCTGGATTGTTCTTAATTTGTTCTTAAAATAATAGGGTGTAAGCAGTGCAATTGCTAGCTATTTTGCTCTAGGGAGGTGTTCAGGCCTCATTTGCCAACAAAGTCAGTGAGACAGCCTTAATTTGCCTACAAGGTTAAACATTCGCCAAAAAGGATAAAACTCCTCGTTTTGAGATGAAACGTTGTTCAAAATTGCACAACATAAAAATAAACACAACAAGCAGCAAGATAAAATAACAGTTCTATTTTTTCATTTTGCTAGAAGGCATAGATTTGTTATGTATAGATAACAATTCTGATTCTAAAGCTAATCAAAATATACAAATAAGGGTGCGTTTCGTAGTATTATGTGTTTGATTGTAAAAACAATAGTATCTTTTATATAATTGGATGGTAGATTTAAGTTGTTTTAAACCCCTCCAAAAAAGGAACTCTTTTAAGGGGATTACGTAATCCATTTGCCTTGTTTCATGCGACCGCCGAAGTTTCTGAGTAATACTTAGGCGCGTGTCTTACATATGCCCATTACTAAAATAGGCCAAGGCAGGGGCGCTGAGAGGAGGTTGATAGGGGCAAAAGGTCCGCGGCCCGTGCTAGGGCCCGTAATAAAGTTACAAAATCTATTTACAATGCAAAAAGCTACAATTTCAGATACTAATACGGAATCAACGCCTGTAAGTTCATCGCAGAGAAATGCTCACATGTCCTTGATTCATGAAAAAAGTGTTTTTGCACATTCTTGTAAAAATCATTAAAAAACTTGTTCAACAATTGTACCTACAAAGGGCGTTTCCATTGATCTCTGGGAGCCTGAAGGGCGTGGCAATAGACAATTTTCTCAAGGGGATCAGTTTTGTGCATCACTCCTGGGTCCGAGTTGCCTCTCGACGGCCCTGGGCCAAAGTAAGAACACAGGAGAATTTATCTGAAGCTGAATTGGCCTAATAAAAGGTCCTCTAGGTTCCTCAGCATTAGGCCTAATTTTGGCTTACTTATTCAGTACTGGGTGTTTTTATTATATCGGCAGCCCAGGCCTGCGTTTCTTATAAACGTTGTCATTGAAAATGGGTATTTGACTTTGATCAGTGCGTCCCCTTCATTCATAAAATGCAAATTTTTAAATAGACTTTGGAAAATACGCAGTTTTACGTAACTCAAGCAAGGTAACCAGATACAAACATCGTCTTTTGCCAACGAACGACAAATGAGATCAACGTGGTTTTAAAGTAATTTCGATACTTTGTTTGGCAACCTGTCCGTTTTTAACAAATTTGCAATAACTGGCATTGAAATGTATACGTAGGTCAAAATCAAACGTTTATAGTTCAACGAAATGGTACAAACTTTGATGAGCCTACTTATCAAAAGTTAATATTCTTGACATTTTGCGACTCTGAATCAAAAGTATAAAAGAATCCAAATAGACTTAGCAGCAACGGGTGCTGATGCTTCACTGAGCGATTGCGTCACATTGATCAGCAGTTTGGTTGCTTGACGATCATATCAAGGTAATGATGAAATTATGTTCTTTTTGCATGTTCATCCAATAACGTTTGATTCTGTGCTCCAATGAATAATTTTACATAAAGATCCAGAGTAAGTTCTAATTTATATGTTTTCTACATTCGGCCTCCTTATGTCTCGACAATAATTCGAGCATGCATTTATTCGAGCAAATTTACTTTCTGCCGAAAGTTTGAATTATTGGCCAATGACTGTGCTTCAAAATCTTGACTAGATATAAATATTCATAATTACATACATGGTATACATTTTCAAGATCATCCATCCTTTATATACTGGGTGTAGGATGTGATATAGGAAAGCACTGTAGCAAGGTGCTTTTTCCAGCCATTGAGGGACACTTGCTTGGAAAGGATTAAATATTTATTTATAAAAGGCTAGATGGGCCACTCGAGGTATGCAGTCAACGTTTGGATTATTACACCCGTTTAAATTTTGCGAACAATTGTTTCTCATAGGAAGGATTTGATCTCCTTTCGTTTTGGGGTAAACTGATGCAGTCTAAAGAAAAACTTGTCCTTGGAAAATACTAAACTGCGTGTAGAGAGGTAAAATTGTGACGTCATAAAAATCTATTCCTTCAACTTTTAGATTTTGTACACATAACTTGAAAAAAAATAATATATTTCAAAGTATGCAAAATCAGTTAGGTCTGTTATGCACTGCCTTAGATAGGCCACCTGACTACAGGCTTTCCCCCCATAAAACCTAATTTGGTCCTGATTCTTAAATTTTATAAAACAGGCTACTACGCTCCTCCGCTTCACCGTTTAACTTTCTTTTACGCTCTCGAATTCATGCGGCTCTAGTACCAAGGGTCTAGCCAAGCAAAAATAACATTGATCCATTAGTTAACTTAGCGACAATAACATTGATCCATTAGTTAACTTAGCGACAATAACATTGATCCATTAGTTAACTTCAAACCTTTAATCGGTCATATTTGAGGGAATTCGAAACAGATTTAATTGATTCTACATATTTGGGTATATTTCACCGAGTCCTTTTTGATTATGCGGTCAAATTGAAAAATAATTAAAATGTATGTTTATGATAGCATTGCCAATCTTTCACTCGCTTCTGCGTATCAGTTTGCTTTTATCCATGAGAATTATACATTCATTCAAGTAAATATATCAGCTGTGTAAAAACAAATTTCCAATAAGCAAACAACACTGCAGCGAAACATCCCAAGAACAATGCAAACGCCAAGAAGGACTTTGTGATTGAATTTCACCCAGTTGGACAGGCTTTTCAAGCGACTTAAAAAAGAAGGTTTGCGTGGGGTTTTTTGTCCTGTGTACACAGGAAACGGTTTGTGAAAGTCGACCACAATTAGAAACACTTGTTTGGATAACAGACTTAAAAGGCTGCCTTGCCGAGAATCTTCTTTACACATGCATATTTACCGTTGAAGCAAAACCTCTTTGAAATTTCTGCTTTTATAAGTTTATTAGCGTCCATCCATGTTTCCACATTTCCCTTATCCATATTTCCATGTTTGCATAATTCCATATTTGCGTAATCCACTCTTTCAAAACAATTATTCTTGAAAATGAATTATTCTCTAAGCATAACATCTACTAATACCAATATGTTGTCAAATATTTGTAGAGGATACAAGTTTATGATGTAGCAATAATCTGAATAAAGAGTACAAAAACAATTTGAACAATATACGATGGATTCTGAGACGATCTCTATTTACCAGTCTTTCAGAAACACACAGGGTTTGAAAATAGCACGGAAGGGCGGGGACATGTCATGCTAAAAGGCTTTTCAGCCGAAAATAGCCAGAGCATAAACGTCGGATAATGTCTAAAGGTAAGCTGCAATTGGTCAAAAAGGAACCAATTAAACGCGCTATTTTTCTTTTCAAGTCACCTTCGATCCACACCTCGATACAAATTTTTTCCCTCTCGAGTAACTTCGATTTACCCCTGCATACAATTTTTTCCCTCTCGAGTAACTTCGATTAACCCCTGCATACAAATTTTTTCCCTCTCGAGTAACTTCGATTAACCCCTGCATACAATTTTTTCCCTCTCGAGTAACTTCGATTCACCCCTGCATACAAATTTTTTCCTCTTTCAAGTCACTTCGATTCACCCCTGCATACAATTTTTTTCCCCCTCGAGTAACTTCGATTCACCCCTGTATACAAATTTTTTCCCTCTCGAGTAACTTCGATTCACCCCTGCATACAATTTTTTTCCTCTTTCAAGTCACTTCGATTCACCCCTACATACAATTTTTTTCCCTTTCGAGTAACTTCGATTCACCCCTGCATACAAATGTTTTCCCTCTCGAGTAACTTCGATTCACCCCTGCATACAAATTTTTTCCCTCTCGAGTAACTTCGATTCACCCCTGCATACAAATTTTTTCCCTCTCGAGTAACTTCGATTCACCCCTGTATACAAATTTTTTCCCTCTCGAGTAACTTCGATTCACCCCTGCATACAAATTTTTTCCTCTTTCAAGTCACTTCGATTCACCCATGCATACAATTTTTTTCCTCTTTCAAGTCACTTCGATTCACCCCTGCATACAATTTTTTTCCTCTTTCAATTCACTTCGATTCACCCCTGTATACAAATTTTTTCCCTCTCGAGTAACTTCGATTCACCCATGCATACAATTTTTTTCCTCTTTCAAGTCACCTTCGATTCACCCCTGTAAACAAATTTTTTCCCTCTCGAGTAACTTCGATTCACCCCTGCATACAATTTTTTTCCTCTTTCAAGTAACTTCGATTCACCCATGCATACAATTTTTTTCCTCTTTCAAGTCACCTTCGATTCACCCCTGTAAACAAATTTTTTCCCTCTCGAGTAACTTCGATTCACCCCTGCATACAATTTTTTTCCTCTTTCAAGTCACTTCGATTCACCCCTGCATACAATTTTTTTCCTCTTTCAATTCACTTCGATTCACTTCTGTATACAAATTTTTTCCCTCTCGAGTAACTTCGATTCACCCATGCATACAATTTTTTTCCTCTTTCAAGTCACCTTCGATTCACCCCTGCATACAATTTTTTTCCTCTTTCAATTCACTTCGATTCACCCCTGTATACAATTTTTTTCCCTTTCGTGTCACCTTCGATCCACATCTGAGTATAAATTTTCCTTGGATTTTGTCCGACCTCAAGACTCTGACGAGGGTCGGACGTAAAATACTTAACTATGACATTTTTCCGCCTTACGTGCTACCCATAGTTTCGCGCGTCTAGCAAGTATTACTGTTAATCGGAGTAATGAAATCGAAGATAATATAATAAGATTTGGTTTTTACAGCACTGAAGACGGTCATGAATAAAAAAGAGTCAAAGTGTAACCTAAAATACATCTTTAAAGCTTTCATTTAATATAATAAGATTTGGTTCTTACAGCAGTTTTTACTGCTTTTTGTTTTAAGATATGTTTATATATGGTTTATCAAATGAAAATAGCTGTCTGCAGGTGCAGCATAAATAAAGCGACCCCTCAAGATTATTTTTCCTTTGTGAAATAGAGGCACACCTTAGAGAGCAACAATAATCTTCAAGGCCGTGTTACATGGAGCATTTGTCATTATATACTCGTCAGATATCAATATTATCAAAAAAGGTGGATATTTTCTGCGTAAATATTGTAACTGATGCTTCTGCGATGCAGCATTGCAACACGTGCTTCTGCGTAATTATTGCATATATAGTGCTGCGAAGATGGAAAAAAGGTTATAGTCAACAAAAGAACATTCAACTTTAATGTTAAGCCCTGGTCAAACGATCCAACTTTTCACCCAACATTTCGCCCAACATTTTTCTTTTATGCTGGAATGTGACCCAACGATGGTGGTCAAACTACCAAGGCTTTATCTAATGAAAATCTGATGATAAAATCTGTAACCGGGATTTTATGAATAATAAAAAAATTATTTCCCAGCAAGTCTCCTTTGCAATATCACCATTGAAACGAGGCTTCATTGTAGCCAAATGACCCAATTCAGGACACCTTAGTTCGCTAATTAAGGACCACCGATTATATAACCATGATTTCAAGACTTCGCTCAAGTTCAACTTGTTTTCAAAAACTCCAAAAGTTCTTTGACTGAAGCATATAACTCAGCTTTCCATAGTTAACGAGAAAAATCACGATCTTAATCTTGCTATTCTGTTTAACAAGCTAGACATCACTGGACGAGACTTTCCTGCAGTCCAAAGATAGTGACCTCATTTCAGTCTCATTTCTAAGGACCCCGTTACTGATAAGGAACCCTGATAACAGTCACCCCCAAACAACGGACAAAAATGTTGAGCAAAAACTACCATAGCCTTATACCAGTTACTTCAGCATAGCAGACCACATCTTTCCCTTTAACGGAAAACGAATTTCCAATGTTTTCGCTTTATCAACATTAACTGTTGTATTAATTGTCTGAACCTATTTATAATATGTATAGTATCTAAAATTCATGCTGCGTCCCGGATGAAATACATGAAAGGATAAACAGAACCGAACAAGGAATCAATTGGGAAGAAAAACAGTTAGTGGTTAATAAAAATTAATGTAGCTAAGGATATTCAAAAATCATAATTCACAGACTAAATTGCAGTGCTCAACTTTCTGTCAGTTGACAGGGAATATTCCTTTTGTACCACCGACAGAGGTCCCATTTGGTGCTTACTAACTGACAGCCCTTTGCTTCTAACGTAGTGAATTAAAAGAAATTTTCAATTTTAGATACAACATGAAAGCACTTGTTACAACACTTGCCATTGTTCTCATGGCCTGCGTTGCATCAAACGCCGTACCTGACTGCGGAGGAAATATTCCAATGCAAGTACGTGTGCTATTCTAACAGTAGTTTATTCTATAACTCGTATTATTGGAGGATTTATTATAGAAACAGTTCTAAAGCAAAACGAATGTAAAAGAGATTCAGATATACTTATTGAATGCATTAAAGGTTTGGAAAATCAGAAGTGTCATGCATCTTTTGACATATTTTGAGAGTTTTGAAAATACTTTCGAAAAACCTGACATGAAAACTTTTATATGAAAAATATATCTGAGTCAAATACATTATTTTGTTATAAAACTATAATATTAAACACTTTGGTTCTACACCCTTGGGGTTGTAACAAGTCAAGAAACGTTCAATGTTTTGAAACCTTCTTATAAAAAGTCATTTACTAACTAAATTTGAATCCCTTTTTAGAGTGCAGAGGGGGTGTGTCTTTTCAACCAAAAGACCAAACAATTAAACCAGACGTACATGATCATATATGTCACATCGAGAAACGAATTTCTGTGTCTAAACAGAAGCAATTTCTTAACTTTAATTTGAAATCAGAAATTGCATAATTAAGAAATTATGACGTGAAGAAAAGCACCCCTGTAAAGCACAAAGTTACCCGCAAGAATATCTTGAAAAGTTATCGGATTTTGATTTCACTGATTTTTTCACTGATTTTACAATTAAGATATTCACAGTATTACAACAATCAGTTTCATCAATGTATTCTACGTTTTAGCAACTCTACATGATTAATCTCAAAACTTTATTTTCCACGCTCTAGTTATGCACCCAGTTGAAGAACATCGAAGATCGATTAGGCCATCTTGTTCTGAGCTCTACATCTTTAATAACAAGGGCCGTCGAAGATGCAGCGAACAGAAACGCTGTTTTGTTTTCAAAGACAGTTCAAATTTTAAGAAACGCGACGAAGAACAGACCGATGAACGAAACTGAATTCATGAAAATACTTAACGGTAAGTACAAAAACGTTAACGCTGCCTCCAAAAAGCATGTTTTCTAGGTCTATGTCCATTAGCGAGGGCTATTCTTCTGGACTCTATTCGATAATTCAGCAAAATACAATCTGTCTACATATGATCTTGCTTCTACAAGCAGCCCTCTACTAGCCTCTATCTCACTATTGCCTCATTTTAAAGGACGTCACAACGGCGAACAAGGCAAGTTGGAAGTTGTCAATACTGCATTGAAATACCAAATACGGTCCATTTGACGACAGCAAGAGCCATCAACACCCACACACAAAATATCATTTAATTTACCTCCTAAATCAACAAATTTTACAATTAAGAAAAATTTTCTATTTCTATTATCTCAAAATCTGTTATTTCGACTTTTCAGTTTTCAATAAACATCCTGCACTGCTGGAAGAGCCCAAGGGGTGCACTTCTTCTTTCTATTTCCTCTGCACGTGCATTTTGACGCTTTTGTCTGCTTCTAAATCTTGACTCCAAGGAAGCTATTGAAGATCGGCCTTCCCTGCTGTCTTATTCACAAGATTTGTTTTCCAATTGGCGTTGTCTTTAGTAGGATTTGTTTTAACCTGGTGAATTTTGCTGACGAATGAGATATACACGTTATTTTTCTATAAGAAACTTGGATCAGCACTAAGCACTGACAATTTCTTAGTCTGGCATCCAAATTTTGGTGTTTTAGTACTCAAAGAATCTTAACTGCTTTCATATTTTCGGGACATATATTTCCTAATTGTTTTGAGGTTGAACATTTTGGAAGAATATAAAGGCACATTGTCACGAAAAAACGCATGCAGATCAAAATCCAAAGTATCTTTTCCAAAGAAAAATAAACAAAGTAAAAACTTTTGGACTGGAAATTTGGAAATTTTACAGTTCCTTAATTCTCCTTGATCCTAGTAATAAAGCTTCTTCAACTTTTAGACATCCTAGCAACATTTCTTATAAACCTTTTTCTTATCAATAAAAAACGTGTATTTATTTCAATACTACATGCATAGTATCGTTTCCTAATTGCTGCCTGATGATGGTATCCGGGCTGCAACTTCGAAGCGTCTTGTTCTTCACACTAAAGGCCGATTTCCATTTGACATTTTTTGTGCGCGCGGGTGTATCGCCCAAATCTGAGCATGCGTAGTTGAAATCAAGTGGTCCCGATTTTGCGTTCGCTGTGAGCGCCAGAGAGTTGATAGGGTTTCAACCTTTTTGTGCGCTCGGCCACTTGACAGCAGCACTTAGCTACGCATGCTCAGATTTGAGCGCTACCCCGCGCACAACAAATGTCAAATGGAAGTCGGCTTCAAAGTAGTTCGGGCACTATAACAGGCGTTTGGAGACGACCCTGTATAGATCCGATCTGGACCGGATCGCTTTTAAATGGTTAAATCTGTTCCAGATCGGATCTTCCTTTATTGATTATTGTATGTTATAAACAATTTTCAAAATGCGCATGTGTGAAGCATGTGGATCGCATCTGGGCCCAATCCTGTGTAAACGCAATGCTATTTTACCTGATCTTATCCAAAACCCAGAGAAATTGAGAGCAAAGCTCAGAGAAGCAAAAGTTCTATTCTACGCACCAATCCGTTTTCTAAAAAGCAGATATCTATCGCAAAACATCATAATCAATAGGCTTTGTTTATATCTATATAAGTTGACTTTTAATTTTGTGCAAAAATTTATACTTGCATCTTGTAAAGAAACTCATGTTGCCTATCTTCAAGAATTCAAATCTGCATCATACGCTTCTATATGAGAACTTTTAATGTACAAAGCCAGGCCAAAAATTTTCTTGCCCACATTCTGTGAGCTAAAATTTTAGAACAGGGCCTCCTACGAAGGAGGCCGGGAGGCATGCCCCCCCCGCATTGTTGCAATACTCAAAATCTTTTGCTATGGGTGTTAAATTTTACTTTGTCACCCTCCACTTTCTGACCTGTGTCGGAGCCCATGTAGAAAAAATTGCATGTTTTGCAAAAAGATAAATAATTACCTTATTTTCAATAAAAAAGTTTGTCCTGCAAAATAACCGTCTCTTGCATTTTTCTATATATGTATCCCAGCGTGAAAAGAACTTTGACATTTATCATAACAATGAAAATATTAAATACTATCTTTTCTCTTTCTTGTAAAGACTTGCAAAAAACTTTTGAAGATGCAGAGAAAGCGAGAAGAAAAATTTCCTCTCAAGCAACCAAACACGTTGGAGATGCAGCAGAAGGATTTGTCGGCGTAGTGCAGAAGATTTTAAAGACGGCAGTTGATGAAGATCACAGCAGTAAGTATAAAAGATCAACAGTTGCAAAATATTTGGTGGGGGCTTTTGGCAAAAGACCATTCCAGTGTACTATGCATTTCTGCATGGGCTGAAACGCGTATCCGTTTTGCGACTTGCAGTGTAATGGTGGATGTGCAGGGCCTAGCTGCGAATGGCCTGAAGCGCATTTGCGTTAGACGGGACACATAGGTTTATATACCTCTCAAATAGAGACCAAGACATTGAGACGGAAAATTGAGCACATTCAGCCTCCGTGTTCTTAACTATAGGTTGAATCGCTCTGTATAAAAAGACTGAACTTCGATTCGTATTGATTACATGGATCTACAAAATTAGAATAAGGGGAACTTATAATGCTTTTGGTGTTTTTGTTAAAACTGAGAGATATAGTCTAATGACCATGGATTCAGGATTCAAACTTTTAATCTTTAATTAAGTAATGAGATATCGAAAAATTTCCACCAGGGCCTTTAAATTGTTTGTTGATACGTGAGAAGGAATATAAAACAAGGTTGGGGTAAATTACACACAAAAAGAACTGTTACATACGGTAATGGTAGTTGAACCTTATGATTCCAGCCAAACTTTTAACTCATCTATTTATAATAATGGCCATCAAAGAAAACAGGAATTGGGGCCACCGAGAGGTTTTGGAGACCCTGGGGTAGAACCAAAGACGAGTGGAGCGAGAAGGAAATGTTTGCGACCACGTCTTTCGGATTAGCTTGGAAAATTCCATAACATTTCTTGCAATGATTTTCTTGCAACCGTTAAAAACATTTACTATTTTTAGACACACTTTTGCTACGTTTGATTAATTCGTTTCTTTAAATGGAATTCAAAACTATATGAAGCCCCCTAGACCTAGAGGCTCTGGGCGACTTCATTTGAAACTTGCTATTCATCGATAACAAAAGTATCAATTATCTGGAAATGGGAGAGAAAAATAACCAGTAAATTCGAAGGGCTTCTCGCGGTGAATGGGCCAGAACTGAGGTAATGGAGTAGTTTTGGAATTAATGTTATTTTAGAAGCTGTATTAAATCAAAGGCTAGGCCCGGATTGAAGCATGTCTAGTTTTTCTCTAAAAAAGGGGTACTTATATTTCATTTACACAATTCCAATTGGAAATTTACAAAATCCCAATTGCAAGAAATATGTTATTTGTTAGGTTAAACAGTGAAAACCAACATAAAAGAAAATAATTTTTCGGATCCGGCTGTAAAGCTTAGTATAAAAGGAAAATCCTTTAAAATAAGGCTGTTGAGTTTCTTAAAACAATTAGTTTTTGTGAGAAGAGGAAAATATCAGGACTATCAGGAGGAAAATATCCAGCTCTGGAAAGTAATGGCATTTACATAGTTAGACAGAGAGAAAATAGTTTTACAGAGCAGTGTTTGAATTCCAATAACTTGAAAGTTGGGGTGCTAAATAAGCACTTATAAGAAGCTGGAAGAAATTCAGCTTCTTATAATTATTTTTCATTGTGAAGATAGCCTCGATATAAATGGCGCTTAGCAGGAATTTTAGGATATCATTTTAAATTTAATTGTTTTTTGATAGACTCTACAAAGTTCCAAGAAAAATTGAACAAAATGGTGAAAAGATCATTTGGAACCATAAAGTTTATTACTTTGAAAGCAGTAAACAGAGTTTATGATGGAAACATGCAGGCAGAACAACATGTTGTTCATGTTTTGGAGAAGCTGAAGTTTTCTCATGGTAGGATTGTTTTGCGAATTGAGAGCATAAATAATTAGCATTCATTGAAATCTTAGCTTGGCAAAGGTTTGACCAAATGAACTTGATCGATTTAGTCTCGAATGATTCTTCTTCGCCTCCTCACTGAGTCGAGGCTCACTGTGTTTGTATTCCAACTCGCACTTGAACCAATAGATTAAGTTTATAGGTTTATTTTACCGACACAAGCTTACCCACCAGGTCTTAATAGAAAAGACCAAGCATTATTTGTAGCTAAAAAAGACGTGTATCAAGGTCTTAAAGGAAGAGGCACAGCTGCCTTGATGCTTCGGGAAGGGTTAAAGAAGAAGATCAGAGTTCGCTGAGCTCGTCTAGTTGGAATTTCGACAACAGGGGTATTAATATGTGCAGACTTCATCAGCAAGTAATAGTCTATGCGTAAAAATTCAATTCTTCGTGAAATTAGATTTAAGGATACAGCCTACAGTCTATCTGACCAGTGCTTTATCGAATACGAAAGATTTTAATAAGTATCGCTAGATAACAATTATTAGACTTCAGTTAATCACGTACATAAGAGTAAGGTTAATAAGAATATTGATGCTAAATATTACTGAAATGTCTAGATAAATCAAGAAAAATAGCAAGGCTCAGACATATATCTATCTGATTTCTGTCTAGGTAATTGTTGAACTTTACCCGAGTTTTTGGCGAAATTTCTGGAACTTATGTACTTCAAATTAATGACAATTAATACACGAAATAAGAATATTCCTAACGTTTTACCCTGGGTACCAGAGCCACAAAAATTCGAGCGCAGAAATAAAAGATAGGAGTGGAGAAGCGGAGGAGCGTCTATCCACCGAGGCTCCACTTGGCTTCTGTCTACGCGCTCGAAATTCTGTCGGTTGCACCCAGGGTAATAACGTTTGATTTTTCTCATCCTGTTTGTTTTACCTATCTTGAGGTATATTTCATGTGTAGTAACAGGACCTGATGAACAGAATGTGTTTATATATCTGTATATGTCCTGTTATGAAATTTTTATCCTGTAGAAACGATCGTTATTGTCATTAATTTGTGAAACATGCACATTAAGGCGTGTATCTTTTCAGCCAGCGAAGCACAGAGACTCGCAACCATCCTTGGCATTGCTCTAAACAGAAAACTGGCAGAAGAGGCGGAGCATGAAATCGAGACTGAGCTTGAAAGGACCACAAATGACCTTATCCAGCTTATCATCAAATCTGACAGTGGAATTTCCAAACGAGACTTCCAGCAATGTAAGGCTTTTTATCCTCTGTACGGAGAATGCTAGATGCATCTGAATGAAACCTCTATTTACGCAAATATCCCGATTCGGGACAACCAAAACCAAAGGACAAATAACTCTTTAACGAGATTAGTTTTAGCTTCTACTTTGCAATGATCTAAAGAAGTAGCCTGTAGGAATCAACCAAAAATTATATTTAATAAATCTTCTTTACAGTCAATGTTTTGAGAAAGCAAGCCTTAAAATGGAGGACAGAAAGTTGCATCCGAAATTTCTATTTTAGTGACAATGCTCAAAAGCAGATTCAGACAAAGGAGATCTCCCTACCCATGACAGTTTCCCCGGACTAAGTGTCCGCCATACGGAGGTTTCACTGATATTACTCATAAAATTACGGTGAAGAGGAAAAAACTGCCATTTTAAAACTCGAACGTAGAATTTGGCTAGTGTCTTGAAGTGCAAAGGTTCATTAGACCACGATAATATCAACAAACACGTTCCGGAAAAAGCACCAACAATAACTTGGCATAGAATTATAGAGGATTTTTTAAGTATGAAGTCTATTTATAACGACCGAACATTCTAACTGATTAACATGCACGCTACACAACAGACCAGACAACACTGATAACGTCATATTCATATTTCAGTTTGGACCTATGTGAAGAGCAAGTTGTCGGCATTATCGGGCCTAATGCTACTGAAAGTGAAAGAGGCAGTGGCGCGAATGGCACCCCAAATTTACAAGAAGATTGGAGAAATCGTGAATATTATCATAAACGAGGCTAAACGCGCTTTGGTGGAAATCGCTGGAGAAGTTGTCATGGTAACAGTGCCATGAAAATCATTGGTTGGATTAGTGGACTGAATATCTGCAGAAATCAATCCTTTGTAATCTAACAAAACATATGAGAAAACTATGGTTTAAAAGTGTTACATTCGATCAAATTAGTGTAATTTCTTGCTGGGAGTCTTCTTATACACCAAAAAGTAACTTATTTATTTTTATTATTGCAACCAATAGAGGTTGGGATGCAAAAAGATCGTTAAATAGAAAGATCAGCTGCTTATTATAAGGTTTTATCTGCATGGGATCAATAGAAAGAAAGGCGAAATAGAGAAGGGTGACATAGAGAACAGAACGCAATAGAGAAAGGGCTTGATAGAGACGGGGCTCAATAGAGATGAGGCTTAATAAAGAAGGGGTTGATAGAGACGGGGCTCAATAGAGATGGGGCTTGATAAAGAAGGGGTTGATAGAGACGGGGCTCAATAGAGATGGGGCTTTTTGATAAGCGAAATTTATAATTAATAACTAGATGTGAGCTTTTTTCTGGAAAGATTACCTCAGCCACAAATTTTCAGTTATACTAATAGCATGAAGAAAATTGTATGACACAAATCCACTTTTATAACAGCAGCAAATGGGTGTCGGGATTTATAAACTTTCGTTTTGAAAGTGTATGATAAAACTATTTCATAAATAACAAATTGACTTTCTATTGAAGAAATTTGTGTTGCATGATACAGTAGCCCTACCACATTGCATTTTTAACGATGAAAGTTACGAAAATTGAGATTAAGGGAAAGAGATACGCTCAGAAAAGGTAAATTTTCAGGCGATGTTTTTATAGACTAAATTCATACAGACACCACTATTATTATCACATGATACCACATGATCCAATAACTTTATGTGCATAACATCTTATACTTCTAGTTCAAAATAACTTATTATAGAAAATAGCATATAAATGAAGAAGTTCAGTTTGTTTGAATATGTTTAACCTTAATTTAGATAAATAATATATTACCATACCTTTATATTACCCATTTTATATGAAAACTAATGAATAATCATTAATAGGTAGGCCTGACTTACAAGACGGGAAACTTGCTATCAAATTCAACACCTCGGAACCCTTGTTAGCAGTTCAACACCTCGGAACCCTTGTTAGCAGTGTGTTATAAGCCCTTCTGACTTTCTCTAGAACAACTAACTTAAAACCTAAATTTTCTTGCAAACGCAGATCTCCTCTGACTGAAAACAACTACTAAAGTCCTCAAACAGACCACTGTCGTGTTTGTCTTCCCCTAAATTACTTTCACCTTCCTTTAATAATTTTTGATGGCTTGGAGTCTAGTTCAAACAGTTACGTCATATATGACCATTAAGTGACCAATAAGTTTCTATACAAATTGACTTTTGTATTTAAGATAAATTAAAATATATCATATGTGTTACATTATCTTTTTATTGAACTGTTCAGACGCTATGTACTAGACATTAAATTGCCTACAAAACATTCCAAAATAACTTGGAACTCTAATCAGAATACTTCGTAACTGGCGTTGAACTTCTGTTTTTGATTGATGTTCCCAAATATCACTACTTCCGCCCCCTTCCTTTCTTCATTCCCTCTCCTATCTCGAATTATGTTAATGGCTTAAGGAAATATCATACAAGAAAGACGAAAAATGCACTTCCTAATCTTTCACGTAGTTTTATCAAGAACCAACATTTTTTGCAGAGGGAGAAGAGGGTGATTGACTTTGGCTCTTGAAAACTAACTCAGTGTTCAAAGACTTTTGGCAGGGATTATACCGTAATAGTTTACTAGAAATCGTGACAACTTCACGGATAAAAATACCTTCTCTGCCTTCTACAAATAAGTTTACAAAAGGTTAAACTCGAATTCCAAACAAACCAATTTCAACAACATCTTTCCAATTTCGCCCCAGATTAAAAATAGTATGCTAAAGTCCGATTGCTAACTTCAAACAGAATATTGGATACTAGCTGCGAAGCGCCAACGAAATGGGAACGGACATTTCTTCCAGCTGTAAGCAATTTTCTATTGTCCAGTCGTCCTCTGAGGTCCCTTACAACACATCCTACACACTGAACGTAGATTTTCCTAAACAAAATTTTGCCACACTCGATCTTTTCTTTACGTTCTAATTACAAAAGACAGGAAGTTTATATCCACAAAGTTTCATAGCTATAACATAAAATGATATTGTTTAATGACTGCTTCTACAGTCTCTTGCAGAAAATGGCTAAAAATGTTTATGGATTAATGACAAAAATTAGGCCATGTTTGACATGATCACAACCGTTAATAAGTCCTCTGATGGTTCCTTTTAGTCCAGACCCCGCAGCTGTTTTAATTTCACTCAAATGCAGCCTTTCCCATGTAGCCGGATCAGTAGGGCCACTCCTTTTGGAACTTGGGATCAGTGAGTCATCTATATTCCATTAATCCGCCTTATATCTTGATTAGCCATGTTTTTATCCATTACGATCTATTTTAGTTCCATGGTATCTAAAAATGTATTTAAAAGATTAAAAATGTTACTGCATTGATTTAAAGTTCATATCATGACAACTTTACAGCTTAAGTAGGTATTTTCATTTATTGTTTAGGTTCGATCCATATTCATTCTTTAATACAATATTACTTTAATTAAAACTTTAATATTTATACAATATCTATTTGTTAAGTTAACACAGTAAAAAACTACATTAACCATTTATCGTTTAATTTCTTTAATCTCACCTATTTCCTAATTATTGAGCATATAAACAACAAAAAGAAAAAAAATATAATCAATTAAATTGTGGTAATTATAATAAATACAAATAACAAAATGATTGCAAAAGTTACACCTAAGTTTGAAAGATGTTGGAATTAGCTTACAGCCACTTTTATGATGATGGAAGATATCCTCAAATCACATAATAAGAATTAGGCAGAAGGGTAACACTCATCGGTTCCTTTATTGTTTTTGAAGCCTGAAGCACACAATAGAAGTTCTGAATTTCCTCTTTAACCCCCATCTCAGTCAAGTCTTTTTCTGAGATAAAGCATGCACTAAGATTTTCAGGCTTCACCTGATGTGCAGGAGTCACCCTTCTAACATTAATCTCGAACAGGCTAAATGATTGAACAGTTGCCTCATAATCGCATCGAGCGTGAAATTCGGAGTAGCAACTTAGAACTGTCCTGTTCTATACACTAAAGGCGTGTATAGCTCTGCCTATACAGCAACGAGCACTTGATGAAAGGGCGGTAAACAGTAATTTTCAGAACATAGCTCCTTTATGATAAATTTGAAGCAAGTACCTTGATCAGGATTCTTGTTCTCTTTCTTCTTCTCTCTTTCTCTTTCGTTATTTGAGTTTATCAGATTCTGAATGGTTGCTGTCTTGTTCCAGTACATCTTTTCTTGTTCATCAATGATTGACTGCGTAAAATGCGGACCAGCTCCAGGTGGTATTTCGTGAGGCTCTACCTCTATAGAGATCAAATGTAAAATTTATTGAAAATTTCTCAAAACCTCCACACTCGTAATGGTAATAAAAGATTCGAGCTATTAATTTTCAAAGACTTCAGTCAAAATAGTAACTATCAATTTAGTAGTGAAGGGCCATTCAGGTTTTTAAAGCCAAAAAAGTCCAGAAAACACATTTATAATATCTATATTTCAGAAGATATAAAGGGATTGTGGTTAATGATAAGGGAAAGTTCTTGGTTGTTTATTAAACTTATACAACAGGGCAAATTTCCCTATCTCTCTTAACTTTGCTCTACTTTGCCTTCTACCTTACACTCAAATTATTTTCCTGTACCCTAAGTCCTCAAACTGACCACTGTCGTGTTTGTCTTGCCCCTAAATTACTTCAACCTTTCTCTAATAATTTTTGATGGCCTGGAATCTAGCTCAAACAGTTACGTCAAATATGACCATTAAGTGACCAAAAAGTTTCTGAAACAAAGGCATCGTAAAATAGGCCGTCCATCAAATTAATAATCAAATCCATTAATCAAATTCATCAATTACAAAAACCCAGTACACAGCAGGGGAATCAGCGTAAAAAAACTCCTAAAAAAGTGTACATACAGTCACTTTGCCATAAAAAGACAGCGGACATACTGCAGTAAAGTATCTACTCGCTAAACCTGGACAAGCCATAATGTAAAGATACTTACGCATTTCCATGGCACCCTCTGGATCACCATTGCTAACACCCACTGGTTCATAAACATGGAACTCTTGAGGTACCCCATTTACATCATCAAACTGACGAATCATAGTTGATTGTGGATTGTGAAAATAGCAATAAACCTTTGGAAAGCAGGGAAATTAGTTACCCTTTATAAACCTTCGAAGTAAGATAGTAAATACTCTATTTACTTAATTAACACTGGAATAGAATAAACATCAAATTTTCCTAGTCTTAAAATGAACCCCATAGGCCTTTATTCCAGGTCTGGTGTTAGTTTGAGCATTTTTTTATTTCAAATAAAGCATTGAAAATAATATTCTATTGAGATTAAAAAAGGAAATTGACATTGATGTCTAAAATATTAACAGATCAACATCAAAGGGAAATAAGCAGAAGTAACAGAAAGATTTAAATTGGGGAAGTATTAGTCAATTACCATTGCCACAAATCATTACAATAATCATTTAAATGTAACCTCAATAAAACATGATTTTGTGCTGTCATGTTATAACACCAAGCTTCAAGTAAACCCCAGACAAAAAAAAATAAAATTTTGGAATAAATACTAGAGGCCTTTATTAGAGTAAATACAAATAACATTTAGATACATATTTAGATATAGAAATTTGTCTGTTGATATTTCCATAGCACAGTGCTCAATACATTTGCAAGTAGAGCATGATATATCATAGATTGGAGAAAATAAAACTACATGTTTTATCTCTAAAAGCCTGTTTTGTGAATAACTCACTTTTCAGGAAATAAATATCTCCAAATCAAGATGAATATCTGCTGAAGTGTGAGCTATTTGTGAAATTGGTTTGTAAAGATTAGCCACTTAGAAAAGTAATGTCAAAAATTTAGTATTCTGCGACAGCCACTTGTTAGATATGGTGCCATGTGCTTGCATCCTTCCAACTGACATTCTATTCTGTGGATGTTGTCCCGTCATCAAGTGTGAGTCAGAATGTAACATTTTCATTGTTGTTCATTCTCTTGTTTGTTTGTTTTTCTTTGTTGGCTTTTCTTTCTTTGAATATTAACTTTAAATTGTAAGTGCTATCCTTGGAGGGTACTCCAATGACCTAGTGTCTATTCCCACCAGGATGGGCACAGTAGTTGTATCATGTATCATTTAGAGTTTTTTTAAATGATATAAAAAACTTCTTAGTTGAAAAGGATTTATCAATAAAAACAGGTTGTTATGAAACAAAGCTTCCCTGACTTTCTTTGAAGGGTGTAACCTTTTGTTTAACTCTACACATGTGAATCACAAGATTTGATAGCCCAAGCAATGTTGTAAGAATTTGCTAATGGATCACTCATGAAGGGTTAATTACTGACAAAACAGTACAAACAGCAATTCAAATCAAATTAGACTCACTTTAAAAATTTGATCCCCTATTTTAATGTCATAATAGCCACTTGGTGAATTCTTGTCCCTTTCATAAATGTCTTGGCATTTTGCTGCAGGACCATCATCACTGCAAAATGATAATATTTCATAATGTTAAAATATTTTGCACAAAAATATCAATATCAACCAAAAAATCAGATGATTATCAATTTAATTGACACTTGAAACAAAAAGTGACTTAAAATATATTTCAAAGTTAAATGTTATCAAAATCATTTAAAGAGGTTTTCTTCATTTCTGCTTCCATGTAATATACCAACTTTTCTTGAAAAAAAAATCAGTTTAAATGATACATTTTTGAACATCGCACATCAATCAATGTACTATGATGGAAATTTGATTAGAATGTCAATTAAAGAAAACACAAGAATGAAAGGCTCTAGCAAGTACAAAAAGCTACAAACTTTTCAAAAATATATTCAAAGACAAGAGTATCAATCATTTAATGAGATACAGCTTTGATTCAATAGATAAGAAAAACATATACCTATTAGCATCTCTGGATTTTCTAACTTTTGAATTTTCAAAAGGTGCTGGGAGAACAACATTCACAAAAAGGCAGAGAGATAGTGTTATAAAGATCTTTGGAATTGTGGTCATTCTCTGTACTTAAACAAATCCAATGCAAGGTGACGAGGTTCCTAAGAAGAAATGAAAGACAGATTTTAAAATCCAAAGAATCACAGAAAATTAGAAGCCTTCTCTTCACACAAACTCAAACTTAAATGATGCTATCAACTAATCTTCATCAAAATCATTGAAAATACTAAACTACAACAAAATCAATATTAGTGAAGCCTTTTTGCTAAGGATGCATGACTATTTGTAAACTTTAGCAGATTATGCAAGAAAAAATAAAATCAGTGGCATGACAGCTCAATATTAAGATAAATGCATAGTCTTACAATATATATTGAAATCACAGCTAAAAAGAACTTAGAAATAGCAAGGCTAAGAAAACCAATAAAAATTGTAGAAGCAACATTTATTTTGTTATGGGACAAGAATAACTAAAAGGTGGACTCTGCTCACACAGAAAATGTCACGAGAAAACCAAAGAGAGGAGAAAATCATGCATATTCTCAGTAAGGTAGTACTTTTTCTGAGAAAGAACAAACAAAAAACCAACAATAGTTGATATGTTTTAAAGTTAGTTTTGTTTCGCAAGTTTCATCTACTGAAACACACTTCATGTAATTACTTTCAGATGAGATGTGTATAAAAGACAATCTCTCTGTGCATGGTATCCAAACATCAGAAAAATTTGAATCTATGAAAATAACCCCTTGTATTTTCACAAAGTATATGCAAGTCTGGAGGCTAAATAATAAATAGCTTCTGGAATACACTGTGTAGTTTTGTTTTGGCCACAATAAGAATGATATGACATAAGTTGTAAAAGGCAAGAATTCTAAAAACAGAGATATTAATGCAATGCAGTGTCCATAAAAATTGATAGTAGCTTGTTTTGGTTAAAGCATGTTTATGCCTTTACCTAAAACATTAATCTACAATATACCAGCCCTTGCTATTTTTTACAATATCTTGACCAAAGAGCTTAAGATTTTAGATTATTTACTTAATCAATATTACACAATTCTTGATATAACAGCATGTTTTGGTCTTTGGGCATAATTCTCTAATTAAAAAGTTGTCTATGTCTTGCACACGCCGATTGTAATGTTTGAGGAAATACATTCAATGGCGCATTGGACGATTACATGTCTTTTAGGCCTACCACCAACATGAGATAAATCAGTTTACTCACAAAAGTGCTTTCTCGCTAGCTCTGCCTTGAATGGTTTCCTGCTTCAGTAGTAGGCTAATACCTAAAGCCCTATTTCATCTAGATTCTATGCTACAGATAAAATGAAAACTGAAACTACATGTCCGTCAAGTAGGATCCTACCAAAGCCGGTATATAGGGCCTAAATCCTGCAAGGGTCGGTTAAAGACAAAACAATAAAGATTAATTGGTGTTTAATGCTCATGCAACCCGTTAGAAAACATAATGTTTGTGAAAATAGAGATGGCGGCGTAATCAAGCGATAAATTACTGACCTTTAGAATTATTCAGCCATGGATGAAAACCTGTCGCGAAATATTTTCACATTTCTCCCGCGTCTGGGGACCTCTTCAATAGGAGGCTGTTATAATATGGTTTATCGTTTGCAAACACTGATCTTTTTTTAGAGCTGACCTACTCTCTCCTTCCAGGCCCGTAGCTATGGGCTGGCAATGCCACAATTTTACAGCTCCACATCAGCTGCACAGCTGCCATAGATCAACCTGTCTAATATAAACACCTATGTATGTAATGGACATACGAATGCCAGCTGTCTGCCACCCCGAGAAATTTGCATTAAATTTTTTCAATGATTTTTCGTCGTTTTTATTGGATTGATATGGCAAGCCAACAATAACAAAATGACTTTTTTGTATTGGAATCTCTTATTTTCAATGCAGGGCTTATGATATCGTTTGGCGCTCAAAATATTCTTCCAATCCTAAACAAAAACTTCCCGAGAAAAACTTGTCTCAAAATCATGACCCTGAAGTTTAAGAAGCGATGATCGTGACTTGGCTAAAATGTTACTATATCAGCTAGAAAAGGATCAGGACAGTGGTATGTTCATTTTTGTAAAATGCATGCTGATTGACATTCTAAAGCCAATATACATAATTGTGAAGGAGCTTCCATCACCCAATGAAAATCGTGCCACAACACTGACTGCAATTAAAGCAATGAGACAGCACTTTCATTAACGATGCAAAAACTTGACTGAGGACCAATGCTTGAAGATGGCTGCAGAGTTTTCACAGTAAATGTATTAAAAGGCAGGGGGCCACAGCCAGTGGCGGACTGGCCCATCGGCGCGTGGGCTCTCTCTAAAATCTGGCAAAAGGGCCCCATCTTTGCAAAAACAGGGCCCCATTTTAGGAATATGAGACCTTACGATGTCCCATTATGAATGATAAACGACAGGGAATACATCAAAACTGAAGTTGAATATAAAGTTATTGCATGTGATTGTAAAAAGGATCGGGTGAAAATATGACTTCTTTAGGTTATGAGAGGTTAACAGGGATTCAGAATTTTTGATATTATGCAATATTATGCAAAGTTGATTTTTCATAGACCCGGTTCAGTTGATATTCATAGAATTAGTTGTAGAGTTCACTTTAATTTTTGCCAGTGGCGAGGGTCGAAGCTAGCAACAAAGTAAGGAGTTGTGAGTCAGTAGCTAACTTTAAAACAAACTCAGCTATAATTATTTAATTTCTCAAGCCATGGCATTAAGATAATGCAATGCGAATGATACTTCAACGGGGACTGCTGAATTTTCTTAAAGATTCTTCTACCGAATAATCTAGTCTTTGCTTACGCTTGACTGTTTAGTGTGAAACATTAACGGGTAAAGGTATTGCCTCATGGAATTTAAAATTGACATAGAAAAGATGTCAAGAAAATGACAAGAATTAGCCAAATTGGACATAATGGACGAATAAACTTCAAGTCGCAAGTGGTTCTCAGAAAAGGAGTCAAAGTTGTTGCAGAAAGGGGACAGGACTGATCACTGGTTTCTTGGAATGCAAAGGAAAGAAATGCAACTTCTGATAGCATTTGATTGAAATGGTTTTCGAAATGATAAACCTTAAAGTTTTGTAAAAAAATATTGTATGTAAGCACGTATTAAATCTGGAATTTTGGGTAAATCCCTTGATTTCAGAAATATTTTTAGTGTTTTGTTGTTTTTCCAGAACTTTGGCTTTATTTGTCGCTAAACAAGTCTTTTCCATTTTGGATATTTGATAGAAATTTGGACAAGCCAAAAGGGGTTCAATGTATTCCTCATGGAAGCCACACCCTCTGCAAAGCGAATCAGTGTACTTTCCTTTGTAGTTTGCTATTAGGTCTGACATCTTTGGTTAAAGTTTCAGTAGGGATAAAGCTTCCTCACACCTCAAACATTCTTTCATTTTAAACTTACTATCTTTTGAGGTTGGTTGTTTTATTATTTTTAACTATATTTTAAATGAGAAGGTGTCTTGCGCAAAAATTACTGAAATCCAATTCAGACCGAATTTTCACTATTTAATGTTAAATTTCAATTAAAGTACTCTGCACCCATTTGTCATCAACAGCTCAACTTTGCTATTCCTGCTACATATGTTTTGTTTTTTAGAAATTGATCGATTTTGATAGTGTTCACTTGAACACGCCCCAATTTGCAGACCACACACACCTGGACTCCCCCCCCCCTCAGCTTTTCATGGCAGATTTAAAATTCTGAGCCAGTCCACCACTGGCTACGCCCTCTTCCCCCGCAGAAATTTTCTTTGCAGCATTGTTTGGCCCCTACCAGTTTTTTCAAAAAAAAAAATTTTTGAATATTCAATTGTTTCCTCCAAAAACTGTTCCATCGTTTTTTGACTTTCTTAGGGTTGCTCTCTTTATTGCATTTATTTAACAAGCTATGGGTCCTGATAAGCGTTTTGGTTTTTAACCGAGGTGAACATTCATGAAGTTTGTGCTTCTTTCTGTATCTAAATTCTATATTTGTTATATATTATCACGAAGATACACTGAAGTAAGCCCAAACCAAGATTCTCCGCATCCCATTGAAAAACCCTTCTCGCTCTGAAATTCAGCGCAAGGAAATCCCAATACCATCCCATTATACCTTGGCAATTTACAATTGCTTATCGAAATTCTATGATTTGAAATTCTATGTAACAGAATGATTTGCTTGATCTCGTGGAGGTTGGATATAAGAAATAACTATTATGGAAAAATTTTATCAATCAACTTTACAAAGCTATTAGCCTTTTAGATATATTTTTCATTATAGGCATTCGAGAAACATTCTGTCATTTGAAAAAACGTTAAGCAGGTAGAGTTTTCATCACACGAACGTATGGTTAAAGGATGACATGGATAAAGTCTTTTATTTTCACGAGGGTATAAACATAACCCATAGCCTCTGTAGCTAAATAAATACGTGCTTCCTACCGTCATTATCAGAATGTGCATGATATTCAATGCAACCCATATTTTAAACGGTCTTTTCAGGTTTTGCAAGATATCAAAAAGATATATCAGCTGAGATAAATATGTCAGCGTTAATTTCTGTAGGAATTTTTGGCATGACAATGTGAAAAAAGCAAACAGACCTTAATTTATTTTTTAACCCTTTAATTCCTTATCCAGATGTACATCTGGATAAGACCACGTGACCGATACCCTAGCCGAAAATATTTTATTTTGGAGCTCCAAGGCAACATACCCTCCTTAACTTATGCTAAAATTGCTCAAATATGATTGGACAGTTAGAAAATTATACTTATTTGATTAATTTATGCGCTTCTTTCGTATAAATATCCCAGACAACGTGGGCCTGTAACCGCCATCTTGACTGATCTTGTTGCGTATGTCGTGAATGAGGCGTGTTTTTCAAAATTGATTTTAAAATGGATAATGAGAACGGACTTGACTCAGAAGATGAATTTGAGATCGACTGTGCCTTATTAAGTGGTAGAGAGGTAGAAATTCGGTTTGTAGCACCGCTGACGGAAAGAGTGGACGAACCAAGACGAAGGAAGCCCCGCAGGAAGCGACAAAGAGAAGAAAATCCTGAAACTTCGAATGAGAGTGGATCGTAAGTTTACATATTGTTTCCTTCAAACTTTTGGATGCATTAGCGATAAAGAAGAACCATTTCTGAAGCTGTAGTGAAAATCTTAGAATAATGGCTAACTAAGTACGGCCAAAAATTTTTGTTTTTTTTGGGAGTGGTTTTCAAGAAATTTTAGGCCCGTGATAAACAAATCAGCTGATTTTGTATATGGTGGCTCTGAACAGATTCACTTAGATTTCTTTGCTATTTGTTACACTGCTGCAGAAATTACCAAATTATAAATCATCTTGTCTTTGCTTATTTTCTATATCTTTGTTTTAGGCAGAGTCTGGCTGGTTCAGGACATCCAGTTGAGTTGGACGATGAGTTGGACGGAGCTGTAGTAGTCGATGAGATCCATGACGAGTCAGAAGTTAGTGAAGAGGAGTATCAGGATAGTGATTGTAGTTTGGCAGAGTCTCTAGGCTACACAGGTGATAGGGAACAGAAATGGCTTCCACCACATAATGTAAGCAGTGTTGGCCCAAAAGTAGTTTGGGCGAGAGGCAGTGCCCCATGTAGAGCCTTAGACTTTTTCTTGCTTTTTTTTTCTTTTTCTTGCTTTTTTTTTCTTTTGATCTGATGGGAACCATAATTGAAAACCCAAACATTTATGCTGTGTATGGTCAAGGAATAGGTCAAAGCTACATGTCCCAGGACCATGGTTGCCATGTGTGGAGACCCATTGATTTGATGGAATTTAGGAGATTTCTTGCCTGTCTATTTTATATGGGTATTGTTAAGGCCCCTGCTAGGCGTAACTACTGGCAGAATGATAAGCTTTTTTCTGGTCTTCTTGGGTCAATGTTTATTCCAACATTTTCTAGGTATTGTGGAATACTTGCTGCCCTTCATTGTGTAAACCCTGAGACAGAGGACAAAAGTGATCCATTAGGAAAAATAAGGAATTTCTATGACCATATGCGAAGTCGCTGTAAGGAACTTTTTACTCCTGGTAAATGTGTGTCAATAGATGAACGTATGGTTAAGTCTAAGGGTAGGTTCTTCTTCAAACAATATATAATGAATAAGCCCACTAAATGGGGTTTCAAACTTTGGGTTCTAGCTGATTCTGCTACAGGCTACAATTGGGATATGGTGGTTTACACTGGTAAAAGCAGAAAGGATGATTGGGATGATTTCAGTGTTGTTGATAATAGTTTTGAAGGGATAGAAAGAGGACTTGGTAGAGCTAAGGCTTTTAATGAAAACCCCAATCCAGAAAATGCAGGAAATCTCATCAACCAATTAGCTGCCAGAGTTGTTATTAATTTAACAAAACCTCTGGTAAACAGGGGGTATGTTCTTTTTGCTGATAACTTTTATTGCAGTGTCCCATTGTTCCAATATTTGACTTCGGTTGGTATAAATGCTGTTGGTACTGTAAGGGAAAATTCCTCCTCTTTTCCTGAGGTAATGAAAAATAGGCAGTCTTGGGGGAAGAAACTTGATCGAGGAACAATAAGGTATATTAGAAATGGGGAAAAGCCGAATGATGTGTTGCTTGTACAGTTGGTTGATAGGAATGTTGTCTCTGTTCTCTCCACCTACCATTCTGCCAATGATTATGATTATTGTACAAGGAATACAAAGGTTGATGGAATTCATAAAAAGGTTAAGGTTTTGAGGCCTAAATGCATTTCAGATTATAATAAAGATATGAATGGTGTAGATTTATCTGATCAGATGTACCATATGTATTCTGTTCAATATAGGACTAAAAAGTTTTGGAAAACATTATTCTTTCATTTTATTGATATTTGTTCTTGGGATGCATATGTGTTTTGGAGAGAGCTTAGAAACCCAACCCCTGAGCAGAAAATGCCTAAGAACTATTCTTTTCTTGATTTTAAAAAGGATTTAGCCCTTCAGCTTGCTTTTGTTGAGCAGAAAGCCATTAGAGCAGAACCAGAGGTCAGATCATTTGCAGATTTAGGTACTAAAGCTAGTAATGTAGAGGACTTCATCTGTAAGGCAACAGCTCATGCAGTAAATAGTGCAAAGCAAAGATCAGCAACTTTGAAGAAGGCAGTTAGTAAAAAGGAATTGTGGCAGAATAGATTAGAGAAAGGGCATTTGCCGGTGAAGCTTGAGAAACACCAAGTTTGCAAAGTTTGCTCAGTTATGAAGTCAGTGCATAGCATAGATCAAAGTTATAGAGCAAAAACCTCATCATTTTGCTGTGTTGTATGTGATATCCCTTTGTGTATTGGAGAAAGAAACTGCTTCTTGCTTTTCCATTCCCCAGAGTTTGAGCAGTACAAGGAAGCTTTCCTAAGTTACAGTCGTGATCGCTAGATTAGTTGTTGTTTTTGGTAAATTCGTGTAGATTAGATAGAGAAAAAGCAAAAAAAAGTAAAAAATAAAAAAGCATAAAAAGTAAAAAAGAACATTTGGTCAAAATTACAATCTTTTCTCTCCAAGATTTTGTGTTTTTTACTTGTTTTCTTTCTCTTAAAAGTCGAAATCGAAATTGCACTTGCCAAATTGAATTGAATTGTTTTAGACCCATTGTTGCATATTAATTAATTAAAAAAAGACTGTTCAAGAAAAATGATTGATATTTCAACTCAGTGTGCTAAGACTATGACAAAATACATTATTGAAAGAAAAAAGTAGTTAAGTGTTTTATTATTGAAGATAATTGACCTTAATTAATAAAGTTATTTTCTGTTATATTCAATTATGCAAATTGGATGCTAATTAATGTCCAATTATAATATAATTTTGGCATAATAAGATCATTTGCATAAAATACAGCTATTGATGATTACTTGGGCAAAAGATCATCCAGTTATCTTGAAAAATCAATTTTTGCTGAATTTTTAGATAAAGTAGGCAAAAATCCTAAAATTCTGTCAATAACGAAAGGGTTAATATTAGTTTCTTTTTCAGTTGCTCTCTTTACTCAATATAGAACTTAATATAGCATATTCTGTCTTCGTTTTGAATTGCCGTTCAGCTGGGTCCAGTATTCTACCGTCGAATTCTGAGCAACTTGACACCTTTTGAAGGTAACAGCACTTCAAATCAAAACACTGTACAGATCTTGAAATCATGAGACACAACTACAATGCCTGCCAAAAGTACTTGGAACACCCACCAATTTACGCTGCATTTGATATCTTTCATTCCTTTCATGAAAAAAAATGCTTCTTCCGCCCCCTTCCCCCTCAAACAATGTTGATGATTTAGAGAAATATCATAAAAGAAGCGCAAAAGAAAGTGCTTCCTAAAATCCTAACCCGTTTGATAGTAAACCAACATTGTTCCGTGGGGGAGAGGGGGATGATTGGTTTTGACCTTGGAAATTGATGTCAGTGTTCCAAGACTTTTGGCAGGCATTGATTATAACCATCCAAAGATTGTTTTCTTTGACACAGCAGTATTTACTACTATCTAGGCCACTAGAAACTAAAGTCATGTAAATACTATTAGAGTAGATAAAAAAACAATAAGGAAGATGAAAAAAGAAGGGGGCAAGAAAGTCAATTATTGTTACAACAAAATATGAGCTGTTAAATATCAATGATCTAATCTTGCCATTAGATTTCTAAGTTTCTTATATAAACAAATTATTCTACCTTTAGTCAACAACTCTAGTCCTGTTCTTTTATGGAAATGTCATGTTGGTGTCAGTCAAATAGCTAACTAAATACGCGGTCTTTGAGATCATTATCGTGTCATCTCCAAACTAAGAATCCAGTTTTACTTTTCGACTCATGTCGCAGAAGATCTAGAAAGAAAAACAAATATTTCAAAAGTTGATACTTATTAAATTTAAATATATTTTGAATTGATCTTGTTATATGAAATGCATTTAAGTGTAATGTGTGTTTCAAAATGTTGTACCATTGAATTGTATGTCGAACTTTGCAATACTGTTCGAATAAGGCTCATCAATACTTCATGTATTTCATTTTGGTGATAGGAAAAGAAGAAAGGAGGTACGCAAATAATAATGAAAGAGACAATTCCCAAAACAAATGTCACTACAAGAGAGCGAAAACAAAAATATGAAAAAAGCTTCGAAAAAGTGGAACAAGAGGACAAGATGAAGCCATCGCCACGCACCACTTGGCACAGTACAGTTTAAGACCAGTATTCCATGAGAATATTTGAGAAAACAAATAGAAGAGTAACGAAAGGAAGATCTGGTTTAGCAAATATCCATGAAGTAAACTCCGATAAGATTGGAAAAGACAAATAAATGTTGATGAATTTCATAATTTTGCCGTCATACTTTATATCTTGCCTGGCACGCTGTCACATATTAGCTGTCATATTGTCACAAATTGTCAATGTCCTGTGTCGTTCTTAGTGTCAATAAAAACCAATTTCAGGCGTGACATTATTTATTACTTGCAGTGAATTTTGAACTTACGTTGACATTGCATTTGGAGGATATTGCAAAAACACGAAAAAGTAGAGGGATTTTGTTAGTTATGAGGTCCCATATTCTACGTAGGTAATTGGTTGTAGAATGCTGCATACACTGTACCTGTTGTACGCCTGATTTGGTAAGAACCCAATAATATCCACTCCGCGCTGACGGGTTGTCATTGATAATTCGGTTACAGGAGCTTGCAGGGTTGTCACGCCTGAAAGTGGTTACGTTGCTGTTACGTCAAAAATTGTAAGTTTCGTTACGAGGCAAAGGAAGCATGGCACAAGGGCCCTTCAGTCGTGGAGATAGACATTTGCTTTTATTAATTTTGATATTTTGACAAAATTATGAGAATTTTGTCAAAATTGCTGTTACATTTTGAAGAAAATGCTGTTTAAGAATGGCTTAGAAAAAGCCAACCATTTTGAAACACACTTAAGCTTTTCGTCTGACACTCTTTAGAGTATAAAACATCAGAACATCGATCGAGAACCCTATGCTAGGGAATATATTTACCCAGTATAAAACCCATAGATCCAAATCCTATGAATGTTTCAAAATGGTTATTTTTTCAAAGCCACTTTTAAATTCTGGGCCATTAAAAGATTGCTTTAAAAGGCTGTTTGTTGTCATTGTTTGCAGTAAAGTACCATGTCACATTGTTTGACTATGTTATTACAGCTCTGACAGTAAAATGTTTTATAGATGTTGGTACAGCAACAAAGTATATCTCATTAACGCCCAACTCAAGTTTACCAGATTTTCAAGGTTTCTCACCTTTGGCAGTGCAAGAAAATATATTTACTAGCATAATGGAAGGATTAGACACATAAATCTCTTTAGCGGAAATCGCAAGTGCAAAAATACACAAATAAACTGAATTAAATACTAAGATGACTGATGACCATTAAGGACATTATCGCTTCTAAAAGAAAGGGTAGCTATTAATCACCTTCCCACACCCGCTACTTTTACGACACTCTTCTTTTTGCCACTTTCGCGCTTCTTCTTTTTCGTTCCCATTGACGATTCAGTGCTTGTCGATGTTTCTGTATTTGAGCCACTACTTGTGTTTGACCCTGCGCTTGATCCTGCTCCTCCTCCTGCACCGGCACCTCCGCCAGATTTTCCTTCGGCGCCACCTCCAGATTTTGCGCCAGAATCGCCTCCTAAAGTGGTTATATATCACATTGATTATGTTATTACGCCTTTAAGAATATATTCAACCTATAAGATTACTGGACCTCTAAATCTTGATTTCCTCTAGCTGATGATCTCGTTTACACTGACCAAAACAATAACTTAGCATATAAATATATTCGAAGGATACCTCAAGAGTTTCAAGGACATAGCCAAAGAAAGTTAATGCATCAAAAGTACAAGAACGTCTTAGGTCAATGCTAGAAAGGGCAACATGGAGTAATCAAAATATCATTTTAAATTGCTATATCATAAGAAATATCAATTGTATGATACATATAGTCATTATAACAATATTAACAATATCGATATTGATATTATCAATAATCAGATTGATATTATGAGAAAAATACGCACCAGCGGCACCTGCACTTTCTGATCCTCCTGCTCCTGCGGCGTTACCTTCTACATTGCCCGAAGCATCACCTAATATCAATCCAAAATCAAAATATCGATTACCAAGAGAACATATATCATAGATGTAATATATCACAACATATTATTAACAAGTATTCAATGGACAGAAGTTTAGAAATATCACTGTTATATCCATATCAAACATAACAATTACTGAATGCTACAGCTTTGTACGACCCTTTGTATGCTTGAGCTCTACTTATTTCCGTGAACGTGATAAAGCAATAAGATGTTTTCACTAACAGCTTTGTTACCTTCAAGTTTGTAGAAACCGTATCAGATACAAGAAATTTGCAAGTACCGGTAACAGCAATAGTGAGTATCTCCTTTATAGGCCTTATAGACTTGAAATACACTGCTTCAAAGGTCTCATTGTGCAACTTTTTGTATATGTTTGCCACCTCTTATTAAACAAAATTTTTGATTTTGGTGCATTTTAATTATAAATTCTGTTTTACATGTATAAAATACGTTCAAACAGAATTGAAGTCATCTCGTTGTCCGTTGGGGAAATTGGGCTTTTCAAGGGTGTATATTCATAAAATGAGATTCAGACTTTCTTTCACTGTCTATGGCTTAAATACCAGAAAAATCCATTTAGAAGTAATAGCTTCTAAATAGTACTGACCCCCTGCATTTGCGTTTGCTCCTCCGCCGGCACCGCCACCAGCACCAGCTCCGCCGCTTGCTTTTCCGGAGGCTCCTCCGCTGGCTGCTGTTCCGGTATTTGTTGATGTTTTGGTCATCGTTCCAGTTTCTGTTGTTGTCTCACTCTGTAAGCAAATATTATCGATTAAGGCCTACAACTTTTACTTTGGTCTTACTCTCTCATGTGTACAGTTTCCGTTTCGACAACGAATATGCCTGCGGAACCAGATCTGCTTCCTTTTCTTCTCCTCTTTTCCTTTTCCTTCTCCTTGTCCTTCTTTGCTTTCTCTTCATCAAAGCGGGTTCCTAGCTCAAAGATGCCAGCTTTCCAGAACTTCCTCTACATTCACTACGCACAAACACTACTAGCCTTGTTTTCCTCTTGTTTTAATGTCGTGAAATGCTTTGAAGCAGTTTTAGACAAATGCAGAAAGATTTTGGACTTTTTTAATAGTAAGGATTTTTTTATTGCCAACAATTCATAGAAGAACACACTTGACATTTAAAGTTAAATGTTATAATTATTTCAAATTACGCTAGTTTTACGCTAGTTTACCTGGTTTAGTATAAAATTAGCGATCTTCTTAAAAACTGCGATTAGGAAACCTCAATAGATGTCAAAAAAGTTATTCTGACGTTTCATGGCAATAAGTTTTCATTAAAGACTAGTGACATTTTAGTAAGCTAGCAGAAATCATTTGTGTTCTATTAAATAAGAATAAACTATTAATAAACCGGTGATAAACTAACGCATGAAAATGCTTTTGGCTAACAACTTTATAAATTTGTTCGTTTTACTAAGAAAACTCAGACACTTCATCAAGCAGGAAATGAGTAAAGGTGGAAAATAATCTATTTTTCATATGCAAGTTGAGCACTGAAGAAATCATAGGAATAATGAGAGCTTTTAGCAGCAAGAAACACATCGAAGAAAGTATCTTCGTGTTTCAAATCAATTAAAAAAAACAAAAAATTTCACTAGCTTCTCTGCTATAACATATATAAAATGGTAAATTTCAATATTGGAGTATTTTGGGCAAATGAAACTAAACAATACTAATGCAATCTGTATTTTACAAATAAACATTATCATATAATGTAAATGAAACATGATGAGGTTTTCATGACCTGATAGTTAGGCAAAATTAATCCGATACATTTTTCTGATGGTTCAAAACCCACTCAATATTTTCAAGAAACAATTAATTGTATCCCTGAAAGAACTTTTGTAGTGTGGAAAATGGAAGGCACCTCACGTGCATAGCATTGCTGCATGCAAAAACGCTTTAACATACACTGATGATTTTGTCACTTATGACGTCATAGTTCGAGAGATTGCAATAGGCCATTTTAGCCAATTATCAGGGTGGACGGCCCTGAAAATTGCTGAGAAAACCTCATCATGTTGATGGCGAACTCCAATGTCTACACTTGGTACAGATAAGTTTACAGCGTGTCTTGTATGGCAGACTCATTACATCGTCAATCAGCAAATATTTCTGTTTAGTATCGTCTAAAGTAAAACTGGAACTCTTGATAAGAAGATAGCTGATAAAACACCAGCAGATGAAAAAACAACCTATTCGCATAGCATCCTATTCCAAAGTCTGCTTATAATGTTTCCCCTCTTCCAACTAAATATTCCACGTCTAACATGGTTTTGGGGGGGGGGGGGTATTTATCGACAGCAGCATAATTGAGTGTTAACAAGACACTTAAGGGACATTTTTCTATGAAACTCATCTGTTTGACCATGTAATGAATCTTAGCCCTTTTCGTTTACTAGTCGTTTACAACTTTCGTTACTACATTTCGCATCGTCTTAGTTTCTGTTCAAAATTGTTCGATAGTCCTAGTCCTTGATTGTCCAGTCAATTAGTTCCCCTTCTTTCCATCTCCAGCAGCATTGACTTTCGTGTCTGCTTTTACAGATGCGTTGGACTTATCTTCCTTTTTCTCTGTGGGACACTTTTCCTTTTTAGGACAGTCTTTGTCTTTTTTCTGTTGACAAGGAGACATTGGAGCTCGCCAATCAAATTGCCCGAGATTGTGTCTTAACAATGAATTTAAAACCACACAAGTTTTCCGGTTAGCATGGAGGGGTTAACTTGAATTTCGTCTCCTCCTTGAAGAAGAGAAATTATTCCACATTTTGCCATCTATTATCTCAGTCACTGTCTCGAAAATTCAAAATTTTCTCATAACCCAAATTTTGCTAGTTGTTCTAAAATATCACCTATTTTAGCTTTGGCTTGTTCAGTTACCTTTCATCACTAAAAGGAGTGCAATTCGGCAAAGACCAGAGGTTAAATAGCAGATTAATTAAAGCCAAAAGAGACACACAAACAGATTGTGTATGTTGAACAGGTGGAGTGTTAGTTTTATAGATCAAATTTTTGAAGTGAAAGAGTTTAGTCAAATAGTTTCATTCTTTGAAACAAAGAATTTGCTTTATAAATATACTTTTCTTCATCTGTCTGCATCAGCTGAATATTTCAAAAGCCTTCTAAAATCTAAAGCACAGATCTGCTATAAGCAGGTGTTCGGATGTTTTCCTTGTGATGGTAACTTCTTCTTGTACGTTGATGGTGACTGTATTTTACACCCCATGAGAATAAGAGGATGAAAAAGCAGACAATTTAGAAGACCACTGTTGAACTAATATCATGCTGCTGGTTGAACCAAGTGCTAACGGCATGCATTCATTTTTGTCGGTATGCAGATGACAAATATTGCGCACAAGTTTGGAAAAATAAGAGGTAGTGAAAAAGTCATCAACGTACCTGGGTTTCGACTTCTGTTGTTTCCATTGGTGGTGGGGGAGGTGGGCATGGTGGAGGACAGGGTGGTGGACATGGGCATGGTGGTGGAGGGGGTGGGCATGGTGGTGGTGGAGGAGGACATGGTGGAGGAGGTGGTGGTGGTGGAGGTGGTGGACATGGTGGTGGGGGTGGGGGACATGGAGGAGGAGGTGGAGGAGGTGGTGGCGGAGGTGGCGGTGGTGGTGGTGGCGGGCAAGGAGGTGGACATGGTGGTGGGGGTGGTGGACATGGTGGTGGTGGACATGGTGGAGGAGGTGGTGGACAAGGTGGTGGAGGTGGTGGGCATGGCGGTGGTGGTGGTGGTGGACAAGGTGGTGGGCATTCATCCTTATCTTTGCCTTCAAGATTTACTTCAGCTGATGACGATGCTTTGACTCCAATATCTCCTTTCTGTCAGAAAATAGCTGCATCAGTATATTTTCAAATATATTGAATCTATTTACTAAATCAAAATAGATTTCAAAAACAAAGGTATCTTGATTTTCGAAAAAGAAGATTCAGTCGTACCTTTGAGCCTTTCTTTGTCCTCTTTTTTGCCTTTTTGTGTTTGTTCCCTTTCGATGGTTTGATTGGCAAAGCCGGTAGCTTTGGCTGTGGAGCATGCGCATCTGGTTTTGCAGCCTGCTTTGGGTTTTGTGGAGCATTTTCTCCTTTCTCTGCAAATGTCAGTGGCACCTTGAGATTATTGCCATTTGGTGCAGTTTCTGTTTGCCAGACGGTTCTACAGATCGAAGAAAGATTTTCTGTGTTAGCAGACGGGGGCTGTCGAAATTATAATCGATGCGTTTAAAATTATACACCTTGCAAGTACAAAGCAGCTACGTGCTACGTATTTGTCCTGGGATTTAACGCATTAGGTAAATTATATTAGTGATATGAATTGATCGAGCAGAAAACGTCAAAGAAGAAAACAGATGGAGAGATACATGTAGATATATCTATGACCAAAAGCAAACATGACCTTTCTTGATCTAATCTTGAGAAAAAATAACATATGAGATAATTTGATGCAGGTTTAAAGCAAGGCCCTGGAAAATCAAGCGAGTAGATGTTGATCAGGCTTTTGAAAGAAAGTTTTGCAGTTCTAGAAAGAGTCTTTAGAAATGACGATTCTCTAGTTGTTTTCCAAGACATTGGTAAAAACTCGATAGAAGCCCTATAAAGATTGTTGTCTTGAACATTCGTGCTCTATCTTAGATTAAAAGTGGCTCACTGTAATTTCTTCTTCTTCTTTTCAGCTGCCTTCTTTTTGTTCTTCAGTGCCTTAGTCGCCTTTGCTGCTTTCGCTGCCTTCGCTGCTTTGGCTTGATCGGCTGCATTTGGTTGCTGCTGGTTCACTTGAGGTTGTACTTGTGCCTGCTGCTGGGCAGGAGCAGCATTTGGAGTGGCAGGAACAGCTGCCTCCTTTACTCCCTTGGCTTTATCCTGTGCACCTTTCTCAGGCTTAAATTTATACAAGTCTAACCATTTTTGGTGTTCAGCTTTGTACGCTGCAATGTCTTTTTTTGTTGCTTTCTTTGCTTTGCTGCTCACACTCGCTGCTAAAGCCAGAGCAACCAGCAGGGTCACCACTAAAATCCTCATTTTGAGGCAGAGATTGGTTTCATAGAAACCTAGAAAGAGATAAAAGTTATTAAAAGACGTCAATCCTCTCAAAACATATTATCTCCACCCTCGTGCAATAACCCCGTGGAACGAGAGGTCGATGAGTTGATCATTCATCGTATCTCCTTAAGACCAAACTTTCCTTACGTAGCCCTGACGTTCGCCATTTACGTAGTTCTGGAGTTTCACTGCTCATTCACTAGGGCTAAGCTTTTTCCTTTAAGCTTTTTATACAAACAATTCTCATGAACTGCATAGAACACTAAAGAGATTCATGAAAAGAAAAACATTTGACATTTGTATCGATACAATCCTCGAGTTTCACGACTGGGAAAATGTAAGCTAATACCTTGCACTGTGCTCTAGTGTCAGTTGAAATTAGCTAATTTTAAAAGACCAATTAAGAACAGCCATATTGACAAGATTCACGAACCTACCCACACGTGTGTTTGGCGAGAGCAAGGTATTAGCAGTAGCGGAAACTGCCTTTTTAAGAAGTGGAGCAAGTTTAAGTTTCTTTGATCGAGCCGCCTTCCCTCTTCTTTTTCCTATACAAAAATTATCTGGTTTTTTGTAATCATGTCGATTGGGGGATGATTACCTTTGTAAACATAAAACACAAGTTCAAGTCTCCAAGATTTGTTCTGGATCCATCGTAAAAAGGTACATGGTACTTGCAACTTGAATAATTATTCCTTAAAGAAGACTTAAGGGCCATTTCTTCGTTAGGTTCCTGTTAAAACAGTGACAAAACACGCTATTTTTTCAAAACTTTGATTGCAAATGTGAAAACATGGAAAACCTGCTACATTCCTCGCGTGAAGGTTCCTTGCCGTTCCAGATAACTAAGGCAGGAAAGTAGAATTAACTATCTAAAATTACAAGAAATTGCTTCAATATCTATTCCTTGAGCAAGGCTTGAACATAACTTGCTTGCAATGTTCAAGAGAATCTCTTTGAGCTATTCCATTCAGAAGTTTAAATATTGGACCAAAGTTTTTCTTTTTCTTCTGATTTTATCATTGAGTCAAACTAAGGCCGGATATTTGCGTTGCTAATAAATTCTTAATAAACTTTGGTAAAGGTTTATCGTAATTTGTATCCTTGGCCTTCGTTTATTTTGAATTTCATTTAAAAAAACATCGATATTGCTACCATAATTTATCTTACACAATGAACACGATGCCCTAAGCCATGAAATTCCATAAACGAAACCTTTTTGGATTTTATGTTACGTTTTATCGAAACAGTAGCAGAAAGGCGTAATATCGTGATTAATCGAAATATATTTACTCAGCTATTACCACCTACCTTGTTAAGATTCTTCTTGTCCTTTTACCGTCAGTGCGATAACAACTTGAAGAAATTCCAAAATCAAAAATTCTGGATTTCAACGATGAGCGCGTCTACAAACTTCCTTGGTGGTTTGCCTTCGGTTTGAGGTTACGATTTGATCGCAATTCAGTTATCGCCATGCTTGAGCTATTCGACAGGTTGCGCGTGACCTTTCAATAACGCAGCAAGCAAAGAATAATCACAATTATCCAAGCTATGTTTGGTGTGTTTTTTCATAAAATTATGCTTAATGTTTGCCTGAATCCTTGGAAAAGAAAAAAAATTGAGCAGCGGGCGAAATATGCGTATTTTGTGACAAGTTTGCCGAAATTTGCATGCAACTGCAGATTAACGACGATGTTACGCTTGTAAACCTGATCGTAAACAAGAGGGTGATACAATTGATAAAGTCGTGGTCAATATTTTCAACACCAGTAATTGAAAGAATTTTGAAAACAATCCTGAAATTAAGAAAGATATATCTTTGAACCCTGTAACAGCTTCCGCGAATGGGATGAATTTGCAGTCACGTCGACTATTTTTAAGAGCTCGAAAAACGGACTGCTCTAAAATATGTATGGTCAATATTTTCGTTTTGAAGCTAAGCAAATGCTTAACGAAACATTTTCTATAAGGGATATATGGTTAGTGTGAAGAGAACGCCTGCAGGAAACAAATCGTACAAAAATAACAACATATGATTGCCTCTTATCTAAGGGAGAACCCCAAGCTGTTTTACTTTTGCAAAGCTTTGCAAAGCCTGCATTAGCCTTTCTTATTATATACTGAATCGGAATCGACTGAAACTTCAAGTCAAAATATTTCAAATCATTTTTCTCAACCAATACATACACAGAGTCTCGCGCGCTTATACTAATTTTTTTGGGAAGTTTGTCTCTTAAGTCCTCTTTAGGAATCGAAAGAATTCTAGTGTTTCATAAAAGAAGTCTCTGTTCCAGACTTTTTCTACAACAACAACGATAACAAACAAGGTATACGTTCTTTTTAAGAAGCAGTATTTCGTGTATGAATACTGTAACCAATAGTGATGATAATTGAGCTGTGTGTATTCTTTTTATCTACTTGATGAATATTTACAAGGAACGTGAAAGCTTCAGAAATAAACATGGAACACAGAATATAATTGCTAATGGTCTTTTTCAGTTATTTGCAGTCCATCAAAATCTGCACTCCACTGCTAGTGCTCCTAATTCGTGTGCCGAATTTTATTTCAGTAAAAAAGACGACAAAGACGAGGCTCGCTTAGAGGCTAGGGTCGAGGGTTTCAGGCACTGTGCCTCGAGTCCTGACATGGCGGAAATTTTACTTAAGAGTGATGAGAGTTGGAAGGTTTCTGTAATAGAGTAGCAAAGTGACGTCATCTATTTGTGGGTTTTTAGAAGACTGACTCCTTTAATCCTCTAAAATTTCTAAGAAATGGTGTTTTGATGACGTCACTTTTCCACTCTTTTCCAGGCGTAGAAATCATCAGGTGTGGTCTAGGTTCTCAGTGTGCTAAAAAGTATCTACAAAAGCTAGGTAGTAGCACATAAAAATTAAATGATGCAAATATGGGCTTTCATTTGAACAGCAGTATTGCATATCAGCAGCTGGATATTATCAGCATTGTAGCGTTGTGCAAATTCAAAGAAAATAATTGTCTTGTGTAACAAGCATCACATTCATGCATGCAAACAATCAATAAAGAAGTCAAACAAACTATTTTCATTGGATACTGTTTGAGTAAGAGCAACTGGTATCAACATTTAAGGCTTATCAAATAACGTAAGAAGTATTCTGGCTAAGATTTGCATTGCTAGTGTCTTTTCATGTAGGTCGTTTCAAATGGAGGAGATCAAGTTTGAATTCGCAGAAAAGAGGGCATACTTAAGTGTGCAATAACCTTATAAAATTGACATATTCCAAATTTGTTTTAAATACATGCAACTTTAGCTTTAATAAGTGAATTATTCATTATTCTTGCCTGATTGTAATTGATATTAAGTTCAGCGACAATCATCGCAGTTTCTTCAGGTCTGTCCGTCATACATCTGTCCTTCTATCCAACTTTCGTGCTAACTACCAGGAGCCATTTGTATTACAGCTATTTGCTTGTTTCCTTTCTTCAGCTGCTACAGATGCACTGCACCATTTGCTTGGTGTGTAGAATATTGCAAAATGACACTCCCAGTAAAGCTACCCTTCCTGGAAGAAAAAACAAATCAATTTTGCAGAAATGAATGGATTAATTTGAAAAAATAGTCTTGCAGCATTAACTATGGACCTGAGAAAAATAGCTCTGACTTCTTTTCATTGTCATGCCTGCAACCCTTACAAAAATAGTTAGAACACCAATATAATCACAGACAAAAGTTTACAACGCCAGAATGTAACAACTTCTCCAAGTCATTAGCTGTGTTGTTATATTTCCTCCTTCCCGTCTAATGTTTATTCATTCATTAGAAGTATTTATGTGTCTACACTCATTTTTTTATAAGAAACAAAGGTAGATGTTGAATACTCCAGTTTCTTAATATTCTGGAAATTTAAATACTCATTGTTTCTTAAGAGTTTCTTAATTATGATATCATGAATGATGTTATGAAATGTTCGTGACATTTTTTTCACGTCAAGAGATTCGCTTCCGTTCTGATGCTGTATTTAGATGTGGGAATTATATATTTATCCCTTGTGTCTTAAGTTCTAGGCCAACAGTGCAATCTTGTTCTTGGATTTTACAAAATTTCGTTGTTCTCAGTTTTATCACGATTTAATAGTTTCTTAATTTTTTTGCTTCGAGTACTGGAGTTTCTTAATTTTTTCTCTGAGTGTCCAGCACTCGTTTCTTATAGCCAGTTTCTTATAAAAAAATGAGTATAATTCTATATAATTATTTTTTCACTGCAATGTTGACATCAATTAATATTATAATCGGGGCTTAACTAGGGGTGTAATTCGAGGAGGGGAAACAACATGAATATTGTTAAGACAGGTGGTATAGGTTCCAACAGTTTTGTCAAGGATTGTTGGCCGTATATCCGAAGAACATGGAGAAAATTTCTCTAACCATTTTTACACAAGAAAAGTGATCATTAATAATTTTCACTATCTTATCTTTTTTCAAACAACCTGCTTTAACCAACCTTTGTCAAATAGTTTGATACTGGTTTGTTATTGATTAAAATTTTGAATAACTCAGAGGGAAATACAAGAGCAAAAAGCTGAAAGCCGTCTGTTTTTTTGACGTCCTGATAATTCTTTCTTGACAAAATGTGTTGACTTCGTGAAAAAAGAAAAAAAAGCATACGAAAAAAATACAGGACTCTGGAAGTGTCATCAGCTCTGATTTCATATTGAAAATTTCTAGGAGTCTGCTCATGAATCTGAGGGACCTGGCAACGTAACGAATTTTCCCGTTGTACGGAGGTCATTCATATATTACGATTGTACTGTACATCAGGGCCGCGGAGAGGATTCATGGGCCCAGGTCAAGACGAAAGATAAATAGTAAAGCATGCCTGAGGCAGATGTTTCTAGGTGTATAAGGAATGCTCCTCTAGAAATTTTGAAAATGATGGTTGCTTAAATTGCCCTGGTGGCTATTATCGTTGATAAAGAGGGGGGTCAGAGGGGGCAAAAAAATCATGTAGAGCTAAACTCATCTGGTCTTGTAAGAAAATTAAAAAAAAATTTTCTATGTTTATCTAATTGCTTTGTTTTGATAGAAAATAATTTTAAAGCTAAATAAACATAAGAATATCTGAATATATCAGAATATATATTTTTTTCTGTTCCGATGTCGTTATGTTATGATAAATTTCTAAAAAAATTATCAATACTTATTAGAACTTTGTTGGAAAATCCAAGGTTTTAACCCCTGCTATGAATGTTTCTATCTAGGCCCTTGTCTTGTGGCTACTACTGCTATTTGCTGTTTGATACAATTTGAGCATAACTGATATCTTAACACCATAATGCATAAAAATGAAAATTTCTAAGAAGTTTCAAAAGTCTAAAACTCCATTTAACAATTGGAAGTGCTTTGCTTCATGCACAGTATCAACATCGGCAATAACACAATTTTGAGAGATAATCATTGTGCCTAACAATAGACATAACCCTTATTAAGTACTCACCATTCTCTCTAATAATGGGTTTGTAGGTTTAAGATTATTCTGCACTTGGGTGCCGTTTACACTGGTTTTATTCCCAGACATTTCCTTAACTTGCTTCAATGTTGCTATCACAATTTGCTTTGTAAGATCCCTTATCTTGTTCGCTGCTTTCTTGTCCGAGTCATTCGCAAAATTAGGACTGTTTTCTGGTGCAGTGGCGCCACTTTTACTTGTGTCAACGCCGTCTGATTTTGGCTCGTCTCCGTTAACCAATGAAACGTTATTAGACTGTTCATTATTAGTCTTGTTTTCCTTCGTTTCATTACGAATATCTTCTCTCATAAAAGTTAAAGGTATTTTCAGATTATGTGGATTTGGGCTTCCTTCTGGATTTGGAACATACTTTTCTTTCTTTTTCTTGCCTTTCCTTCTCCCGCCTTTCTTCTTTCTTTCCTGCTCTTTATGCTTATTTCCTTTCTTTGCTCCAGATTTAGACTTCCCCTTCTTGTCTTTCTTCTTCTTTTGCTTGTCTTTTTTCCTCTTCTTGTCTGTTTTACTTTTTTTCTTTGATGCCTTTTTTCCTTTTTTACTCTTTCTTTTGATCTTTGTCTCGCTTTTATTATTTTTCTTATGTTTCATTGACCATGATGTTACGCTTTTAGCATCTCTGTGTTTTGGTTTAATTTTGTTATCTTTTCTAAAACTGTGTTTATCATGGCCTTCTTCCTTTTTTCTGTCATGCTCAACCTCATTATCATCATTGTCAACCTCGTTATCATCATTATCATCGTCATCAGCATCATCGTCGTCAACATTGTCGTTTTTGTCATCAATCTTTATCTCGTTTTTGGACATACCATGTGAAACATCTTTGGTAATTTTAGCATCTTTGGAATCAACATCAACAGTTATATGGATCTTTGATCTGTTGCTAAACGAAGCTGATTCCGTTAAAAGGCCGTTAGTTAGTGAAATTGCACTAACATGCAAAATCACTAACAACTTGATCACCATTGTAGAAGTCATGCTGTTCTTAACTCATTTATTTTGTTTCTGAAACCAAACAGAAAACAAAATTAACGCCAGCTTGCATAGTCTAATGAATAGAATTGACGGGGTGAAAGAACATATTGGGGTGGTCGCCCTGATTTCTCATTGTTTTTATTCTCTACCAAGAACTTTCTTTTAACGTACTTACTGATGGAGTATTTGCTCTACTAGGCCTCTTTGTTTGTTCTAGCAGTAAGTGGGGAAAGTTTGCTTATGGCCTATATCAAAATAGAGCGACTTTCAAACTATCAGTTGTTCCACGGCTCCATATATTGAATAAATGCTCATAAATGCTTTTATTAACAAATTGTTGGTATAACATTTGGAAAAGTTAATGATTCTTAATAGAAACCTATTCGGACATAACTAAACTATTTGGAGAATTATTAGGATAAAATTAACTAAACTAATGTATGTAATATTTGCAATTGAGTTGAGCATTAGGCGGTGGTTAAGGGTCTATTTGTTTGTGAATTTTCAATAATTTTCTAGTTGAATGCACAGAAATCTGAAATATTGTTTGGAAGCCTTTTCATTGGAGTCAGTAAATACCGAAGAATTCAAGGCCTAAATCAGAACAATTCTACACAAACTTACAATGAAATTAATATTTATTTAGTGAAAGAACTTGTGACATATTCTAATAATAAGCAATCTTATGTTTATATAAAGGTTTGTTGAATGTATAAACTTTCGATTTGATTAACAGACAGAGCTGTACATCCTATAGTGTTTAGAAAAGAACTGCTTTTAAGTTGCAAATGCAAGTTCGATGCTTAATGCAATAATCCATCAACTTATTAACTACTCTCTATATAAACTAATGTTATCATAATTAGCAATTTTTTAGGCAATAGAGAATTTACACATAGAAAGGCATTTATACAGCTTGCTTTTATATCCTTGTTTAAAGATCCTTAGAATTCAAATAATGCAGTGAAAATTTTAGCAAACAATTACTTCAAAATTTTCTGCCAGTAGCAGAATGCTAAACAGGATACCTAAAGACATTTGATTATAGACAATACCAATCTATTAATGTCATATGGAAATTTCAATTATTTTCTCGAGCAAATATGATAATACAAACGATAAATTCTTTCAATACTTACCTTGCATTAGGAGAATATTTGTAATTTCCAGGGAAATTTAGGAACTTACGAACACGACTGGCAAACTACTTCGTCTTTATAAAAAAAATAATAAAACGCTACAATGTATAACGATTTATTGTTTGTTTGCTGTCCTCCATCTTTATTTACACGATCAGCTTTCTATTCCGTCAACACAGGTCAAACTGTCGCTGGTGTTCAATTCAGTCCAGGCCTGATAGGAATGTATCTCCACAACCGGCCACCAATATTACCGGCACCTCATGAATAAGTGACCGCATTTCATTGGCTATTTACAATCATATCACTTGCTTCCTCCGATAAGCGCAGCAAACAAAATGTAGTGTCATTATTACCGAATGATTCTAAGTTTGGAAAGTGGCTTTAGAAAGTGCTCTGGATATACCGGTTGCAAGCAACTTCCCTTTCCACTGTGCCTTCAGAAAGATGCAAGTTGGAAAGTGGGAGAGCTAAGGCGAAATTTCAGATTCATAGCAAAAAGCACTGAATATGTCGTTGACAATAATGCCCTGGGCATTAATGCTCAGAAGAAAGAGAGCTACAATACCTTAGAACAGGGGATCTTAATTATTTTAAGTGCCGGGCCAGAAAAACATATAGATTTTCTTCGGGGGCCAGTTGGTTGTCAACTTTTACATACCTTGTGTTAAAAGGCTGCTCAAAATGAAACTCAGACCTCATTTTTACCAGGCTAAGTTAGTGATAAGATAGGCATGCCTATTATCTCGTGCTTGTCTATTTTATCTACCTTAGCATTAACCCAAAAAATAGTTTTCATTAAGGCTTTGTAACTTTATGTTTCTTGCACCAGGCTGAGTCAAAAAATCGTTCTATGCTATTTTTAGACAAGAAGGTTAATCGTTCGTTAGTCTCTTGTTGGGTCGGTTTGTAGCGCCTGAAGTCAGCGTATTTTAAAGAAAGGCCAAAATCTTATGTTTGTGGATGAATCTAATAAAGGCCGGATGAATCTAAAAAATTTTTTGGGTTATATTAATCTAGGAATGGCCAGAAATAGCACCTCAAATAAATTTTAACGGGAGAAAATTCAAAGCAATATTCTTATGGTTTTCATAACTAGATTCCATAGTTTTATCTGTTGACATGAAAAAGGAAAAGTCTCGCAAGGTTTTAGAATGATCTTTGCATAACAGCGTGTAAGATGGAGAAAAGAAATAAATTAAAAAACAGTTAATTAAACGCTATAAAACGATCAATCGATTAAATAAAGCATTTCTTATTTCGGTACTCTCTTGTAGACCAGTAACTGTCAACGGAAAGCATTTAAAATTTACTACAGAGAAAAGGAAAAATATCAAAGAGGACAAAAGAAACCAATGATAAATAGAATTCCAAATGTTGGCAAAAAATATTTTCGAGGTGAAAAGCATTCGGCGGGCCGGATGAAATTTTGCTGCGGGCCGGAGTTTAAGAGTGGCTGCCTTAGAATTTTCTAACAAGGAGGATATCGTTGACACTTTTATAGCGAGAAAAGCTCACTCAAAACATCTTTCAATTCATTTAATCTCAAAACAACTATACTTGTCGAAAGCAATAATAAGCTTGCCTTCAAAAGCAAAAAGAAATGCAGGCTAGATATAAAAAACTTGTCTCTTTCTGGAAGACGAACAGGTGCAGGAAGAATTCAGTGTGCACAACTTAAGCTTCAGTTTTGTAAATCAGGTAACTTGATTACGCAATCTGATCCAACATGACAAGGTTAGCTTATCTGGGAGCCGCTAGCTCTCTATTGAGCAGGCATAGGGATCGTGAGGTGTGGTCACATAAAAAAAATAGCTTCTCGGTGTCTTAAAATAGTTTCACAAAAAATAAGCGAATTTAACATTAAACAACAATTCAAGGTTACTATTGGATAAGAGAACCATTTTCTCAATACCTCAAGATTCTTTTCTAGCTTACAGATCTTGTCAAAGAAAGCTCTTTCAACACATGACATTAATTGCAAATCTTATGCCTCGATTTTAACTGTGCAAAAGTTCTTTCGATAGAATACTCTGTTTCACATATTTAGAGAATCAAGCGAGAGATGCTTTGTCTTTTTGAAAAAGAAGACGTCTACTGCCTATGAAGAACTGCTTTTGCTAAGGGTAGGCGCTTATAAGAGCTGGGCGCCTATAAGAGCTGGGCGCTTATTTGGTTCCTTTGCGTTTTGCATTGTCATTCATAAAAATTTACTTCTGACAGAAGAAAATAACAAAACATGGATATAGCAATATTAGATGATATCTGAAAGTAAAATTTGCAACACTGATACAACACAAAAACTTTATTATCTAATTACCCAGACTCGCTAGCAGGGGTGGCTTGGGCTGCTGTTATTTCTAAATACGTCTCGAGGAATTTTCTTTTTTAGAATCTTTTTTTATTTCTGAAATCAAAGCCTGAAAATAAATCAAGGCCTTTTACATCTAAAAACCATAGCTTTACTGATTCAAGCCGTACGATTAACGTTCCATTCTCTTTGCTATTAGTTTTGTTTTTTGATTTAAAGGTAGCCGTCTTTGCTCCCAAATAATATTTCACAAAGAAAGATGATTTGCCAGTGGAAGAATTTTCTAACAAAGAAATTTCGTGGAAAGAATTCCTCTACAATTTGCATCGATATGTTTTTGGCACATAATGTGCATTTTGAATCAGTGGTCCAGAACTCAATGTTACACATGAGATTGTTTCATTTTTGGTCTTTTTCCGTTAAAATATTCATTTAAAGATCTCTTTCTGTGTTGCAGCAATGATAAAAACCCATCTTACTTTTAAAAAAAATTAGCCAGCCCAAAATCAAATCAACTTGCACTGGAAAGATAATTTGCTAAAAATGAACTTTGGACCAATGACGAGAGTTTTCTACCATAAAATTCGTGCAAATTGTGAAAGATTCTTTGAATTGAAACATACTGAGATACATATAAACAAAAAAGTTTGAATTTGCACTGGCTGAACCAACAAATTGGAAAACTTCTTGATAATATTCATTATTTTACACAAGTGGTCAAATCTCTTGCCAGCAAATTGTGTCTTTATTGTTTGGAAGGCAAACTAATTGGTTTACTAAGCTGTTAATATCGTCTATACATGCTTCATTTATGTGATAAGATCTCAAATGACATGCAAGCCCCAGCTCGGCTATAAAAAAGGCGCTACCACTCAGCTCACCACATTACTTGTGCAGCTTTGGCAGTCGGTTGGCATTCAATATCCTTGAAAGGTATGTAAAACCAGAGTACTTCTTTGTAATTATTATTTTTTAGATTTTGCCAGCTTTTTGGCAAATTTTTAAAGGTATATTTCTTAAAATAAAATATAATGGAATGACAAGTATACTTGGGTACTACTTGGATACTACTTGGGTATCACTTTGTCAGAAATCATTTTCTACTCTAAGACATTGAAATTATCACTAATTTGTTCTTGTCGTCGTAATTGCGTACATATCATTATCAAAATAACTCTCTACAACGGTCTTAGATACTCTCGCATTAATATCCTTTGCCATTCCATATTGAAAATGGAATGAGTTTTTTATGTCTTAATTTCTAATTTGTTAAAAAAGTAAGCTTATGGTTTTGAAACATACTTGACTCTGGCTCTCTTCAGAGTATAAAACGTCCGAACATAGTTCGCAAACTCTAAGCTATAAAATTTAGAATTAACAGCTCGATTGACATAGCTTCTCAGTGTCCTAACAGCTTTTGGATGCTATGTATAATAAACAAATACAAACAAACATTTTGCAAACCATAATCAATAAACTAGGTAGTTTCTAATTATCTACAATTTTCGTGCCAATAATACATTGCTTCTATTCTAGGTGACCAATTTTCAAAATGAAGGCCATTTTGAGCATACTTCTTTTCTCCTTCGTTGTTTACACAACAGCTGAAGAACTGACACTTGTCAGAAGAGATCTTCCAAAGCAGTGCGAGGATGTTCTTGCCGCAGATGTGAGTTGATACCTCAAGGATCATTGTTGCTTCCAATTATACTTTATTCAACACTTTCACCAATCATGTTTAGGGTATTCCTTTAAATGGTACCCTTATTTATACTGGGTTATGCAGAGTGTGGTTTGCACAAAAAACTGTGTCGAGTCAAAATTTAATTTTATCGTTTGCATCTCGTTTGCATGCCAGGAAGAATAACTTATACATTAGATAGATTCCATATTTTTTACCGATGCTGCATTAAAAGATTAACAAAAAGTAAAACTCACAACATACGGATCATTTCTAGCTCTGCAACAAACTGAGAGAAATTGCAGCAGCTCTTAAACTCCAAGCTTCCAAGGTCGACGATGCTATTGTTGATGCTGCCATCAAAGGATTGGTTGCTGCTCCAGCAGTTTACAGAGCAGCCAAAGAGTTCTTGAAAAACGAAGTCCTCGACAGGCCATGTGAAGATTTCCTCTCTCCTGCGGTAAGCTATCTTTGCCTTGAACATTCGCCATTGCTGCTGTAAAATGAATAATACCATTGTTGTGCGAAATGTTTTCTATATGCAATTTATGCTTGATAAAGACTGACCTTAAATTAATGTATGCTCTGAATTTGAAAGCACGGGTTTTTGCCAAATGAATCTGTAGATGCAAAAGCATATTACGCATGCTGCAAAAGGATTCGTTATGAACAGAATGAGACATTCACGAAGCCACAATGCCGTATGATGCTTATAGATAAAAATGATTTTTTACTATCAAGATGATCTTCTGAAAATGTAGACACTTTTTTTGCTAATTTTTGGCCACAGATAGAGAGTAAAAATTTCAAGGAATTATTTATCGAGCAAAGATAAGTTTAGTTTACTTTTTTGACACTATATAACATAACAGCTATACACACAGAGTAACTGAAAGCATCAAAACAGTGGTACTCCAATTATTACAAATCCCGTTTATTACAAACTTCTAGCTTTCTCGTTTTTGCAGAATAAAAGTTTGGCCCTTTAGAGTGCCCACAGTATAACAAACTCCCAGTATTCCAAACTATTCTCTTGATGCCTTGATGATAAACTAAGAGAATTTGTGTTGGCCGGATTTCGCTGTAGCTGTAACGAAGGATCAATTGGAAATTAAAATTTCTAATGTTCTCCTTTCATAATCTTGGGTAATCAGTTTTCGCTACTTTGCCTTAGGTATGCACCAAACTTCGTCAAATCGCCGGTGTTTTGAAAATCCAAGCAGCAAAAGTGGAACAGTTTGTACGAGAGGCAATTGCTGAGGGAATTACCACCGGAACAGAAATTTATGCCAAAGTCGTTGAATTTATGAAGAAAGAAGTTTTGAGCAAGACATGCGATGACTTCCTGGCACCAAGAGTAAGTAAACCAGTTTTTTAACACCTTCTTTCTATTTGCATCATCATTTGCTAGTGTCTCCGGTAGTACAATACAAACTGGCCGGGAAAAGAAATATCCAGCTTTCATCCTAGCCTTCCCGGAGTAAATATATTTGGACTCAGCCCTCTGGTATCTCTTCAGCTTATCCAGGTCAGCTTAAGATTTTGGTCCAGGATGAGTCTGGAACAGTACCCATCGTCCTGCTACCTATTAACCAAAACAAGGAGTTGTATAGATATGTTAACTTTCTTCGTTTGAATTGAATTTTGAAGCTTTTGCTTTTTAATCACGGTCATCAACAGTGCGACTGCAGATGTTTCCGGGCTCTCAGATAGAGTTTATATCCGGTCTCGGTTTCAAAATGAAAGTCCTAATGAACTCCTGTTGTAATATCAACTCCTTTAAGATTGAATTTGGCGAATAAATCATGATTATTAATCATATCGTAAGAGAAACTATTATAGAGACGCTAAGACTCATTTTCTGCACACATAAGTGATAATTAGGCCTGGAATGGCTTACGTATAGATAACGAAAATGCAAGGGGAAAAATTGCGTTTTTTATATGGTATTCGGTTGAGTAATTCTAAGACTTTTTAACACATGAAATTAAACGTTTTCCTAGGTCTGCAATAAGCTGAAGGAAATTGCAGCTAAACTCAAAGTCCAAATTGCAAAGGTCAACGAAATGGTAATTGATGCCGCTATTGCAGGATACCAAAACAGGGATGAGATATACAACAATGTCATCCAGTTCTTGAAAGATGAAGTTCTCTCAAAGACTTGCGAAGACATCCTCGCTGGTGACGTAAGTTGTCTCGTCACATTTGTTTTCAAATAAGTATAGTACGTGCTCGTTGTTAGCCTGCGTCACTGACCACTCTGTGACGCAGGCTAGTTCGTTGTGGGATTTATGGCCCTGTAAGTATGTACACTAGCTTTACAATGTCCCTAAAACACGACAATGTACCTCGGAATACATAGCCCCGGAAGAGTTGAGCGTATTGCAAAGAAGATGAGATAATTCTGCAAATGCTGAATCGGTAATGACCACTGATATATAATAGTCTCTTTTTAGATCAGTGGTAGTGACAGGCTACTGTATTTGACATAAGATATATTTCAGTTACTCACGAGTCGACTACGGCGAACTTACACAAAGAATTATCGGAATATTTGATTTTGACTTGAATGATTTAGTGATAGGGAGTTAATTTTGGGTTAAATTATGAGTGCACTGCCACGTTCTTTGAAGTATAGGAGTAGAACAAAACCTTTTTCAACGGCGCATATGGAAGACTATGAGATTCACTTAGGTAGCATCAATAGAACATTTTAGGACTGGCTGTCTTTTTCAACACATTTTGCCTAATATCTACAGGCCTCTCCGGCTAAGAGATCAATTTTATTAGTTCTCATGTAGTTATAATCATTACCAACGATTTTCAGGATCGGATTGTCCCTTTTCGGTGAGTCTTTTAATACATTCTATAAGACTTTATAAAACTTTGCATCAACTTTTTGGTCGTTTTTCAGCTCTGTAACAAAATGAAGGCAATTGCAGCAAAACTAAAGTTGACTGCAGCTAAGGTTGACAAAGCAGTTAAGGATGCAGTTCTCAAGGGATACCTCACAACAGCTGCTATCGTCCAGTCAGTCAAGGAATTCTACGAAAACGAGATCGCTAGCAAATCATGCGAAGACTTCCTTCCTGATGCAGTAAGTATTAAATTTATATTTGAAAATTGCAGAGATAGTTCTGTCCCTGACGTCCGAAGCATTTCTTGTGGAAGACGACGAAACGAGTAATCTCGCGACCTTGAGCATGCGCAGCAGTGATTGAGTTTCATGCGTATTCACTATGATTATTAAGACTGGGCTGGCTCTTTTATTAGGAAACTTTCAACTGTTTATCTCCCAATTTATCCGTCTTTTTACCTCAAAGACAGCGACGATATTTCTTAGCGTTTCGCCTTGGTAGCTTCATTGCTGAAGGAACCAAGGATTTGGCAATGCGTAGCCCTCAAGATATCACTGTGACACTGTCTCATATGTATTTTTGCTACTGACAGCAACAGCTTTATGCATTTTCGAGCAAATATACACTTAAACTTACTAAAGTATACGGCGAAAACTTGAAAATGATGTTAAAGAGGTCTTGGGAATGTCAATGTCTGGCCTTCTACGAAGCGCAAGAAACAAAGACACCTGGCGTACGACCATTGCGCGTGCCACGGCGGGTCAGCACTGACCCATCTGTTCCTGATGATGATGATACACTAAAAGGGCACGGGTCCTAAGCCTCATTGGCTTATGCAATACAATTATCTTTCTGTTTAGTACAAAGCAAAGGAGCGAGAATGAACTTTGACAGCTTGAATTTTGACGAGAATAAATTTTGAAGTTTGAATGAAAGTTCCTGAAGCAGAAAAGAAAAGTCACGAAACAATGAGATTCCACTCCCAACGTTTTTGCTTTAATAGCCAACTGCTAAGGCGACATAAACCCTTTAACAAACGATGAAATATCTCCATATCTATAACATATTGTCCTCCTTAATTGAAAAAAACTCAACTCAGGCATGTTAAGGCCTATAAAAACAACTAATAAAAAAGAGATGCCACTCAGACGTCCATTTTTGTTTAACTGTTCAAAGATAATAGAAAACTCGACGAAAATCCATTATATCTTTAGGTAAACGAGATCATCTTGTTTTTATTGCATTAATATGGAATGGGTTTTGTATTAGGTATGCACAGCTGCCAAAGATTTGGCTCAAAAATTCAAGGTTAGCAAGGAAAAAGTTGACAAGGCCGTGAAAGATGCACTGATCAAGGGATACGACAAAGCTCAAGAGATCTTCGATTACGTAAAGGAATACCTGAAGGAAAACATCCAATGTGAAGATCACCTTTCATCTATCGTAAGTAACGCTATTCTATTGGTTTTGCTGTCAACTACTGCTACCAGCAAAAAATATGTAGAAGGATGGAATACTTTATATCTCATGCCTTGTGATAAACATTTTGGTTAATGATTAGGTCATCAACATAGTCGAGATCCCAGGAGCTGAATAGGAAGACAAAACTTTGCATCATTCCATGTCTTGTCCTTACTCTATAAGGAATATATTCTTATCTAAATAAAAACACGATTTTTCGTGTTATCTTGAGAGCTAGGAACAAATGAAGGGATTTAACCAGAAGACAAAGCTGAAGCAAATTACAAATTTGATGCTTTTTCGCCGCTAGTTTTATCGCCATTAATGAGCTCTGTTATAACTTCATAGTAAGGAATTATCGTAAAAGCTTCTTTTCTATGCGTTTTGCTTGTCCCTTCTAGTCCTGCTCTATACTGCGAAGAACCGCCAAGTTCCTCGGCGTTCAGCTCCAGAAGGTGGAACAGAAAATCAAGGACCTTGTCAGTCAAGGAATCACAAGAGCCACAGAATTGTACCAAAAGGTCTTGTCATTCATCAGAAACCAGATCCTTGGTTAAACTATTTTCTGATTACTAACTTGATATGAAGATCTACTCATAATATGCTTGAAAAAGATATAATAAATAGCTGCACATTATTTCTTTTTTCTCTTGTTCTGCCAGTTGCAAGGGCCCTGAAGCAGTATTTTATTGTGTCCCCGCTTTGAAAATGGGCTTGGTAATCATTGTGAAAAAAGCTGGAATGTTGGGTAGGGGTGCTCCTTGTAATTAACGAGCACCCCTTGAAAGAGGTATTCGAGATGCTGGTAATGATGAAAGGCGTAATATTTTCCGATGAGCTTTGAAAAATAAGACGATGAGCTATGAAACTTATTTAAAGAGAATGCCTACCCGTCATTCGGCAATTAGAATGCCTGCCTAAATGGTTTTTAAAACCATCAGCTTGAGCAATTTTGGTAAATATCATCGAAGAAAACACACTTTTTAATTTCCTCCATTTTGTAGTCAGCCAATATTTTTCATATGTGGAGAGGTAGCCGTTAAAATCGACATTTAAAAGTAGAAATAGTATTGGCAGTGATTGTAGGATAACTTCAGAAGAATCTTTCAATAAAGAAAGAAAAAGCTGTCCGTTAGAAGCAGGGCTCGAAACGTCTTGCTGTTTAAAAACATGCATCCGTTACACTCTTTTTTTAAAAGAACCAGTAAATTTAAGTTCAGGCTGACTGTTCTTAATTTTTTCGAAAATCTGAGGCTGGATTGTTCTTAATTTGTTCTTAAATTAATAGGGTGTAAGCAGTGCTGTTGCTAGCTTTTTCTCTCTAAGGAGGTGTTCAGGCCTCATTTGCCAACAAAGTGAGTGTGACAGCCTTAATTTGCTGACAAATTTGAATATTCACCGAAAAGCACCCACACATCGCTAAAAATCCTCGATTTTGAGAAAAAACGTTGTTCAAAATTGCATTTTGCAGAAGCTCAGCCTTAGCTTGTTCTTAATTTGTTCTTAACTTTTAACCAATTTTGAGGCTCGTGTTCTTATAAAATTGTTCTTATAAAAAAAGAGTGTAGTCCTTTAAGCTCTGTGCGCAGAGGAAAGCTCAGAATATTCAACGACATGTTGAAACGGTGAATTCTTCTTAAATGTCAGCAAAATAAGCACAATTATGTTTCAGTCGCAAACAGCAATGAAACCGCACTATAGGCCTTGTTAATAAAGGCGAACTAACTCCCCTATAAAAAAACCAGTTCAGATTGCAACTAACCAACGAAAAAGATGCAGGACCAATGCGGGAAATCTTTGCTCTTCTTTTGATTATTTTCGTCCGCTTTCATACACCTGTCTGCGCGCAGTTGTTTCCTTATCATTTAACATGAATTGCTTACTTCCTTCTGAAGCTATTACCAAGCAGATTATAATAGTCAAAAGCATAAAAACAGCAGGAAATGACGAGGAATTAATATATATCAAATAGAATGGCCAATTGCAATGATTGATTTCAAAACTAAATGTGTCTAGGTCTTATTATGAAAAAGAATTGATTTTCATTATTTGAACAATATTTTGTTCTAATATTTATCAAAATAAGGCAATTCAAATATAAACATTCATTTTTAATGAAATAAGTACATAATTTCAATTTGAAAAACACCCAATATATATGCGCGAAAATCCATTGCTAGACCAACCATCACTAATTTCCTCGACAAGGAAGATAAAATTTGTATTAAACTTTGGGAAGACATCACTTTCTGTTGATCTGAGGGTTTTTGAAGCGAGCACTTCAAAACATTTAAATTCTTAGATCATTATATCTTAAGGGAAGAAGTAGGCTGTCTGGGAGAAGAATCTACAAAAGTAGAACTTTCATTGAAAAGTGTACTTAGACGTGATACAAGTTTAAAAATCAGTAAACTCATTTAAATCATCTTGCTTTTGAAAAGAAATCATAGTTTTTAAAACACACATGGCCTAAACTGGGCTCAGTTGGTGTAACTTTGACTCTGGTTCCGTTAATACATGAATGTGTTTCATTCTCTTTAGTATTAAACATGATGACCCTCTTACTAGGAAATTTCAAAGACTATGGCTTTCATTGTTGCCTCACCTATTTGGGAAAAAACATTCTGCCTTGAACTAAGGACGTTAAGACACCAACGGAACATCTAAAACGGAGCAAGGAAAAAAGGAAGGTTGTAGGGAGTGTACAGAAAACGACTAAAAGAAACGGTAGGCTGGGTGAATGAATAGTCATCCTTAAGGACCAGCTATGCAGGCACTGCGGCGCAGGGGGGGGGGCCTGGGCGGCTTTAGCCCCCTAGACCTCTTCCAAAATATGCAAAAAAATTAAGAAATAAAACACCTGTGAAGCTCATTTTATTCAGTTTTAGCCCCCGTATTTTTTCAAACCTCAACCCCAGCTGCTCCAAAGGGGTCCAAGAAATGACCGATACAACAAATCAAAAGAGTCCGATCTAGCAATAGGTTTTAAGTCTGCATATAGCAATATATAAATACAACTTGCAACAGCGATGTTTCTAAACCCTCTATCTTTGTTGCAAACCATCTGCAATAAAGTATACTTATTCGCTACCGAATATTCAATTAACAATGTAAGCAAACATATATCAGGACTCTTTGAAGAATCCCTTTTCTTTACATTTCTTTGCTGCAATATCATTAACAAATGGACTGAGAGGCAGACCTGAATCTGATCTATCTCGCTCTGAGTCTAGTAATCCATTATGAGGCAGTTGTAAAATGGCGTCTTTTTTGTGATGCGTGTCATCAGACAGGCATACTAGAACAACGTCATTAATTGTATTAACTTCTTCATCACTAGAATGTTTTGAAGTTCCAGGCAGCCTTCTATGCATTGTCTTTTCTGTTTGATTACAATTCATTTCAAATTCATTATCGTTGTATTTATCTATGATTCCATTGCTAACAGACTCAGAGGAGCCGATATATGTTGTCCGATGACTTGGTTCATTGATCGAAAGACTCCCTCGAATTCCATTATTTACATCCGGACTAACTTTGGGTAAAGATTCGCAATCCAGTTCACCAAACTGTCCTATGCCACTTATCCATTGGCATTCATAATGGTCTTTTTCATTTACTTCATAGTTTGAAAGTTTCCGATCCTTGGTATTACAGACATCTGAAAACTCGTATCGTTTATCATATTCTGAATTCCCTTTATCAATATTTTGCCAACCATCCGGGGGTTGCCAGTTATAATTGTATCTATATACTTTATCAAGTACATTTATTGGTTCAGCGTTTTCACCCAACAGCCCACAGCTGTCTTGGCAAGAACATTTTCTACTAGATGAAGAAAAGGACTCTTTAGTGGATGTGTCACACGAACATGATGAAATCTCTGACACATCATCTTCCAAATCTTTACCAGCCTCTAATCGACAACCAACCTCGTTTGCAAGCTCAGGATCCTCCAAGTTCTCTTCCTTGATTACCAAAGTCTTGATATCTAGTCCATTATTTTGAGTCAAATGTCTCAAATCGTAAAAATTTGTATCCGCCATTTTCCTTCTGACATTCCTACCAGCATCTAGCGCTTTATAATCAACACCTAAACTTTCCTCACTCGCTGATCCATCATAACTACAATCCTCCTTTTTGGTGATTTCTCGAGCGCTGTTTAGAGGGGAACAATCAAACCCATTGTTATTATTACGCCAGTTGACAGGTACGTGTTCGTGTATAATATTTCTTTGATTAAAAGTCACAAATTTCTTTCTGCGATATTCTTCGCTGTCTTTTCTTACCACAGTTTGTCTACGGTTAGGCCCATCGACTGCAGTCAAGCCAGGCAGTTTCCGCACATTTGATGGACTCTCTGGGACCATTAGGCGCCTGGAATCTTTTCCTTGGCTGACATCTTCACTATCAGATACAACAACGCCAATACCTGCTTCATCTTCTACCCAGTCATTTGCAAAACTGCATTCCCCTGCAATAAAACCAGTTGCAGTTAAATACTTTTCTAGCGAAAAAGTCCAGTTCAGTCTTTTTGTTCGCTCGCGCGAGCGCGCCTAAAATCTTCTTATCTTATTGGCTTCTCGCAGCTTGTTCACGCAAAGTCACTTTGAGAGTGGAACAGTCTAATACCAAGGCGAGCGAAATTTGTTCTCTGTCATCAAAGTGATCTTTAAATATGCACGCGCATGGTCGGCCGCTGCATGCGTGGAAACAAAAAATTGAATTGGAGGTCGACCTTCATGCAGATTTTATTTATTCGTTTATCATATTTAAATACAGAAACTTTATCAGCTACCAAGACCAAAAAAGAAAGTAGATATTAATTTACATATAATGCTGGTCTTTCTGGGGACCGTGCTTCGGGAAAGGATGCTAATTTTGAAGGAATTCCTTTAATTTCTTTGTGAACGTGGTAATCGTGGAGCTAATTCTTTTTTGTAATGGGATTTCGTTCTACACCTGTGCACCACAATAGATTCTACTTATAATTAATGTAAGTGCTTAAATTGGGAAAACGAGGCAAGGTAAAATTTGTGAATCACTTTTAATTTCAAATACAGCCCCAAATCGCTTACAGTAATTTTGTTTCTAAAATGTTGTTACTTTTTTAGCACAGTACCCTCAGTACCAGAGCCACATAAATTCGAGGGCTGAAACAGAAGATAGGAGTCAGCAAGACGCTCCTCCGCTTCTCCGCTTGGTTTTCTATTCACGCGCGTGAAATTTTGTGGCTCTGGTACCAAGGGTAAGCGTACAGAACTTTTTCTAGATTGCTTGTCATCGCAAGACATTACAGGCACCGCCAAAATCATGACTTGGAAGATTACTTTGGGTTCCAAACTTGTTGGCTCCCCATATGCTGAGTCCCTCATTACTGCGACTTCACAATCTAGTTTTGCATAGTCATAAACAATGCGCTCAAAGTATTATCAATGCAGGATAGATTTATGAAGACTTCAATCGAAAAGGCTTTCTTACCACAAGAGCTGTCATGTCTTGTCATCTTGAAACTACACTCTTCCTTGAATATTTTACTCCCGTCATACCTTCCAAGCGTCAGCTCGTTTCCGCGTAGCCGTATGAAGTGTCCAGCAGTCTGTGAACTTTCAAATGACACATAACCATCGAACCAAAGGTTTGGCATTCTGAAAAAGGCACTGCTTTCCACTAGAAAAAGAAATGGTACAGTTGCAATCGTAGTTTGCGATAAGTGATCAAGACTGACTTCAGGGGTGGGTTTGGGCGCCTAAAACTCATCCAGAGCCTATATACCTCCATGGAACAAAACGCTCTTTCAGCGGTATCGTGATCCTTAGATATCGGAATACAATTGTACTGCATCAAATTTTAGTCCCCGTTTTTTAAAGAGGTGAGCCTCTTCACCGGAAACCACCCATGCTAGTGTTTCAAAAGGGGGAATTGTCTAACAAACTACGGCCATTATTCAGTGTTGCACGTTTCTCAGCTATCATGAACTTAATGGCCACCAGCTGAAATGATGATAACAGCAATCGGAAAAATCTTATGATTAAAAGGCTGCGATATACAAGCAAGCGAAGCAAAGCATTTGAAAGTTCCAACTTGCCTAATTTCTTTCCTTTTGAACGAGTCTATCTACTCATCAGAACTGAGTCTGGGTCCTCAGAATTTCGCAACTTTTAAACAAGTCTAGCAAAAGTCTCTTAAAAGTAATATTATCAAAGAAAAACTAGCGTCATGTATTAAATGGGGGAGGGGGCTAAATTCAATAGCATTGGTGACTTGTTTGAAACACGACAGAGGGAGTCTTGATGGGTGGGTTATAAATGAAAAGAAAATACACAGAGTGTAAAATTTTACTACATTCAAAATGATACTACATGACGCTTGAACAAAAACCAAGAAAGGTTTTCTCATGAATTCGATTATTGAGAACATGAAACTTGCTTTTACCATGAAATTAGTAAAGGTATTCAATATGTTTTCCAATTGAGGTATTAATTTACGAATGACATTTAGAACATAACTTTGTCGACAATCATATTCAGGGGATTAATTTTCAGGTTCTTTGAACAGGAGATGCGCTAGAAAAATACGTCAGGGGGACAGGTTGTCCGGTTGCAGGGTTTTTTAATAAAGGAAGCATAATAACAAATCTGGTGATGTCGTTGGAAAAAACTACAGATTTGGGAAATAACGTGCATCGTAAAATTCCTGCAGGCGATTAAATTCCTACGCAAATTATTCTATAAATTATGTCCTATAGTTTTTTTAATTCAAGGTTTTTGAGGTCGATTAAGAGTTAAGCTTTCATTGGATAAAACCGCTATAAGAGGCAAAGATCGAAGCTTTGGGGGAAAAGGATCGAAGCATTAATTATTTTAACTTAAAAACAGGCCTGAAGTGACAAATGGCAAAATTGTTTGGTTTTCTTAATTAAACAAAAACTACGTTCACAGCAAATCTTTGCTTAAAAACTAATCATCGATTAAATACTTAATAAGATGAATTGTGATTGGAATGGCTTAATTGGCCATTCAAACAAGATTACAACTTGAAAATTTCTAATTCGAAAATTGGCTTTGTACGTCCATAGATATTGATTACGCTGTCTAAAGTAGAAGGTAAATATCAAACTAGATATTTCTGGGATAATTTCATTTTCTAGCAAATATTCATTGATAATTTGTTTTTGTCTTCATGGCCGTAGCAGAGAGCTTCGTATGGGTCTTGCCCGAAGATTGTTGTTCCATTGAGATAAAATTGCCAATTTGAGCCTGAAATCGTTACATTCTGCCCGATTGGGCGTGTTGCAGCCTCCCCTAGCCCCTATGTCTCATACGCCTACGATTATCTTGATGGTAAATTTAATTTAATGCATTAGTCAAACACTTCACATTATAAAATTTCGAGAAGCGTTCTCCGAAATATGAAGCAATGGGGGCAGAAAGGTGTCACTGTACCATAACATGTACATTTTGATGTTCTAATCTAATTTGGCAATTTTTGAATTCACTTTATGGTTAATTATTAGATTTTTTCTGCGAGCGTACAGTCGTGTTAATGATCTCAAGAATAATGAAATTTACATTAAGTTGGGTTAGTGTTTAGGACACTAATTCATTGCCGTCTAGGAATCCTCATAAATTGTGATTTTCTGTTTACTTATTTTTGAAAATACTTGTCTATCATTGTTTCTCTTCAAACAATGACGAATGTATCTTATTCTAATTAGATCCTTTCCTATTGCCTTTTAAGCATCAAGAAATATTATCAGTTCAAGCTAAAACCTCCCTCTCAAAACAATCTCTCTTCTACCACGAAGAATCTTTCTTCTCAAAGCTCTCTCAATTAATTATAATTCAGCATGTTTGCAGCTCAATATTCTACTCAAAAAGCATCGGTTTCCCATCTTTTAATGAGAACGGGAGACACATACGAAGTTCTATTAGATTACAACCTAAAAAGCACATTGTGATATAAACATACCGAAGCCTTGGTCGTCTCTCTTCTTTTCACCAACCAACTCCAACCCCCTTGCCCGCATCACATGCCCAGGGTAATCCACTAGCTCGAACGTTGTTGTCGGGGGGATAAATGTTAAATTATCCAATAGTTTGAATTTGCTTTTCCCTGTTAACTTCAATCGAAGGTGTCCAACTCTTGATATTTTTCTGATCAGCTCTTTCTCTCTTAAATTCGTAGAATCTTCCAAGTTGATAACATGCTTTCTTCTAAATAAATCTTTAAGCTTCATTTTCAACACAAACAAATAAAATTGATTTTTTCCCAAAAATATTTCCCAGCTTAGTTACAGCCTGTAAAATTTTCTTCTGTAAATGCCAGCTCATAGCATCTTTTGAGCATATAACCTAGAAGAAAATGAAATATATGAGACATATGAACAGCATTAATACCTAAATTTTTTTATTCAATAAATTTACTACAAGACCTGAAAATGGTAAATAAAACAAACAATATATTAACAAATTCAGAGAAATGTATTCAAAGTCAAGGCAACCGAATTCACAAATAGAAAATTGATAAAACGTCATGAACAAGATATTGCAGCACCTTTAAATCACATCAGAGAAATCACCTTTACGATTGCCGAGTCACATCATGTACTAAATTTAAGAATTTCCATTAGATTTAAATACATAACATTTAGCAATTGGACATAAAGCAACCCAATATCGGTCTCAAAAAACTCTACAATGATCGCTGGAGCGTACGGTTGAAGAACACAACACACATTTAAATATTTGGATGCAATTCACAAACACGCTTAAAGACGGCCCACACTTGTTTGATGTTAACCCCTGTAGCTGTGGAGACTATTTGACAAGCTATAAAACACTTGAAAATCAAAAGTATAGCTGTCTCTATAAAATACCCAGTCATGGAAATAACTTTTATCAATTCACTTGACTATAGGGGAATATCTTTCCTAATTTCTTCCCTAAGTGGTTGCTAGGCTAGTTGCTTAAATTTTGGTAATCTTAATCGGGGCCTTCAATGAAGGGGGCTAGAGGGGATACTCCTCTAGCTGTACTTCAAAGTAAAGAAACGCAGAGGTTGAATATTTTCTCGCCAGCTCTTCCTCCCTCTCTGAATTTCTATCTTGCACCAAAGGTCATTTAAATTTTGCTGAAAACGTAAACCCAAAGTTGTGTCAAAGGATCAAAATTATAAAGCCATTTGAGCTTCCGCAGTTCAGTGTTTTTTGAAAGTGATTTCGGCTTTTGAAAGAAGAGCCTTAAAGTTGGTGTTTTTTTTTAATATTCAATGTTTTTTAAAAAGGAGCTTTATAACCTAACAAACTGGGAAGTCCAACAATTCGGATCATAACATTTGATAAAGGAAAGCACACATACCTTATCTAAAAGAATGTCTTCACGAATAAATTTGTCCTCAGTTTGGTGCTGAAACAAGAGCAAATCCTCAATTAATAAATGTTTTTTCTACCCAGTCAATTATGCTACATAAAAGCGCGAATGATAAAATAACAAGTCGAATAGAAACATTCATAAAATTTATCAAAGTTAACAGAAGGTATCCTTCGGTTTTTTAGCGTGAATTATGATATTTACTACTCAACGTGACTGCAAACCTTTTCGTTATGACTGGTATCTCAAACTGGAAATACATTATCTTGTTTGCTCGTCAGACAATAGATGTTGCGTCAAATACATCAAATATACATCGATCAATATTGCAAATCGGTAAAATTTAATTTAAATCGCTATTTTGCTAAACGATATGTTCTGCTATCAAACTTGTTTGAAGAAGCTGACTTTGCAGACGATGTCATGAATGAAGTGGCAAAGTCGTGACGTTTTAGCCAAGCACAATTGCTGTTACTAAGAAATAGTGTAAACAAGCGAGAAAAATGAAAACACACAAGAAACAGGTGGATTGAGCATGAATAGAGAACCATTTAAATTGTTACAAAGTTTTGTTTTTATTACCAAGTAAAACACACAATGCTCGCAGAATTGTAGGAAAACCATCAAAGCTTCTCATATTACAAATAAAAAAGAGCAAAGTCCTTTTATTACGATCTTGAATAAAAACAACGACAGTTGACATCTTGCCATAAGTTTTGAACAGTAGCAATTCCAAGCAAAACATACGGACAATCAAAACCCACGGTCTCACATCATCATTTATCTTAAACTGTACATATCTTCATTTCATTTTATTTTCTTTAGGTGGATAGCTCAAAATGTTTCGTTAGATAAGCAAAACAAAAGTAAATTATTTTATTGCTTCCATAGGATCAGTCGTCCACGTTTAACTCTATATTTATTCTAACTCTATTCAAATGCAATCATAATATTTAAGCAAATATTGGCTACTCAAGGATATTTTTGTGCCTAGCTGCAAAGATAAAATTTGCTTAGGATGAATAACAACGGCGTTTTTTATATCAAATCATCACAGATAACGGTACTTGATGTAATTGCAATTTTAACAGGTTTGCGCATAAAGAAATTGCCAAGATTAAAAACGCAATTTGAACTTTCTAAAGCTTTTTTTGAAAGCCTTAACCTGAAATAAATTTGCAAAAAATCTTATCTGAAGAGGTCAATCATAGATGTGATCAAATTGATATTTCGAATGATCTTTTTTATAGAAACGTAAAAAATTTTTAGTTTTTCATTACCGATGTTTGCATCGACTTAAATTTTGGAACGATATCTAAAAGCACCCTTACAAAAAAGCGCCTTCTGTTGAATAAGTGATTTCAGTATTTCAACAAAGCTTATTTTACGCGAAGATCCAGTCAATGTAAAAATCTGCAAGTTTCAGAGATACTTCTTGAATTCAAAAATGAAAGATCCTAGCTATCGGCGACGTATTCTGTTAAGGGTAAAACTCTATTTAGTTATGGACAGAACAGTGGCGTACCCAAGGGGGGAAATAGGGGGGTCCGGACCCCCCACTTTTCTAAATTATGATCCTCGAGATTTGTCCAAAAATGATGTAAAACTCATTGGGGGGGGGAGGGGTCTAGTATACTGTATGCTTGTATCAATAACAATTGTAAAATACTTTGCTATTTACCGTAGCTGACATGAATCAAATAATGGGGGGGGGGGGGAATTTCGCAAAAAGGGCGTTTCCCCGCATGGTGCTACATAGCAATTTGAAACATTTGAATAAAATCGTTCATTACCGTTTATGCTGAATATTACTCTACCGTATGCTGAATATGTCTGAACTCTTAACAAACATTTGCTTAAACTTCATGTGGTGTTTTCAACTAACAGGGGAAATTATTAAACATGGACAGTCAAATGTTGCTTATATGATAAATAATAAAAAGATTGTCGTTGCTTGCCTTTTTCTTAGGTATATATTCAGCTTTTCTCAAAACAACAAAATCTACGTACGCATAGAATTGTTTCTTGTAAAAATGGCAACCACATATCTCTGTGGCCTAGACAAAGTTGAGCAGAAGTGTAGGTAAACTTGGAATAACATGCAACAAGCAATGAAACTAGTAGATGATACTTTTGATACTTCCAAAGCAAAGAAAAGAAAATACGAACGACAGTCTCCTCCTTCAGACTTTTGAAATCGAAAATTCAAAAAGAAGGTTATGTAGATATTGATCACCCTCAAAACCATGTGAATTTATTAAACATAAGACAGACTACACGAAATAATTCTTACGTATTCAAATTGGATTCACTTTCTGTGCAGCATATGTCAACTACTTCTTTACGTAAAAACTCATTCAACTATGCTTTTAAGTATATTACTTATGCTTTTATTGTATCAGTAGCTATGCATAAATGAAATAAAATTTTAAGAAGCTTTAAGTACTTGATTCTCAAGAAAACTCAAAAATTTTCAGTGCTGAAAACTTTGTAAGTTTCTCTTAAAATGAAAAAAATGTAATTAGCATTCAATCGTTTTTATTCCACCAACACCAACACAAAATATCAAAACAAAAAAATAAAATATTAAGCATAACTGACATTTAGAGGGCAGATGTATTCGGAAAGCAAATGAGATCGTTCCTTCCAAACTTGATTGTGACTTGGTAACCAGGATCTGTTCGTACAAAGGAATAATAACACAGAGTTTGTCTTTGGTCGCCATCCTATAAACCTTGATTTCATGCTAAACAAAACATAAGGCATTTTTTGTGCAAGCATACAGATGTCACAATTGTTTATTATCGATCTTTTTTGACGGTGATTTGGTGACGCACGCTAAAAACAAGATGCAACACCTTTCTCTGTGTTTATTTGGCCAGCTTGCTAGAAATTCATGGGAAGAATTTCGGTTGCCAGGAAAACTGAAAGCCTTGTTCAGTCAGCTTTTCGAAAAGCTTCCCGAATTCCAAAGCTCCTACTCTGTTTCTTGAACTGTTATTAACAAAGTCAAAAGCTAATGAAATTTCCATTTGGTTTGGCATTCTATTTGGAAGGGTAAGATAGCCCTGAGATAATCGCATAAATGTGAAAATTTGCTAAAGCGGTATTTCAAATATAAAAAATATTGGAAATTCGACTTTGATTTGGCTGACACGAAGTAAGCACTTTCTTATAAGGTCGAGCAGCAATATTTTGCATATGAGAAACGAAAAGGCCAACGCCGAATTAAGTTGCAGACTACCTTAACATACGAACTTAAATGCGATTCGATTATCTGCAAGGCAGGGTCAGAAAGGTAGGATGTTTGCGAAGAGCATCTCACTAAGGGCAGCAATCAAGCTTTGCAACGAGCGCGCTTAATTATCAATAGTCTTTTAAGTGAATCCCAAAATCAAAACCTGGCCTGTTATGAATGAAGATTCATTTTGGAGACTTTTACAGTTGGCCGTAACTCGTAACCTGCTGCGTTGAATCTTACAGTCTGCTGGTATTAACATCGATACCTTAAAGAGGGATTGCGCTGCTGCACCTTTTTGCTGGTATATAACGTCGGAAAAGAAATCTCCAAAGTCCGTTTCTATTCAAGCAAATCCGTTTGCAAATACAATATGATTGAAATCGGTGATCGGTTCTGGTAAGCGGTGCTCTATCTGTTCCTTTTTCGAACAGGTGATCTAACACTCTTTGACATTAGCCTTTTTCATTGCTCACGCTAGACAAAAGCCTTTTTCGTGCGTAAAATGTTTCGTTATACTGGGAACTTCTTGCATGTCGAGTAAATCGCAACAAATTAGCTGCTCCAGTGAGACGCTTTCCATTAAACAGTAGATACGAGGTTTGCTTAATGGTCAGGGTCACCGCCTTTAGTTCAAAGGAGAGCCATTGCTTTCTGTTTTGTCAAGCATAGGAAACACGAGGTGTGATCACATCGAGAGCAAAGACCAGGGCACTTTTCTATAAGCATAGCTTCTCGGAGTCCTAAAACTACCTACGGATGCTTGGTAGAAACAAATTCAAATACAAATCATCCATGATTTTCTTCGTATCTATAATTCTTACACAAGCAAAGGAAACTTAAATTTTGATTCGACATAACGGGTTTTTTCAGGTGAAACAGTCTAGCACTACACAACAAGTAAGCACCCTGATGCGCAATTTTTATCTAGATCGACGATGCAAGGATACTTAAATAACTCGTGAAGACAATTTAACCGAAACGCAACGATTTTCAAGAGATCAGGTCAAAACTCAATTTTGATTGACCATTTTCGGGTTAACCCCGGTAAAACGACTCGAATTTTCCCTCGATTTTTTACTCAACAAGAAATCGAGTGAAAAATCGAGTCGTTTGGCCACCTTGTCGAGCGAGTCGAATGGGGTCTAGTGACGTCGAGTGAAGTTTGATCTTTAGCAAAAAAGTCGTGTGAAAAGGTGTTGTCGAATGAAAATCGAATCATTTGGCCACCTTGTCGAGCAGGCCGAGTGGGCGCGTGCGCAGTTGTCATCTCTTATGCTTAGTTATTTTTAAAAGAGCTAGGGATATAATCAAGAGCGGGGCGGCCAAAAGGGGGCAGGAAAGCATACTACCATGGGGTCTCTAGGTTCAGGGGACCCTTTTAAGTTATGAGTTCCATTTTAAGAATGGAATTAATCAAAAGAAACAAAAGTATGCCTAAAAATAGTAATTTGCTTAAGCGAAATAAAATAATTAGTGATGGTTACTGTCTGAAACGAATGATGCTCGAGCTTGTCAAGTTAATGCAAAAGGACATTTGCATGTAAGATAAGCACGGCAGCCACTTTGCGTTTATTTGTCTTCATTTTGTTGACGTGAGCGAAAAGTTGGGTGAAAAATCGAGCGAAATCTAATCGTTTGGCCAACTAGTTGGACCGACTTTGAAGCAACAAAAAGCTACCTACTGGAGGTCCCGTGACTACTTGAATACAAAGCAAATTATAGAACAGAATGATTGGTAAATCGGCGCGTGGTCTTGATTAAAGTGAATGTATCTCAGGTTTGAATGTCAAGCAGGTCACAAATCGTCACGAATTACGGTTTTGGAATTTAAACAAGAAAATTAATAAATAATATCACTGTATTGCGAAATGACAAGAATTCATGGTTTGCGCTTTTGAAGTGGTCCCGCAGAAGCATACTGGTATTGTAGGATTGAGGTATCAATAGGCAATGGGTCTTCAAGGACCCTAAAATAACTCGAACAATACTGGAGATATTATTTTATAAAGAAGCGAGGGGTGAGCCTTGAGGAACCCCATTTCAATTTGAACGTCACTCTATCTACTATTTCCACCAAAGTGGAAGTGAAATCTTTTAATCATGTTGAGATCTATATGAGCTAAAATCTGCGTCATGAAAAGATCTAAAGTAATTTCAATCATGGCAACATCATTTCAAAATACACTAATATTTAACTTCTGCAAAATTCCAAGAGAGCATTACACATGTTATCGCTAGGGATAGATTTTAGAATTAATATCTTGAACTGAGTGAGAACGCAACATAAACTCCGTATCTAAAATATCGACTCCTGTAACAGAGTAGATGTATTGGTTTCAATCCTGGTTGCTACCATCATAGTGAAACTAAACGGCCGCAAGTCATACCAAAGACCAGCAAATAGAGAAGGTCGTAGATTAAGATAACATTGAGATTACAGAAAAACTGGTTTTTTAAGAAAAGGAGTGTGACAAGACTGTTAAAGGATAGAAAATTGAAGCCGATTGAGCAACTCTAAAGCTTATTTGCCATTTCATTACATAATAGCAGAGGCTGTGCTTAAAGCTCTGCCTGCAGACCCCAACATCTTAATTCTCAATCTTCATCATTCAGAATCTATTTTGGGTCAGACTTCGAGTGAATTGTAGTTAACTGTTAACAACCATAGAGTTGTGATGCTTCCTGCAGTATTGTTTTGTAAATTATTTTTTGTAATTTGTGAAGTAAGCTCTTGTGAGCATAAATAAAAAATAGAAGAGCAAGCAAATGATAAACCTTTTTCTACTTTTCGGGCATCGATTAACTTTTAGTGGCAGTGGCTAAACTTCAGCGCCAAAAGTTTCCATTTTAAAACATCCTCGCTTCTATTAGCCACAACAACAGGAACGAGGGTTCAAATAAATCGTGAAACCCAGCTGAATTTCATCATTTCATTCGTTTTCATATAACCCTGTCCATGTAAACACCATAAAGGTGAAAATAGAGTTGTGATCAAATATAGCTGAAATTTCACCGAATTTATCAGTGAACCGTGTCTAAGATTAAGAAAAAATAGAAATACAGTTTAAGGCCGTTAACTTAACGTTTACAGCTCTTTATAAACGGCAACAACCACTCTGTAACATACGAGTTAAATATTATCTTCAATGACATATTATATATGACATTGGTGATGCCAGACAAGTTTAACATACAATCGTGACATGCAATCGTGACCACCACCAGAATCTTCCATTTACAAAAGATCACGGTATATAAGACATTCTTAAAACAACACGTGATTCAAGGGCAGTAGTCCAGTTCTTCATACAAGATCTCGATTTCCAGACAAAATCCTATCACTTACTTAGGATGGTGCTAGTGTAGCGATTCCATT